TGTTATCCATACACTTCATTTCACAGTATTAATGGTCTTAATAATGGCGAAAGTTATAGGTTATATTTTGGAATGAAACAGGAGTTGAAACGCTTTCCAAGTCTTCAAGCGGAATTGGCAGCAGCTGCCAATGAAGCGTTGGAGAGGTTTCGTGAAGACAGCAAGAAGACAACTTTGCGTTTGGTGGACATGGAATCCTCTTATCTGACTGTGGATTTCTTTCGGAAACTCCCTCAAGAAGTGGAGAAGGTGGGAGGAAATCCATCTGCTGCTTCCGATGATCGATATGCAGAGGGCCACTTCCGCAGGATAGGATCCAATGTTTCCTCCTATGTAGGGATGGTGTCAGAGACGCTTAAGAATTCTATCCCAAAGGCTGTTGTTCATTGTCAAGTGAGGGAGGCTAAGCGGTCTTTGCTCGATAGCTTCTATATCCAATTGGGCAAAATGGAGGTAATCTGACAATCTCTCTCTCTCTCTCTCTCCCCACCCCCGTCATATGCACACAGATGCATAGACATACATGTGTATATGAATCAGAACAAAAAATTGATGATGTTTGGCTGATTGAGTTTTGTTATTTCCTGTAGGGAAGGCAGCTTGCACAATTGCTGGGTGAGAATCCCGAAGTGATGGAAAGGAGGCAACAATGTGCCAAGAGGCTTGAATTGTACAAGTCTGCAAGGGATGAGATTGACTCAGTCTCATGGTCCTGATGAAATTAAACACGAATGAATTTTTCGTAATCTTTTTTAGGATAAGTGATCATGAATACAATCAAGTATAGTTGTTTCTGGTACAATACATATATTTTCAATTAAACAGAAGCAATTTGAAGGTAATTCTCAAGGTTTTGGGATCTGGTGAACAAAATGGTTACTTACTGGTACTTCTCTCCACTTTCTTAGCAGAAATGCCCTGTTCAAGTCCCTCTACCGAGATTAAAAAGAAAGTAATTATATTTTGATCCTTTTAAAATAATGCCACTCTAGGGCCTTGGACATTATCACCATGGTGGACTCCACTTATTAATCGTGCGGGTTTGGGTTTGGGTCGTATTTTTTCGTGCGGGTTTCGAGTCGTGTAACAGGTCGTATTGGGAATTACCACTCCTACAGTGGAGGCTCGTAGGGTACAAGGATTCTTGAACTTCACTCACCCTAAAAGGTAAACTTAGTGAACTTAACTCACCCTAAAAGGTGAACTCAGGAGGCTAACAAAAGAAAACAAGTGGGATATAGAATATATGTAACGATAGATATCATAAGAATATTCATATTAAAGTGTAGGGCCTTGAAGTTGCTCGGTCTACACTCCACATAGAATATTTGTTTTTGAAAGAGTATGTGCTTCATCTATTAACTGAAACAAGGATGATAGCCTTCAAACTCATGGGCACACCAATTGAACACAATATAAACGGTTAGCTGAACATATTGATATACACCGGTTTGATGGCCTATGTAATGAATGGTTCAGAGCATGTGTGGTAAAATGACCCCAAATGAGTAGTTAGTGTTGTATTAACATATTAATTAATTGGTGCTTGAGCAATCCTACTCTAGTAAGAGCTTGTTTGTCACGATTCAGACACGGGATATGGTAAAAGTCCTAAACCCGATGCGTGAAAATAAAAAGGCTGCAACCTGGGTTAAAATAAACTTCTCTTATAAAAATAGTTTCAAAAGCTTACAAGTGTACCATAAATAGATAAAGACCTATCACAATCATCTAGTTCAACCTCATTTGGTTTAGTCCTTGTCTTGCCAACTAATTCCTTTGAAAAGTAAAAGAGTGAGGGATGAGTAAACCACTACTTAGTGAGTAGATTATGTCATGTGCCAGTCAAGCAATGTTATTTTACACACTTCAAAAAATATCATGAAAAACTACACCAATCCAGATTATATCACATTAGTAATTCATAAATCGATTATCCTTTATAGCATGTAACCCACAATGTGACCCCTGTTGATCTCACTACCCGATGTTCTTGTTTGGTACATACTTCAAAAATATTCCTAATAATATATATAGTGTGAAATACTGTGCCAAAATAGACATGCTTGACTTGAAATAGAGAGATATATATATATATATTTATAAATAGAACATATCCATGATAATAATTCATAGTTTTCATATTTATTGATAATAACTTTTGTAACACATTACAGAAATCACTCATCTCGATAACGAGAACCTAAAAATAATTGATAAGACAACCCATCTACCAATCTCTACAACACCACCATCCAAACATCAAGATTCTCAAGTGCTCTCTTTCTTCTCCTCCTGTCTCTAACTTTCTTTCTTATTCCTCGTGTCAGAAACACAGAGGTTATGCTCTTATTAATAGTTGCTATAGTGATAGGATAAGAACATCCAAGTTTATTAAAATAAATAAATATCTTAAGAAGATAAGATCATTCAAATTTATGTAAAGGATAAATATTTTAAGAAGACAAGATCATCCATTTATCCAAAGTATAAATACAACAAAGTAGAGAGCTAGCTAGAGACAGAGAGAGCATTATACCATGGAAGGAGATAAGCAAAGTTGCGTTCCATAAGCTCTTCTTGTTTGCTTATCGTTGGGACACTGTCCTGATGATAGTTGAGTCATTTTGTAAGATTATGCAAGTTTATCCAAAGGGTAAATATCTTAAGAAGATAGGATCATCTAAGTTAATCCGAAAGGTAATATTAATATATATTCTTTTATCGTTTTAAAATACGGGTCTTCACATTGTTGTAGGGGAAACAAATAATGTACGTATTTGTAAACGTAAATTATTCATTTAGTTTTTATCACAAATCCAATTTTTACCCATCCATGTTATCCTTGGCGTTTCTTATAATATTTCAAGGTTATTTACTCGTTTTTCTTTAACAACATTGATTGAGGGACATCACCAACTAGCTGTTCGTCTAATTTTCTTTCAAAGAAATAGTACTATATCAAAGGAGAGTTCACTTAAGTGAGATTAGGTTCTAATCTCCACAATTGAAAACATCTAACATAAGAATATATTTTTATGTGCAAATTATGTGGATGACGCGGTTGCGAAACGAGCAAGAAACCCTACTGCTAACTGAATTACCTTATCCATATACTCTTCCCACATACCTACCACAAAATTGTACAAGGAAATAACGCTTATTAGGTAAAAATGGTTGCTCTTGCTCTCCTTGGGTTGATAAGATTAATTTGTATGCTTGTCGATATATTTGCTAAGAATAATCATCTATATGAAAGAACTTGAATACGGTCCATATGTTTTGTGGCAAATAAGGTGACAAAAATCGTATCACAAACACACACACACACATGTCCAAATATATTTATAAGCATTTGTTGGGTTTGGTTCTTCTGTTTGTACCCATTCAATGCAAGATATCAACGCCCTAAGAACAAATAAAGGATACATCATGCGTTTCTGTAATCAAGTTCATGCTCAATCCCCTTGATATGTTTTTCTGTATACAATACAATGTATTGATATTAAATTTTGGATTTCTCCTATTATAGCAAAGCTTCCATTTATTTTTAATTGTGAAAAAGTTAACATATTATATTGCCACATATATACATATAAATATAGAGATTTATATGAACATTTTATTGGGTTGTCTTGTGCTCATTACTGAACCATCACTGAGCTCTAGGGCAAACCAACACAAAACACAAAACAAATTTGTGTCGCTGTTTGAAGGACAAACAAGGTGAGCTCCTTGAACGGTTGATAACGTAGAGCTCTACTTTGACAGAGCCAGCCACCATTATTTTTGGGTACGTATAGTGTTTTTTACACTCCAATTTTCTACTTGTGTACTATTATTTTGATTTTGTTCCTTGATTATTCTGTTTCGATTTATTCAATCTTTAGGCTACGAAAAAGAGAGAGAATGTATTGTACTTATACGAAGCATATTTCTTCTTCTTACCACTCGAGCTATAAGTATCCTTCTTTGCTTGCACTCATCAAAATTTTGAAGCTTGTCATGTCAGATCTCATCCACCACAGAATTAGGGTATTTTGGAATGTATTATATGCGGATGCAGAGAGCGAAAATTTTGAAATTTCTTTGGGCCTTGTGAACCATCAAAGTTTTTTTTAGCGCATTGGCACCTTTTTTTGTTTTTGTTTTTGTTTTTGTTTTTGTTTTTTTCATAGGGTTTCTAGCATTCTTTTTTTTTCCCCCCGAAAAATTGTCATTTCATTAACTCAATAAAACGAATAACAGCAGAGTTGCCTCGTTAAAACCTTCACGAAGAAAAATACGTGGGATAAAATTTTGTGGTAGGAAAGAGTACCACACATGTCAATTAGAATGCGACAACAAAACTAAAGATAAATACAATCACTGTGCACAATCTAAAAGCCATGGCAGACCCAACTCCATCCAGTATGAAAGATCCCGTTCACGAAGACCATAGTTTGCAATTCTATGAGCCACTGTATTAGCTTGGCGGGGTATGTAGCAAAACAATAACAATTGGCGGCCTTTGTTGCAAAAGCATTCAAATTTCCTCCACCAATTCCCCTTCCGGAGCTAAACAGTCTTCCTCCCCATTAATCATGAGGACTGCGTTCAGACAATCGGATTCTATAATCCAAGGCAGAAAAGACGCATCCAGTGCAAACAATAAACCATTTTTCAGTGCATATAGTTCTGTGACAAGGATTGAGACCACGCTAACCTTCCTTCACATTAACAGCTCCGTCAACATTTAGTTTGTAGAATCCATCAGGAGGTCGTTGCCATCGAATACTATCAGTTTGCAAGGAGGGACTCCTACAATGTAAACTTGCAGCTGCTGTAAATTCAGCATCATAGCTCCTTACACGATCCATTAAGCGGCTCGGCAATGTTTGATCAGACCCAAATAAAATTCCATTGCGTTCATTTCACGGCAAAAAAATACTAATTTTGTTTGTTTGTTTTGTTTTGTCGTTTTAGGAAAAGCAGGTAGGTCTTTGGTGTCAGCAGCAGCTATGGAATTTGTGCATGCCAATGGTCCTTTCCACAACAAGACCAAGGTTATTTTTGTATTGGGCTCGACCGGGTGTGGAAAAACAAAACTCTCCATAGACTTAGCCACTCGTTACAACGGTGAAATAATCAACTCCGACAAAATCCAAGTCTACAAAGGCCTTGACATTGTGACCAACAAAGCTACAAAGCATGAGCAAAGAGGCATCCTCCATCACCTGCTAGGGTCCATCCAAGACCCGGAAGCTGATTTCACGGTGCAGGACTTTTGTCTTCAAGTGCCCAAAGCCCTGGATGATATCACGAAGCGCAACCGCGTCCCAATCATTGCTGGTGGATCCAACACTTACATCGAGGCGCTTGTCGAAGATCCAACGCTCAGGTTCCAAGATAAATATGACTGCTGCTTCATATGGCTTGATGTGTCTTTGCCTGTGCTCTATAATCGTGTCTCTGAAAGAGTGGATGAAATGGTGGATGCTGGGCTTGTGGATGAGCTCCGGGAAATGTTTGTTCCCGGGCAGATTATGAGCGAGGCATTCGTCGGGCTATTGGAGCTCCTGAGATGCATGCATATTTCATGGCTGAAATGGATCATTCAGCAGATGAGGCCAGAAAGGAATTTCTGTTCAAAGATGGGATTCAAAAAACTAAGGACAATACTTTGAAACTTGCTGAGAGCCAGGTGCAGAAAATTGAACGTCTCAGGACCAAATGGGATATCCATCGGATTGATGTGACTGCCGTGCATGAGAGCTGTGGAAAGAAGGCTGTGGTTGCATGGGAAAACTTGGTTTTAAAGCCAAGCTTCTCCATTGTGAGTGAATTTTTGGAAATGGATGGCTAAATTGTTGGAGCAGAGAATTAGGGTTTCCGATTCTTTGGCTTGCATTCAAGGACCTGCTCGTACCGAATTACTACATAGAAAATATATTTTTCTATGTGTAATTCTTTTTAATCATTTTGAGGAACGTATTGGTTAAGCCAGTACTTCATATATGGTAATATTAATTTCGGCTTTAGCAGTTTTCTTCTTTTGTTTTGTTTTGTTTGTTTTAATTTATACAAGCGATCTTTTATTTTAATTTAATCAAAACTATGAGTATTGGGATTCAAACTCGGGTGGAGATTGAGAGCACCTCCACTCTATATTTTTAAGTAGCAGCTCAGTCCATATTTTAGTAATTGTTCATCTCATCCACCTAATCATTCTATATGCCACCCAAAATTTTTTTTTTTTTTTGTTGATTTAATGTCAGTTTACTCAAAAAACCCCATTACATTCTAAAAACTAGCCCTTTCCGCACTTTGCGAGAGTGTTTTTTTTAATATTTATTTATTTAATTTTTATAAATAAATTTATTTAATTTTAGAATTAAAAAAGATAATGGGTAGTTGTGTTCCATAAAAATAGGATTCATTATTTGATTTTTTAATATGAAAAAGTGTGAAATTACCATATTATCCTCATTTAATTAATAATTTTAAATTTTAATGTTTGGATTAACCAATGGCATTTTCTGGTATTTTGAATGTTTCACCATTTTCTGTCTTTTGCTTTATATATAGATGCTATCTTTATTAAGTTGAAAAAAATAGTGTCGAATATGATGATCAAGGGCCAAACTATGAATTTTTTAATAGGTGGGCTAGCTAAAGTCTTTACGGTAAAATTTAATATATATTTTTTTTGTACTTACATTTTCTATAGCCTTTTAGAAATAAAAGTATATATTCATTCATATAAAACACACTAATTCATAGCTCGATTGACTAATTTCCATTAAATTTTAACATAAAACAAATACATATTAAATTCAACAAGAAAACTGATATTATCAAAATGAAAATGTGGTTAACAACGAAATTGAAAATATACCTATTTTACTATGTATTTTTATTATTTCCATGCAATTAAATTCTTAGAGAATTTGTGTTTTTTTATATTTTAATACATTAATACATATTGTGCTATATTTTAAACAAGTCAAATATATGGGTCTGATTTTTTTTTCCATCCAACAACATCCCTGAGCTACAGCCCAAGTTAACCTTTAACTTGGTTCTGCCCCTGACGACGATAAAGAAATGTTTACACATATTATATACCATGAGATTTATAAGGAAGTTTTGCTGTGTTCAGTGTTTTAATTTCTCATAAATAATGGCAAGATCATTGAACTTCAAAAATTAAGAACCAAAAAAAGTTTTTTTTTTTAATGCAATATATTAATGTTGGCAATCAGATCCTTGTTTAATGCTCATATATTTTGCTTTTATGCAATATAAAATTATCCATGATAAAAATAGCCATGTGTGCATGCAATGCATTGATACTTGATATTGGATTCACCATTAATAAGCTTCCATATGTTTCGCGTAAAATAAAATAGAGTTTATTTACATTAACACTCCTTGTGGTTTTCAGTGTTTTCACAAAATTCTCTGAGGTTTTGAAAATTACACAAACACCCCCTTAGGTCTTTAAGTGTTTTCACAAAACCCATTTCCATTGATTTTTCGTCCAAAGATTGATGATTTTATATAAAAATATTCTTCAAATGACAAAGTTAGTATTTGAGATTAAATTGCACATACATTTGTTGAGGTTAATTTTGTTATTTGCAAAAGTTTTTATGTATGGAATCATCAGATTTTGGATGAAGAATCAATGAAAAGGGATTTTGTAAAAGCAAATTGAAACCTCATGGAGTGTTCATGTAAGTTTTAAAATCTCAATGGATTTTGTGAAAACACCAAAAACTTCAAGGGATGTTTATATAAATACCTCAATAAAATAATAAACCAAACTGTAAAATAAAGAAGCACGAGCAACACCAAGCAGTAACGAGATTCGGCAATTTGTCCACGTAGTAGGTGATCATTCAAATAAATTTCAGCCCAATTATTTGTCTGGCCTTCCATCAAAAAATTAAATGAGCTTTGTTGTCACCAGTTTGGCCCAAACTACGAACTTTTAAGTTGGCCTTCACCAATTTTGAAGTGGGTTTCAAGGTTAATTGTCCTACACAAGGGAAGACTACGGTAAGTTTAAGGCTTAAGCACACAGTTTCAATTACTAAAATTGTTTGTTTTGCGCAAGTTTTGTTTTTGTTTTTGTTTTTTTATATACCTAAACTAAATAACAATAATTATAATGTATGTAAATCACGTATATCATGATAATGATATCGTTAATGATGTGTCATTACATTCTAGGATCCGAATTCTCTGTTATGATTTTGTCGGCCATGATCTGCTTAACTTTCATCCTCCACAAAACATCCAAAAGACTGAAAGGTTATAATGTTTTCAATCTTGGAGACGTCAACCAAATAATGGACGACCTAAATATTTAGTGATATTAAGTTTACTATCATGTCATTTATGCATTTTGCATATAAACTTCGTGGAACGGAGATGTTATGGCCATTTGCCATGAAGCCACAGTCCATAGCTAGGGCGGGACCATGAATTCTTTGTTCTTCTTTTTTCAATCCAATGAAAATACTGAGAGATGATAAAATAATTTCCTAAAAAGAACAAAACTTAAGGGCCTAACTAAGAAATGTTTGGTTAATCTCCCTTTCAAAACTTCATTGGAATTGTAAACAAAGCCAAAAGTACTGGACATGATATAATTCCCAAGGGCACGAATGCTCCAGCCTCTAACCAATCAATGTCTTTGCCGTTCACTTTCTTACTGTGAAACAGAACACTTCATTTTCATAATCAAATTTATTCATTGATTGAGCAGTGAAATTATACATCCCAGAATTAGCAGCTATAGCTGGACCAAAATATACCCCAGCAACAGAATTATTTAAAGTAACCCTTTGAGTTTACAACTGCATTTGCAAATCATTTGCTTTAGTATAAGCTTAATTTTCTAATAATTTGATTGAGATAATAGATGTTTTAAGCTCCACTTGTAGCGCTACCGATACCACTCTTCTTATCAAGCTCTTCTAATGCTGCCCACAATTTTGAATCATTGTAATCCTTTATGAGAAAGGTCGGTTTTGCTTCAATTAGTATGTGTTCTGGATTTCCGGTGGTTAAACCAATAACTGGCATACCGGCTGCAACTCCAGCTTTAATCCCAGAGACAGAATCCTAGCAAAGAAAAAAACAAGAACAGAAAATAAGTTCCCAAAGTTCCAGTAAATGATTTTTTCTCAAAACGTGACATGAGAAGAGGCAGACCTCAAACACAAAAGTGTGATCTTTTGATACGTTGAGTATTTCAAGGGCCTTCAAGTAGGGCTCTGGGTGTGGCTTGGCATGCTCGCACTCGTTCCCAATAATAAGAGCTTCAAAAAAATCCGTGAGGCCAAGTATTGAGAGCATTAGCTCAGCATTTGGTCTTGGAGCATTAGTAACAGCAGCCCGTTTCAGCCCACGATCTTCAACCCATTTCTTCACTTTATAAATGCCATTCACAGGCTTCAGTTGTTCTGTGGCCAATCTGTTTCCATCGGAGAAATGATATAAGGTGGGAACCAGAAAGGAATTCCAAGTCTAGAGAAGGTGAAGTTTTTACCTACGAAACATGGCTTCCTTGTCCTCAGTGAACTTTAAGCCTCTTTCGAAGTCATCAGGAAAGAGTATCCTAGCAACATCATCATTATGCTTCCCAGCAAAATTCTCAATATAGTACTCCTCAGTGATTGGAACCCCTCCATTGAAACCTATCTGTTAATTTTCCGCAATTCAGTTAATCATCAACCTTCACAGGTCAGAGAGTCTTTAAATTCGTACTAAATTACAAACTTCCTTCGTGCACCTTTTCATTGTAAATATGATTACAGTTCACCTTTTCATTGTATGTATAATTACAGTTCAGAGTTATAAATTTTATAAAAAGAATGAGCACTTTCATTTAGTGGTTGAAGTCCTCTGCAATTTTTATGGTGTGATATGAGGATAGCTAAAAATAGGTCAAATTATGACCAGATAAATCCTACATATTTTCCTTATGACAGAATAGTAGGAAACAAAACAATCACTTTACCTCTGGAAGCATTTCACGGAAGGCATAGAAATGAATGGGATCTGAATCACACAGAGTTCCATCAATATCAAATAGTACTGCTTCAAGTGGGGCGAGTCCAGAGAGTGAACTTTTGCTGGTTCCACAGACACATCACAGAAAAAAAAGAAGGTAATAAGGCATTAATACAATAAAAAAATGAAACCAAAAATACAAATGTTAGACAATCCCTTCTGTTTTCTGTAGTATATAATGAGCAAAACACTAATTTACACACGAAAATTCTCAAACCTATACAAAAATGTTGCGCAGAGCAATTTCTTCAGTGTAACAATGCCTGGTTGAGTTAGGTTAGTCGATATTACCTACTTTCTGTGAAAATAAAAGTCTCTACTGTCTCCATATATGGAGTAAAGAGATAATAGAATTCTTATTTTCATAATATTTATTGTTTTGATCCGGTAAGCTATAGTCTTTTAACATGTTTTCCTTTGGCAAAAACATCAGCAGGCTATCGGACTTAATGATTCAGTATTAACGCTAAAGTTGACAGTAGATCAAAATGGACCTAAAAGACAATGGCAACTTCAGCGGTTTGGAGAGAAAGAACCAAATTGGCTGCGCAAGCCAAATCATGCCAGAGAAACAAAGGCATAATAAGAAAGGGTAAACGCATAAAAAGCGGGTACAATCTATGCAAAATTAACAATTAGTGGAGAGAACAATGACATGGAAGTGAAAATATGCAGAATATATGTCTGTGTGTGTGTCTGTACGATTACGGAAATAGACCTGTTACAGCTAAAAATACTGAATAGGACAATAGAAAATAGCTCAACATTCCACTTAACATTAAAATTATCTATTCAATACCCTTAACAATTTGGCTCTGCATAGCTCATGAATGTACTCTGTGATTGAGAAAAAGGCAAGGGTGATGGCGAGGGTTTACTCACATTCATTTACGAATTATTTATTTATTTTTTTTGTTTTGTACTCAAGAGAAAATACAACAGAATGACTTGGTTCCATGTACTCTGCCATTATAGATCAACCCAAAACATGAATTAAAAGAAGGCAAATCATGTTTGCTGCCTGTAATTTGGCCACCACTAGTGGTTTACACATGAGCTTGACAGTATCAGATCAAATTTGATCCGAAACTATTAACTAACAAAAACCAAATATGTCAGAAAACGTTAAGATTTGAAGAAGAATTATGTTACCAAGAATATCAGTAAAATGACTTACTCACAGGCAGAAGCAGTAAAATATGAACTTGCATTGAAAATCAAAACATCAACACTAAACACCCAGATCAATGGAAATTTCAAATAACTCATTAGAGAGATAATCACCAATCAACAATAGCAAAACATTGACACCAAAAATAAATAAATAAAAAAGACATTACCAATTAACAAATATTGGCCCATCTAGAAAAAATTGCAAAATTTTAAAATATAGAATACAATATGATAGAACAAGTGTTTTCAGTTACCGATAGCAGTATGTACGTCAATGCCATTGAAAGGAAAACAGATTTGTAAATCTCAGAGCTACCCAGATCAAGTTTTCAGTCAATGTAAGCAAGAAAGATCAAAGAAAGCACAAAACGCGACAGGAAGGTACCTGTCCACAGAGTTTTCACCCAGAAGAAGCTGTCATAGTGTGATGGATAGGTTGTGGAGGATATTTCAAGAGCCTTCTCTGCGAAGTCTGGCTTTCAATTAACGAGAAGGGTATTCGAAAACAGAGTGATGAGAGGAAGACGGTGAAGTTAATAAATATGAAGGGGAATGAGAGAGAGAGAGAGAGAGAGAGGAATCTACCGTCGGAATCAATTCAGCAAATGAAAATATGCGAGTTGCTTTCTTTCTCCAACAAATTTCAACTCTTTGGGCCGTTTTCATCTCTTTTTTTTATATTATATACTATTATATATATAATTTAGTATTCGTACTATGACCAAATTGCAAAATCCCCCCTCATAGCTTAGATGATATTACTAAACTCCCCCATTTTCGTCTACTTTTCCCTACTTTTCTTTTTTATTGATACATGCCATATTGGTGGAGCGGGGACTCAAACACAAAACACGATAAATACTTTTAATCACTTTAGCTACAAAGTCCCGTAAAATCTTATTTTCACCATTAGTTTTCAATTTTGTAATTTTGTTGAAACTAGCATCTCTGTAAGGATCGTGCCTGCAAACATTTCATATTGCACAATAAGATTTTTTTTTTAAGTACTAAATAGTTTTGGTTAAGTGTATTTCACTTCCTAATTAGAAGAGGTTCGGATTTCAATAGCATGTCGGCCTAATAGAAGGGTGTATATGTAGGGTTATTCGATCTTGTATACCGGTTTGTAAAACATCGAAAAATCATGTATGAACCTGAAAAATCCACCAGCACGCCATCTTTTTCCCTTATGAAGTAACTTGAGGTAAAGTCAATATTTACTCACACTAATGCAAATGGAAATTAGAATAAATTCCAAGATTCTAACCAATTCATGCCCCTGACCCAGAGCATGGACATAGCTTCTTGTTTCAACCAAGAATGACATTTTCAGAGTAGAATTATAGATGCACATTACCGCATGATCACAAGAGAAATTTTCATTTACGATTATCAAACAGTTTGAAATCTTCAAAATATGATTTTCCATGATGAATCATATCCAGCCCTTTCAATCAGATCCATGCTTCTGCCCCTCACTTCCTTAGAGTGAAACAGAAGACTGCATTTCCAATTTCTGTAGCTACTAAAACTTTATGATTATATGACCAGTAAAATTATACTGTTTCCAGAATTAACAGCTATAAGTGGACCAAGATATATGGCAGCAATAGCCTTTCAAATCACTCCTTTATTTTACCACAGATTTTTTTCTAATCATTTGATTGAGATGATAGATGTTTCAAGCTCCACTTGTAGAAATAGCAGTACCACCCATCTTATCAAGCTCTTCTAATGCCGCCCACAACTTCGGATCCTCATAATCCTTTATAAGAAAGGTAGGTTTTGCTTCCATTAGTAGATGTGCTGGATTTCCGGTGGTTAAGCCGACAACCGGCATACCAGCTGCCACTCCAGCTTTAATCCCTGAAGTAGAATCCTGCCAAAGCAAAACAGAAAAGATATTAAAATCTCAGAAGTTCCTGGAAAACTTAAAAGGAGGGCCGCAGAAGGGGCAGACCTCAAACACAAAAGTGTGATCCTTTGATGCGTTGAGTGTTTCAAGTGCCTTTAAGTAGGGGTCTGGATGTGGCTTCACATGTTCACAGTCACTCCCGAGAATAACAGCATGAAAGAAATCTGATAGGCCAAGAATTGAGATCATTAGTTCAGCGTTTGGTCTTGGAGCATTACTAACTGCAGCCCGTTTCAACCCGCGATCTTCAATCCATTTCCTCAATTTATGGAGGCCCTTCACAGGCTTCAATTGTCCTGGGGCCAATCTGTTTCCATCAAAGAAATCATATAAGCTGCTGGGAACCTGAATGAAAATTCAAGTATGGAGAAGGTGAAGCTTTTACTTTCGAAACATGACTTCCTTGTCATCTGTGAACTTTAAGCCTCTTTGGAAATCATCAGGAAAGAGTATCCTGGCAATATCATCATTATGCCTGCCTCCAATATTATCAATGTAGTATTCTTCAGTAATTGGAACCCCTCCATTGAAACCTATCTGTTAATTTCACCACTTCAGTTAATCACCAACCTATACAGTTCAAAGGTTCTCAAAATTCTACTGAATTACAAGCTTCCTTGGGTAAATAATTAGTGTTCCTTATGTAACTTTTCATGTAAATATGATTACAGTTCACCCTTTCATTATAAATATGCCTACTGTTCACCTTCTCATGGTATATATGATTACGGTTCACAGTTATAAAATTTCTACAAAGTATGAGCAACTTCCATGAAATAGTAGAAGCATCCTTTGCACTTTTCATGGTGTGATATGAATGCAGTTAAAAACAATGTAAAATTATGACCAGAGAAATCCTAAATCTTATCTTTGTAACAGAGTATTGGAGAAAACAAAAAAGAAACACTACCTCTTGAAGCATTTCACGGAAGGCATGGCAATGAATGGGATCTGAATCACACAGAGTTCCATCAATATCAAATAGTACTGCTTCAAGTGGAGCAATTCCAGAGAGTGAACTTTTTCTGGTTCCACACACACACCACAAAAGAAAAGCCAATAAGGCGTCAGAACCAAAAGAATACAAGTCAAAGACAAAGGTTTTTGTTTCATGCAGTATAGAACGAATGAACACAAAGTTACACACCAAAAATCTTATACTTGTACAAAATAAAAGATCATGCAGAATCATTTCTTCCGCGTAGCAGTGCCTTGTAAAATTAAATTAGTCCACATTGCCATCTTTCTGTGAATATAAAAGCTTCTACTCTCTCTGCCTACTAGTGTAAAGTACATAGATTTAAAATATTTAAAAAACAAAATTGACAACATTATGTTTGGATCAGGTAAGGTATAGTCCTTTAACATTTTATTTTCTTTTGCAACAAAATTAACTGGGCTATCTGACTTATTGATTCAGTATTGACGGGAAAGTTGATAATAAATCAAATGGGGAAGAAGAACCCCCAAATGGTGAAAGCTAAATGATGGCAGAGAAGCAAAAGCACTGGTAGAAGATAGAGGGGAATTAGCAATCTAAAAAGTAAGAACAATCAACATACACAATCTGTGCAAACTAAAAAATTAGAGGAGAGAACAATGACATGCAAGTCAAACTAAGCTGAACATACAGACATATATATACATAAACATGGATGCACATGGCAATCAGACCACATAGTTAATTCCTCATACATGAGAGAATATAAATTGGTTCAACATGCCACTTCAAATTTAAACAATGAAAAGGAAACTTGACACAAAAAAAATAAATCCATTACAATTCACATTTCACAACAACAAACCTCAACAAAAATGAAAACACAACCCAACATGATATAACAAAAGTTTGACACTGTCATTGCAACATAAACTCCTATAAATCATATTTTCCAATTTGTGAGAATGCCATTCAACAGGAAACAAATTGTGAAATATAAGAACTACCCATATCAAAATTTCAGTCAATGTTTGCAAGAAAAATCAAAGAGAGCACAAAGCGTGTACACAGGGTACCTCTCCACTGAATTTTCACCAGAAGAAGTTGTCATAGTTTGATCGTCTGTGGACGATATTTCAAGGGCTTTCTCTGCGGAATTTGGGTTTTGTTTTGATGAAGGCAATGGGAATCCGAGAGCAGACTGATTAGAGGAAGACAGAGAAGTGATCAAACGAGCAAACGAGAGAATTGGCTTTTTACTCTCCTTCTTCGGTTGTTTTATTTTTTTTATGTATTTACTATTTAGTATTCCTACTATGACTAAATTAGAAAATTGCGCCACAGTTTTGACAATATTACTAAACTCCCCTGTTTTCGTATGCTTTTACTATGTTTCCAACTTTATTAGAATGATTTAGAAACTCTTTCGTTAAAATTAATACAAATCCATAAGACTTATTCTCCCATTAGTTATAACTTATAAGATCTTCAATTAACTTCGGAGATACATAATAAGAAGTAATATACATATATTTAATATAATTTACAATAGTTAATTAGCCAAAAGTCCAACGTCCTATAGCCTATAGGTTTAGCATTTATAAAATTATTTGCAAGTTTATGTTCTTGTTTGCACATTTGGTATAGGACCTTTAAAATCTCATATCCGCTCTTGGCTAAGATGTGAGCTTTTACAAGAGAAAAATATGAATAAAAAATCAAATGGAGTGAGCTACATAAGCTCGTTTTTCCATTAGTTAAGTTAAAATACAAGTAAATCATATGCAAACCAAATGTATCATGTAATCTAAAATATTTTTATGTCTACGAAGTATCAATTTAAAACTTGTTCATACGTACTTTTTGTTAACAGAAAAACTTGTTCATACTCGTCCTTAACATGAGGATTGGTTTCCCACCCATTTATTACTCAAATATTTGTTGTCCGCTAGGTTTCAAATTTAAGACAAAGCTTACCTTTAACATTAGCTACGAAGTTTCTAATTATTTGTTATCCATGGAAGAGAATACAAAACATAAAGGTCAAGGGCATATAACAAATAATCAAAGAGTGGAGGCCCTCAATGGGTTATTATTCGAAAAGCATATTTACTATTTTTAGTCTCGGGCAGATTGAGTGGCTTCTCCATTTTTTTATTCTCCAAAATTTTGGGGAAGCCGGGAGGAAGCTGCTCAGTTTAGCAGATGGCAGTCAGTTCATACACGTTTGTAGGCTAATCTAAAGGTACATAGTCACGTGTTCATAAAAGTATGAGAGGAAAACCAAGTTGGTCACGTCCTCTTGATCTCTCAGTATTAAAATATTGAAGGGGCTCATACTTTACCACATCATTGTGATCTCATATTGTAGATATGCTGTTGTAACGTGTAGGGTGCCCCCACCTACCCACAACAAAGAGATTGATTGGTTTTTCTTTTATTCGTCACATATATTGGGTTCTGACCAAAAAAAAAGTATAGATTGGGTCATTGCGAAAGACAGAGAGAATGCAGATTAGGTCGAATTACACTGCTCCAGTTGGTGTGAATTCTTAGAATTGTATATCGCGTACCCAATTGGGTAAGTTGCTAAAGTTCAATTTAGACTAGAGTTGTATGGGCCTGTATGGAACCATCATGACTTGCCCAATCTTATACATGAACCACACAACACTAACTATTTCATGTTTTTTTTTCTTTTTTAAAAAATATAAGTGATAGCCTAAACTATAAGGGGAGGGAGGGAGTTTCTCACATACACACACTACCAAGATGCTATGGGGATTCGAATATGAGACCACTTGTCTGCAAGCCAAGGTCCTTTTCTGTAACACCCCACACCAACAAATTGTTTTTATTTAATTATTTAATTGTGCAATTACATTCTTGCCTTCGGGATATGGACACTTTAGTCACTTTTTGTTCGGAAAGGATTTTGGAGAATTGAGTTGCACTTTTATTTAGAGCTCGTCGATACGAGTCTGTAGACAGGTGGCATGCTCAATTCTGAGTTGTAACGAACGCGTAAAGGTCTGAAAACTGAAAGGATGACTTTGAGATTGCTTAGTGCTTGAACTCACGAGTTCGTAAACACGTGGTGGGCCTAAATCGGAGTAGAAACGAAGACGTTTTGGTCAACGGAAGTATAGTGGCACAATCATAATTATTGCAAACTCGGAATTTTTTTTTTAAAGGAATGCGCGTCACTTTAAAGATTGTTTTTGTGGTGATTTGGTTGCTGGATGGGATATATGAGTATGGAATTTGATGGGTTGTGTTTGGTTATTGATTCTGAAGCTCTCTCTCTTGGGTTTAAGGGAAATTTTATGAACACCAGAAAACAGAGTTGCAGACCAACACATTGTTTTTTATTCTATTATTTATTTATTGTGGTGAATTACCTTAGTTTGGACTGATGGGAGTGGTCTATGTCATATGTTAAAACTTTATTTTGTTCTTCTTGTTATGCTCTATTTTATTTTCAGTTTTTCATTTTCATTTCTGATTTTGGAAGTTTATATTTTGCGAGAGTTGGGTTATGTTTTGTTTATATTTAGTGAATTTGCAGATTAGTTTTGCTTGGTTCAGAACTTTTGAATCTATTTGGGGTTTCTACGAATTAGGTAGAATATTTTGATTCACAGTGAAATTAGGTGGAATACAGAAGGGGGGAGGGGTCTGTGGGGGAATGGGGAAGAAGAAATCGGAGGAGGGGCGCCGAGTTTGGGTATAATTTTTTTTTTCTCTTTTTCTTCAATTTTTTCTAATTTTGTATTTATTATAACTTTATTTTTATTTGTTAATTATGAAAAGTCATATTATGCTTAAAATTTGGTTAAATTTAATAAAAAATTAGACAATTGGACCAATAGCTCGAATAATATAGAATTGATGGACCGTTTATTTCTACATTTTGTTCTCAATATGATAGCTTATTAGCTTTTGCCTTTTCTTTTGCTTTTTCTTTTGTTGCTTTTGTCTCACAAAGTGAAAAAGAAGAAAAAGAGGAGGTACCACAGGGGTGACCTCCCCCTTCCCACCTACTTGACACCCAAGTTCAAAAATCCAAAGGGTTTCTTTCTCGCTAATGTAACCGAAAAAAGAGGAAAAAAAGAAATATGCTAAAGTAATGTGGAATCCTAAAGCATAGATAAGGAACAAATTATTGGTTCTAGGAACAAATGATTAGGGAATAGGCATTTATTCTGGAGACGTTGCTCTTGCTTAAGCAAGTAAACTAATGAATCGAGAAATCATACATGAAAAAAGACTAATCAATATCAAATATCACTTAATTTTTAGCATTCATTGTACAGAAATGTACGGTCATTATCATAACATTAATTGTCGTTAGATGAGTTTAATTTTTAAATTCATGTAACAAAATGCTCACTATTAATTAAAGTGGTGATTCTCCCTAAAATAATAATAATAATAATAAAGTTGGTGACCGAAATGCTCTCTTCTCGCATGTAGTTTCTACCCAACCCGATTTGTATGGTTGTAGATACACAAAAAATTGTAATGTTTTATTTTTCCGACATTGAAAAGAAAGAGTAATTCATATAGACTTGAAATTGGTTAACACGCTTACAGCACACAAGTATTTGAAGAACCAACCAACTGATTCTTCTAAATGATACAAAACATCCCAAGTTCGAATCCACTTTCTACACAAACGTACACAGAAATTGAACTGACCCTGATGAGTAGGGCACTAAATATTAAGAAGCAGAAAGAAACAAAAGACACCAGTAGTAGTAGCGGCCGATTATTTGTTGGGGGGATGTCTGGAGCAAGCCCTATTGGTGGCTTCGTTGCATTGCTCTCGTTTTGGACTTTTGTTTTTCTCATCGTGGCAGGGATCGTTTTGTCCATCAAATCGGTTGCAGGACGCAGCTTTCCCCCGTTGTTTTGCTGCAGAGGTGGTGTGGTGGGAACCGCCATCCGCGAGGAGCCTTATGCTGAATTCTGAGTCCAACATGAACTCCAAGTCAAAGTCCAACTCCGAGTGTGCAATCCGGCACGCCGTGTCGGTGAGGCCGTTGCACCGGGAGGCAGAGTGGCCACCGGTGATGAAGCTGGTGTTGATGTGGATGTCAATGCCATGGCTTGTGGTGAGCAGGGCCATGGCCATCATCACCATCATCAGCTTCATTGCTCCTCCTGAGTGACTCATCTTTTGTTTTTTTTTCTTTTTCCTTGTTCTGCTGCATGCACTCCTCAAACACTGTATATATATAATATAGAAAAGTACTTTACCTCTTTTCTTTACTCTTCTTTTTTTCTTGATTTGATGGATCTATTCTAAGGGGAGGAGGCACCCACAAGGGTATCCGAACTCCTTTACTCTTCTTATATACACATGTAAAAAGCACAGCTAGACCCCTCCATAAACTTTTCTTTATGCTTTACTCGTCACATATAAAGCACCAGCTGTTATATGTATATGTATATAGACCACGAGATTCACGACTCCGTAAGAATTATCATTCCCAGTGTTTCATACAAAACCTCTGTATCTGTTGGATGATATGATTAAGTCCCAACGTTTCATACAAAACCTGATCAACAATTTTGATCACAGTGATGCTCGTCACATCGACGTGTTCTAAAGTCAAGTCTGTCGACAGACAGGTTTACTATTTTACAAAAAGATCTGTAAGGACCACTCGCCGTTCTACATTCATGTAAACTCGTTAAACCCTAGAATTATCATTTGAATTCCTAGGATTGCTGCAGAAAAATTCCTCATGATGCAACGTTTTATTCCCATCCTTGGCTCATCAAATTGTGAGACTTATGCGCGTCGTGGGCCCAACCCCCAAAATGGTTTCCATGTCATGGCTGATCATAGGGCTCAATGGATTTCTTTCCTTGATTTAAATGGCAGTCTACGTCGGCATACTGTAAAGCATATTCACAATTACAAGTCTCTCTTTCCGCCATCAATTTCATTAATTTCTTTCATGCTGTTAGGGGTATTTCCGTCCATTTCTGACATTTAAATGTCATAGCCAGAGTAAAAGACTTTAGGCCTTTTCCAACCCATATGGGGCTAAACCCAAATTTTCCCTTCCAAAAAAGTAACTATTTGTCTAGACTCAAAACTATTTTTTCTCCCAACCCTTCAAACTCAAATTTTAAGTTCGCAACTTTATTAAAATATTTAAGAATGGTTTAAGTATAAATAATTTTTTATGGATAAATTTACTTCATTTAATCTTTTTAAATAACTTCATAATTTTTATTTTTTTTTAACAATATGACCTAAAAAATTGAAATTCCAGAAATATAATTTTATTCCAAAATGATGAAAGGAGATTGATGAAATTGACAAAGGAAAAATCAATTGAGAAAGAGAAAAAATATTTTTGGAGTGAGTTTTGGGGTTTGATTTGATTTAGATTAATATTAAATATTATTTTGACCGTTAAATTTAAATTTCAGCACTTGGATTTTTTTTTTTACTGTTAAAATAACTTGGATTTAATATGGATATATGATTGATTTGGGTTATTGTTGGAATAAATAAATAAAAAGAGTTGTTTGAATTGTACCGTTGGATTCCAACAACAACCTCACCAACGCGTGACACGTGGCCTAACAAGATCTACCACAATAGCAGCACGGGCCCTAATCACACCTCCTTGCACATGGGCTGCATCAGCCTTGAGTGGACTCCATTGAAAAAAATTCCAATGCAGGCAATAGCTGGACTGGTATTTGGGCCCAAGTTTGGGTTTTTCCAAATTTTGACCCTTAATTTTCTTGGATTGGGAGATGATTTGGGCTAAAATTTGGGATATTTGGCCTTAGGAAACACAATTGTTGAATCAAACGTTCATTTACATTATTTCCATATAATTTGCATGGTTATAAGCATTGTTGCAATATCATTGTTGGATAAACAACTGAATTATGCTTGGTATAATTGACTGTTGGCAGCTTAACAAATAGAAACATTAAGAACATGAAATGGGGAGTTTCATCTTGGCTATAACATTTAAATGGCAGAAATGGATGGAAATATCACTGACGGTGTGAAAGAAATTAACAGAATTTGTCATTTGTCTTTAAATTGCTATAATTATGAAACTACAAGGGCATAATTGACCAAATTGAAACTATAGGGACTAAAAGTGAAAGATAGACAAACTACAGGAACAAAAAATGTCTTTTGGCCTTTGAACTATATATTAAAATTAGAAATTAGAAATTATATGATTTCAATCGAGAGTTTAAAACACAACATATCAAATGATTTACATATTAGATTGTCTTGCAATTCTCTTTGGGGATATACATCTGAACCAGTGGCGGACCTATTAAGGATGCACCTCCCCTCACTGGGAAAATCATTGTAGATGCTGCATATTGCACCTTTGCTCAGTCTGGAAGGTGCACTCTAAGTGTTCGACGAAAAGCCTAAACAAAGTCAGTCTGTTGTTGCGCTTGTTTTTTTGTTTAATTTTATAAATTCTTGCCAAAATTGCATCTCCGTTAAAAAATTCCCGAGTACACTTCTGAACTATGCCGTCTTCCATATTGTCATGCCATAAAATAACTCGATAGAAAATTATATTCAGGATCAACTTGGAAGGAGGGGCATGCTTGAAGTGAACTTCAAGATAAAAAGACACCTTTAATTAAGAAACTATACTTTGACGAATATATTACTGCTATGTAATAATTACCATCAATTAAATAGTGATCCACTGTGCTTATTATACACTAAACTGTAATTGCAAACAACTTTTGTAGCTTGGGCCATCTTTGTTCAATACATATGAAGGAAGGGTGTTTCCTAAGAACTTCCTAACACCCCAAAATAAATCACAGCCCATGTGCCTCAAATAAAAACTAGTACTAGGTGGGAAACTTGAGATGCCGAACATAAGGGGTTAATCTAGTGCAAAAGCACCTAACTTTGCCTTGTAATTCCAATTCAAGGAAATTCTATTCAAAAGTCTCAAATCTCAATCTTTGATTTTGACCCCTCTCTCTGGTATGCCAGTGTCAACAAAACCTATCATGGTCAAATCAATAAAAAATCAGCTCAAGTTGTGAGAATCAAATGTTTCTCATCTTATATACATGCTTATCCACAAATTCATACTTTTCTGCTTCTGACTTGAGAAATTGATGAATTAATAACACTGCAAACATATTTAGACTGAAACAAAGAAAATAGCATAAACTTGGATACAGTTTAACTAATGACTTTTTGATAATTTAATACCACAGAATTCAACAAGGAACGAAAAATCACTGTCACATTTGAAAGATGAGAAAGAAGCTTTCCACAATGATATTCTACATCAAGTAAATAAATATGGCTAGGAAGGTAGCCGACAAACGCAAGTAACAGAATTCCACTCATTCAGAAAAAATTCTTCAGAAGAATGTCAAAGTTGGTGAGGCTTACCAAATTGAAGTTGGACTTCATAATTTACTATAAATACACTAACCATTTAGCTATAGCTTCATGCAGTATCACCAACTTGCAATAACATTCTAGCAAGAAAACTAGCTCTCATTTCATTTTGCTTGTGAGGACCTATAATGGCTTTCTCTCTGTGGTCTCAACTTTCCCTTTTCATTGTCTTGCTTGTAGTACAAACTCCAGGGGAGGCTGCAACATGCAGTGACTGTTTCGTTCATTCTCGGGCAAGTTATTATCCGAATTCTGAAGCGCAAGGAACAGATAGTAAGAGACTTTTATTTAAAGAAAACAAAAAGAACAGTAGATTTCTATGTTGCAGGCATGCTATGTATGTGGTAGTGGATTTATGTGTATGCTTAGTACTAATTAATATTTTTTGTTATGAACTATAGTAGGTGCTTGTGGGTTTGGTTCATTTGGAGCAACCATCAACGGAGGGGATGTCTCAGCTGCCTCTGACCTCTATCGCAATGGCGTCGGATGTGGTGCTTGTTACCAGGTGAGCATGCACTCCTAACGCATGAAAATATGTGTTTGTGTGCGTGTGTTAGTGTTGAGTGTTTGTGATCAATTAATTTTTTTGCCTCATGATTTACTAGGTGAGGTGCACCAACAGCCGCTATTGCTCAGACAAAGGAGCAACTGTGGTTATAACTGACCAAGGCTCCGGTCACAACACGGACTTCATCCTTAGCAAACGAGCCTTTAGCCGGATGGCTCAAACTACTGATGCAGCTGCTTCTCTGCTGTCCCTTGGAGTAGTCGATATCGAATACCGACGGTAAGAGCCTAGCAACTTTGAGGAAGAAATAAGCCATTTTCATAGTTACACAATGGAGGTGGTAACACTTCTGATCAATAGTTACGCAGAGAAGATTGTCCCAACAGAACAATCTGTAAAATTGAAACACACACAAACACATGGTTTCCTTTATCTATATATGTAGCTACTCATTTATGACAAACTTTGATGACTAGAAACTAACCAAGTAGCTCTCTCTCTCTCTCTCCCCCAAAACAGGGTTTCATGCAGCTACCCAGGAAAAAATATTACAATCAAGATTGATGAGAACAGTAATTATCCTCACTATTTGGCTTTTGTAATATATTACCAGCAAGGGAAGAACGATATCACAGCTGTCCAGCTATGTGAGGTATATTTTCTCCTCAATATTAAATTCAGTACTTGTAGTTTCAACTAGGAAAGAAATTAAACAAAGATGAAACAGTTCTTACTCTGATCAATTACCAAATGAAATTAGAGAGCTGCATATGAATCCAAGTCATATGTTCTTATCTTTTAGCTACCAACTTTACTTGCTTTATTCTTATTCTGTCATCTTCATCATCACATAATTAAAAATTCTTTTTTTTCAAAATGTGCAGACACAAAATTTTGCCTGCAAACTATTGGACAGGAGCTATGGAGCAGTTTGGACAACTACCTCACCCCCAAGTGGACCCTTGCAGATAAGGATGCTATTCAGTGATGAAGATGGTGATGAGAATTGGGTTGTTCCTGAGAATAACATACCACAAGACTGGAAAGTTGGACAAACATATGACTCAGGAGTTCAAGTGAACTAATTATAGATAGACATGCAAATGCAGCAGATCAAATATTCTAATTTATAAATTTGTCTTAGTTACGCAAATCTTTTGATTTGTTGTGCTTCATTAATTAATGTTTTTCTTTTGCAAATAGGAATATGCTTGAATAAGAGGATTAGTTGGCAGAATTCCTTCATGTAATCATCAGTGTTCAACCAAATTCTATAAATTATCAATTTTTTATTATATTTTTGTGTGAGTTATGTTCAATATCAATACAATAAGAGTTCCTCTTACCCTTAATGATCACACAAATTTCTTAATGAAGGCTTCTTTTATTTTTTATTAATATTATGACTGCGACTAGATTCCTCACTTTTTAAGGCATCGGAAGGTATTGGGTGACATAATTGGCTCTCATCCTCAAATGACATAATTGGCCTAATTGGCAAACCTCAGATGCCCCACAGAGACTTCTGAAAGCGAAGAGTTGGTGCATCAATTACTCCACTCTGAGGATATTCTTTCAAATAACAAAGAAACCCGTGTGGAAATTTGAATTTTCCTACGAAGAAAGTTTTAGTAAATCATTATAAGAGAACACCACCACCCAAAAAAAAAAAAAAAAAAAAAAAAAAAAAAAAAAAATCAATAATCATCCTGTTGTGTTTAATATGGATTCAAAATGTAAAATAAACTACAAAAATTTGCATCAAACGAACCTCTTTCACTGATAGAAGAGGCCCCAAGTTCGAATCCCCCTCTAGAATTGATCAAATGAAGCTCTTTTAATCGTATATTCACATATTTCTACCCATCTTATGATTCTGACCAATAGTCCCAAATACAAGTGATAGCATCTCATCCACTTGTGGAAGTAATTTATCTCCTGAGAGGAAGACATTAACTCTTCCTTGCAGCACAATCCAACTGCATCCAGGAACCTTTCTCACTCCTTTCAATCCCATCTCCCTTCTCAGCAATTTTTCCTCAATATGCTGACCATTAGCGGCATATATGTTACAAAGCACCACATGGGCAGGTGCATTTAAAGGATCCAGCTCCAGGAGTTGTTTGGCTGCATACCTAGCAACCTCAGCATTCGTTTCACCAAACCCGCATATACCAAGCAATGACCCCCAAACAGCATGATCTGATTTGAAAGGTAGCCTTGAAACGAATTCTTCTGCTTCTTTTACCTTCCCAGCTCTGCCCAGAAGATTAACCATACAAACGTAATGCTCCAAAGCTGGTTGAACTGCATAAATATTACTCATGGCATTGAAAATCTCCCACCCTCTGTGGACAAGCCCTGCATGGCTACATGCTGATAGTAAGCCCAAAAAAGTGACAGAATTTGGGCGGGTCCCAGATTTCACCATGGATTCAAAGATCTTCAGAGTCTCATTCACATGTCCATGGTCTGAGAACCCCATGATCATGGAATTCCATGAAATCAAATCCCGCAAACTCATGTTTGAGAATGCACGGTAAGCGTCATCTATCTCCCCACATTTCGCATACATGGAAATCAGCGAGTTGTTAATAAACAAGTCAGATTCATATTGTGTTTTCATCAGCAGGCCGTGGAACTGTCTCCCAGGATCAAGATATGCCATTGCACCAGCAGCTCCAAGAAGAACTGAATATGTTGAATTTAGAGGCGAAACACCTTCTGACCTCATTTCTGAAAAGAAATCGGTAGCTTCTGCAAAAAGCTCACTTTGGATGTGCCCAGAAATCATTGCTGTCCATGCAACTGCATCTCTATCTGGCATGATCTGGAAAAGATAACAAGCCTTTGATAGTTGTCCAACACTAAAATACCCAGTGATCATAGACGTCCAAGAGATCTTGTCTCGGATAGGTACATTGTCAAAGAAATGTTGAGCCTGGTCTAGCTGTCCAATCTGTATGTAACCATTAATCATGGAATTGCAAGACTGAGCTGTACAATTACTTGAATTCTTGATAAAAATAAGGTATGCAGAATTCATGATACCAAAGGCTGAGTACATGTGAATGAGGCTCTTTGATAATCTGCCATCATAATCATCATACTCCCAACCGTTCACAATCAACTGAGCATGTAGTTGCTTGCCAAGATTAGGCAAATCAATACCTGCACAAGCATATACAAGCGATATAAAGGTCTCTCCATTCGGTTTTGTGTCACAGTTCCCCTTCAATTTAAGAAATAGTGATAGAGCTTCTTTATAGAAGCCATTCCAAGCAAAGCCACCAATCATGGCTGTCCAAGAAACAACATTCCTCTCAGGCATTTTTTGAAACAAAGAATAGCCCTCATCCACATTGCCAGACCTACAGTAACCAGATATCATGCTAGTCCACGTAATCACATTCCGATCCACCATCTCATCAAATAACACTCTTGCTTCTTCCATTCTACAATGCTCAGCATACCCAGAAATCATGGCATTCCAAGAAACAACATTCTTCGTCGGCATTTGCTCAAAAACCCGCCTTGCTCCATCCAAATCCCCATTCCTAATCAACCCAGCAATCATGGAATTCCAAGAAACAACATTCCTCTCTGGCATCACATCAAACAATCCACGTGCCTCATCAATCCTCCCCGCATCTGCTAACCCACAGAGCATTGAAGTCCACGATACAACATTTCTCTCTGGCATCTCTTCAAAGAACCGCCAGCCCTCATTCAACCTCCCAGATTGGACATACCCTGACAACATCGCATTATAAGTCACAATGTTCCTCTCCGGCATGATCTCAAAGAGCATCCGAGCCTCATCAACACAACCACTTCTCGAGTATTTTGTAAGCAAAGAAGTCCAGTGAACAACACGGCCATGGCTATTTCTTGCAGGCAATTTCTCAAGCAGCTTGCGTGCCTCTCCAAATAGATTTTGGGAAAGACAATGAAGAAGCTGTGAATCATCAGAAGTGAGTTTTGCATGATGGGTTCTTGAAAATGCAATCTGGGTTTTATAACATCGGCAAAATAAATCAAAGCATCGAATTTTGACTAAGGTTTCTGAGAAGTTAAAACAGATGGATCGGCAAAATGAGGCGCGCATTAACTAGTTTTCAAAAAGTAACAGTTTCTAAAGGCTTCAACTTTAAGGACCCAAGTAAAAATGAAAAGAAATGACAGCCCCCATGTTATCTGACTTTGAGTGTGGCTGTAAGTCACATAAACGACGCCGTCACATATGACTTTTTGAACCTACATGGACTAGGATATAAAAGAGGCTCTCTGTTTAGCTTAGCTCTGAGATCCAACAATGGAGTTCTTGGACGAGGACGCAAGGCCAAGGTTCCTCTTCCAATCGAAAGCAGTGGGTTCTTCAGCCACAGAACCAGAACCCCATTACAAGAATCTCAACAAACCATTCATTGCCTTTACAATTTTACTCTCAATTCTATTACTGGGTCTCTCCTTCTTCTTCCTCCAATCCGAACCCTACCAATCTCTCCTCATCTGGGTTGCTCTCTCCATCCTCGTCGGCCCCTTCGCTCCCGCTTCAGTCACCGGCGGTGACATCCGCGTCGGTCACGGCCAAATCCTCGACCTCCCTGAAATCATAACCCAAGTAGAGGAGGAATCGAAGAAGAGGGTATCTCAAAAGAGATCAAAGCCGCGTCGATTTGATGAATTGGGCACAGATTCGACACCGGTGGCCGAAACTGTTAATGGGCCTGTGAGAGAAGAGAAAAAGCGTGAGGTTTCCGAAGGTAATGGTAATGGGTCTATGGTGTTTGATGAAGAGACGGAGTGGGTTGAAGAGGATGTTGAGTTTTTGAAGAAACTGCTCTTGAAGCACCCGGTAGGGAAGCTGAGACGGTGGGAGGTTATTTCCGAGTCGTTTCGCGGAAAGCATAAGGTGGAGAGTGTAATCAAGAAGGCCAAAGAATTGGGAGAGAAGAAAGTGACTGATTCAGATTCTTATGCAGAGTTTTTGAAGAAGCGTAAGCCCAATGACAAGAAAATCGAGAGTGAGAGTCAAGACTTGGGTGATGAGTTGGTGGTGGAAAATGGTGAAGTGAAGAAAGAGAGCAATGGTGGTGGGGTGAGTTGGGCTTCAACTGAAGACATTGCATTGCTCAATGCCCTGAAGGCGTTTCCCAAGGATGTGTCGATGAGGTGGGAGAAGGTTGCTGCTGCTGTGCCCGGGAAGTCGAAGGCGGCTTGTATAAAGAGAGTTGCCGAGTTGAAGAAGGGTTTTCGGAGCTCCAAGGCTTCAACAGAAGAGTAGATGAAGCAAGGGAAGATTGTCTGATCAATTTGGAATTGGATATGCATTTTGCATTGAGGAGGTAATTTGATGATTCATTGATTTCTTTGTTTTTTCTATTGAAATTGAGAATCATTGCCTATGTTTGATTCCATTGCAATTTCATATAATAATCCTATGGCATTTGGTGATTGCCATTACAAACATATGATAGTTGTAACTGATTCTTCTTTTACGAATAAAAACCAAGTTATACGGTTTGATATAAAAGTTGTAATGCTATATGGTTTCATCCAATATCATGTGTATAAACTACATGATTTCTCGTTGGTTTTTACTGGATTAGAATTTCTGATGCTCCCTGATGCTAGAGGGACTTAAAGAGCAATGAAAAATAAATAACAAAATATGGTTTCCAATAAATCTCAGCCTCCTTCTCCCATTTGAGGCTGACAACTTACCCCCCTTTTTATGTGTAATATATTAGCAAGGCATATATCTGAAGAGTTTTTAGGTGACTTAATCTTTCCAGTGAAAACAAACTTAGGTACGTATATTTGGGTCAAAACTTTGTAAAGATTGACGGAATAGCATCTTAGAAACGAACTAGTGTGACCCTGGTATGTATATTTGGGTTAAAACTATGTAAAAAAGGTAAAAACTGATGAATTAGTGATGAAATCAGTGATGTCTTAGAAACTAATGAAATGATAAGAGTTTTGTTGTTCTAGGCCAGCTTTGACTAATAAGAATTTGTATTTACTAGATCATGGAACAGTTTGAGATTGTTTTCAGTCATGTACAATGAAATTCCAGTGACTGAACCCATTGAGAAGATATTTGATTCTTTTTGGAATCTTCATATAACAGAAGGCAGAGAAATAAGAGATGTGAAAGCTGAGAGGGAACAAAACAGGGTGACCTTGATTTTATCATACATCTGGCCTTCTATAATTTGGCCTGGGGGGATTTGTTTCATGGTTTATCAAAAGCTCTATAGACTGGGGTGCTATGGTTTATGGCTTATACACTGATGCTCGGTGCAAGACTGCTGAAAACTGCCCTTGCCAAAATCTCAGTTGATTCTGATGGAGCAATTATAGTTCAAGCAGGATCCTTTCCATATTTGAAGGACTTTCTGTCAGAGAGATTTGAGGCCTATCAACTTTCTTGCAATACTCATAGATTCTTATGTTTGTTTTATAGTATTCTTTGAAAAGGTTCTCAAGTGAGGATTATTTATTTATTTATTCCTAATGTTAGATCAGATATGAACAGCTAAAATACATAATGGGTGAGATGCATTTCAATAGATCTCAATTCTTGACCATTCATCTAAAGGTTCAAAAACGGGCGCCCCCCGGGGGGGTGGGGGGTGGTGGTGGGGGTGAGAGGAAGCGGGGGAGGGTGTGGAGTGGGTTTTTGGTTGTATCCTATTGGATATCCAAACTAATCTGCCGTCTTATCAACCTGATGCTTGTCATGCTGATTCAGTTATACATACAATCAGGGAGTACTTTGGTTAAGCTTTTTTGATTTCTTCAGTCCATACTAAGGATGACTACTAGAGGGCGTTTAGCGACAAAGGATCGAATGCAAATCTATTTCCTCCCTAGTCCTACTCTTGTTCCTTTCGCCTGGCCACCTTTTTTTTTTTTACCTTTTATTTTTTTTTTTTTTTTTTTTTTTAATGGTGAGGGGATATGGGAGGGAATGGATAATGACCAAATGTGGCTCTACATGGCTCTCAACATCTTGGCACCATCATGTTCTAAAGCTGGTAAGGGTTATTTCCAATATCAGCAAGAAGCCTTGTGTTGTTCTTGCAGTCTACTGCATATGGTGTGAGAAAAACAATCAGGTGCAGATTTGCTACTGTGAAATTCAAGAAGTCCCCTTGCAATAGAACCACTGCTTTTGCCTGGCATCCCTCTGACTCGTCTTAGCAAAGTGTTTGCTTTGTCTGCCTTTGTGTTTTGTGCCCCCTTTGAGTTTGTTTCATGTTCTGGCCTTATGCCTCGCTCAGCTTCCGAACTTTTTTCCTTTTCTTTTATTGATAAGTTTCTAATGCAATTATGAACTTGTTATGTGCTACGATGGGGGGAAATTTTATTCTTACTAAATTTTCACGTTACTGTCCGGAAGTTCACCAAATTTCAACATTTCATTTCTTGTCATTTTTGTACACGGAACTTTGGTTTCACTACAGTTTCATACCCTCTGTCAATCGAGCCGACGAGAGATTCGTTAACCCTTGACATGACAAGTACTACATGGACCAGCTATTAAATTTTTTTTAAAGTAAAGAAAGTCTCTCTTTTTTTCCTTCTCGAAGAAGAAAGATGGTATATAAATGTGGTCTCTATTTTTAAAATCAGGCTCGGCCTATAGCCTATACGATTAGGTTTTTTGTACTGATTTTATTGGTTTACAATTAAATTTTCCCTTTCCTTCATTTTTTACAGGACCTCCAAATTCTTAGAACCGACCCCCTACCTAAAACAAAACTTTTCTTCACCGTCGTTTAGTCGCTCTCTCACTGTCTGTCTTTATCATTTCTAATGCATTTTCTCAATGTTCCCTCTCATCAATTTGGATGCTTATTATTAGACCAATTGCTTCTTAATTTGACCGACCGCTAAACCAGTCCTTCAAACTCAAACCCCAGCAACCATGCATGTCCAACTAAAACTAATCTGATTAATTACCTCATACCTCTATTTCTTATCTATCTCTCTCGTGTCATCTCCACCATCTCAAATCAAAATAATCAAACATTTTCCTTGGGACCCACTGGATCTAAATCACACAACTAAAAAAGATATTTATTGTTTTATTACTTTTATATTTTCTGTTTTCTATTTTTTATTTTTTACTTAGTAATAAAATCAAGGTAAAAATTTACTTTTGGTCATTGTAGTTTGCCTGTTTTATCATTTGGTCTCAGTACTTTCAATTTTGAGCAATTCAAGGGCACGTTTCAATTTTTGTAAAATTCCTCCCAATTTCATTAAGCTTTGACCACGTGAAAGGGTATTTCAGTCTATTTAAGCTATCTAACGGTAAATGCATGCTAAACCTCTTGCCATTTATTTTAGGTGCGATTTTGGAGCTTGGGGTTTTGCAAAAATTTGCATCTTTTAGTTAAAATCTGGGTGAATAAGGAGGAATTTGAGTGGAGTGGACTGTTTGAGTAAATTTCTGTACGAAAAATATTCGCGGGTTGATTCTTCACCCTTCAAACTTTCTTCTCCCTTCTCTTCCTTGATTCTTACTTCGAATTGGAAACTATAAAGATAAAATTGACAAAATTAAAACTATGAAGACAAAAGTGGTAAAATCGGCAAATTATGGAGACCACCGAAAATGACTTTATTTTTATTTTCTCCCTAAAATGAACAATATAATTATAAATTACCGACAATAGCTCTGACCTCTCCCAATCCAAACTCACTGTGTTGCTGCGTAGCTGTAACGGTAAACCCTCCCTCCTCCTGTAGAGTGAAAGGCACAGAGTGTCTTGTCTCGCATCTTCCGCGCCCTTCCATGTTGCTGTTAATATAGAAATACAACAATTACTGCAGCGCCCGATCCAAACTTCCCCCACCGCTACGCGTTTCTTTTCGGGGAAAACTAAACGTTTCTGGCTCTCACCTCCGATTCGCCTCTGGTAAGCTTTCCTCTACATTTTGTACCACTCAAGTTTTTCATACATTTTTAAGCATCTTCGTTTTGGAGCGTAGTTAATTTAGGTTCTCAGAGTGTATAATTCGTCTGTTTAAGCAATGTTAGTCGAATTTTTGGTTGTAAAATTCAGGTGATTGTGATTTGTTTGATGGGTTATTGTAATTCACAAATGATTTATGTAAAAATAAAATAAAAAACTCTGAAGTTCATCTGTTCATCGCCATGCATTTGATTTTGTGCTCAGAATTCACCTCTTTTTGTATTCCATTTGAAGGGTTGCAGCTGTGATCCCATTTTGCAGACCTTTTGCTAATTGGAATATATTCATTTCTTTGTGCCACAGAAGTACTGAGAATGATTGTGTTTTTGTGATTGAGTAACTATATGAATTTTTCTACATGACGTTGTTCCCAAGTGGGTCAGGTTTGTTTAAAGAAATAGAAGTTGCTTCTCAGCTCCATTTCCAATTTAAAGGCTGTTATGTTTTTTTAGTACCTTATCTACATATTAGACCAGAGCTACGTATATTTGTATATCCGGGTCATGGGTATGTTGATTGCGCACAACGTTAGGACAATCTTGCATTGAGAAATGAACTCTATATGTATGTATATGTAAGTAGGAGATGGGCAATGAATGCACCTGTTAATGGTAGGACTCTGTGGAACAGTTAATCTGTATTGTAGATTTTGTGATGATTTTTAAACTGCAAAACACTTTTTTTAATTACTGGAGAAGTTATAAGGCACCTGTTAAAAGCTGTTATGATTCAAGTGGTTCAGTAGTTCACTCTATGCTTAGGGACTAACCTTCGGAGATTGATCTATGGAATGAACATACAAGTGTTGGTTTAGAATATTTACAATACTTGAGTGAAAGGAAGGGAGATCATCAATTTACCCAAAAAATCACCGTCATCCTTCCATTGTTTCATTCTTTGGGTTGACCACATACATCCTGTGGTATAACTGCTAGAATATTTCATGTACTTGTTTATGGTGGACTGCTTTCTTTTATTTGTTTTTGTCAGTTTTTGCTGAGTTTATGCTTTCCGTATATTCATTTTATTCACATCATAATTTCAGTTGCTCCCCATCTATGAGGTGAGGTAAGTACTCGATGGCAGACTTACCAGGCTATATGCGTGCCTGCTTGCATACTGGGAAACTTGCTGCCTTGGCAATTTTGGTCTCTGGAGGGATTGTATTGCAAATTTTGGTGGGTAGTGTTCATTCTTGTCAATTATATTTGCTGAATTCATTTGTAAATCAGTAAGCTTTTTATCTCTTCTAAGGTTAATAGTCATCCTATGTGTTCTCATCTATCACATGTTTTGCGGCAGGCATGTGCTTTGTACGATAATTGGTGGCCGATGCTTACTAGTACGTACTGAACTTTTGGGTTTTTAATTTATTACTTTTTTTCAAATTTAACATTGCTGTTTTCCTTCGTAAACTTGCTATATGATGCCTTTTCTTTTGGCCAAATAAGCTGTTATGTAATGCTACATGTTAATGTATTTGTGAAATGATAAGTACGTCAATACTATAAAAGATTTCAATTTTTGGATTCTCTAGCTTCTTTGAGAAAGCATCTTTAAGGGTACTCATATTCTGTTCCCTTTTATCCACTTTTTGTTTTCCTTTAATTATCCCAGAACTCAAATGAATAAAATGGATCTGAATACATTCTTTTGGCAAAGTTTCTCATCTCTTTGCTTCATTGTTTCAGAACTTTTTTTTTCTTCATATTTGTCTTGGCCTGACTGGAAACAGAAGCGTTTGAGCATTATATCAGGTGGTAAAAGGATAGTGATAGGGCTAGATGTTGACTGACATCTAGCAACATGATGTACAGACACAGGTTGAGGAAAATAAAAACATTTTTTAAGAACCTTAGTTCCCAATAGAGAATTCCCTTTATGTAGGTTTTCAATGATTTGCATGACGACTTGCATGCTAATGGTTTAGTCATCACTATGTTCTCTTGCAGTAATAATGTATGTGCTTCTTCCCATGCCATTGCTGTTCTTTGTGGGATCTGATTCTTCTGTACTTTCAGAATCTGATAATGGGTTTGTCTTTCACCCTTTGAACTTACTGTAATATCCATTGCTTTCAATCTAAATCTCCTTCAACATTTCTCAGCTTCTTACTTGCTTCCTAACAATGATGAAACAGATGGGTTAATGCAACCAAGTTCCTGACTGGAGCTTCAGCTATTGGCAGCATTGCAATACCTGCTATCTTAAAGCATGCTGGTGTTATTGGTTGGGGAGCGATGGCAATGGAGCTCGCGTCCTTTTTCGTATTTGTACTGGCAATCATGTGTTACATTCGAACAAGTGATGAAGACAGCTACAGTGCAATCTGAGATACGGCTCTCCTGGAGTCCTGCCAGATTTCTGTAAAGATGTGTTGTATTTGCCTGTAGGATGTCTTTATTTCTTGGTGAGGGTTACCTGCAATAACAGCTTGTTATTATATATCTAGAAAACCTTTTTTTTTCATTCCCTGTTGAGTGTTATTCTTTATCCCTGTAATTGAGTGTGGTGTTGTATCAAATATGTTTTAACATCTCATTATAGAAAACTCTGATGTGAAAATTGAATTAAGTATGAAGTATCCTGCCTTGATGTCGAATTCTGGTGTGAAGTTGGGCATTCTTGCTTGAGATTGATGTCAACCTTCCTATACTAAATGGAAGAGGTTTTACCCTAATTAATTAAAATTTTGTTTTTTTTAAGGCGAGTCAATTTCTGGGGTTTCCTATAGAAAAATTATCTTGCTGGGCAATAGACAAAGTGTTAATTTGATCAATTTATTTCATACATTGCAATTTGTTAACTATTTTAGTTATTTTCGTATAATTTAGACATTAACGTGCATGTGTCACATGCAAAGGCTCAGAGTAGATTTGCATAAAATTAAACAAAAGGAATCAAGTTCAAAAGACCAAAATAAAATTTCAGCAAAACACTTGAACAACAATAGTACTTAACTAAATCAAACAAAATCATTAATTTGTTTCAAATAACAAATGAGCAATGTTAGCATTAGTCTCACGAGAAACACTTGTGTTGCCATAAGTGATAACTTTTATACTTGTCATAGTGTGATTGACACCCGATTAAAACAGTGTCATTCCCTTTTTTCTGCTAGTCGCACAAGAAAAATTTATAGGCAACAATTCAACCCAAAATAAAAAACTTAAACGCAACAGGATATCACTATTTTGCTATCCAACTAATAATACTATGATAAATATCACGCTTGTTGTAACCTTATTCACTAGAATACTTTTCTCAGTGTTATTCCCCTGTCATGAAATTCGCACAGGGTCTTCCAACGCATCAACCGCACACGCGTGACAATAGAAAAGCATAAAGAGCTCTGCTTCTCAGTAAGAAGCATGACAATAGACACAGCCACCATGGAAGACATCCAGGCCGAGGCCGAGGAGCTCCGTCTCCAACTCTCCTCCCTCCACTTCAACTCTGCAGCTCCACCTCTTAACCAAGACTTACATAATAATAATACTGAGAACAATTTTGGGTACAATCCAAAAACTCCTTTTTCTTTCCCCACTGTGCGATTTCGACCCTCAAAACTCGAAACTCTGATTCAACTGATGATGTTTTCTTGTTTTGTTTATGATTCACAGTGATGGCCAAGAAGTGTTCTACGACGACGACGGTTTGCTTTTCAATATTGGGTTCGGAAATGTGATCGTCGTTGATAACCTTCCGATTGTGAAGGCGGAGATGGCCCAGCAGCTCGAAAGCGAAATCCGACGAGTGTTTAGTGAAGTTGGTGTTATTAAAGAAGATGGGTTTTCGATGCCTCTTAATCCCCTGAACCAGAAAACCTTGGGTCGTTGTTTTATAGAGTTCAGTTCTCGTCAGGTACCCTTAATTTCGTTTTGTGTTAATTTATGTATTTTTCTGTGGTTTGTTCATTGTCAATTAATGTTTTGTTTAATGTATCATCAACAATGAGTGAACATAGATTGGTACCACTCACAAATTCACAATCATGGCTATTAGATTGTGAGTTAATAATTTTGAAATGAGGGTAGAACTAAAATTGAACATTGGATACTTGATAGAAACTCCATTTTTCCACTAGACAAAGAATGGGAAAGATTTATTATGCTGTTCAAAGTTATTGCTTTGCTCCTCCGAGCATGGATGGAACGAAACAAGAGGACTATTTTTGAAAATGTTAAGGGGAGGAAGTGGAAGGCCTGTGGGATAGACAGAGTTCGTTTTTAGGCTTATTTGTGGTCTTCAATTTCCTCAGACTGTCAAATTCTAGTTTTGCTCATTCATCTGGGGTCTTGAATTCTCTATTGTTTGGACATTGCATGCTCTTTGGGTTAGATATCTTGTATGCATTCCAGACTTCCTGTAAGCAGCTTGTCCACTATACATTGTGCTTTTGATTTATAGCATATCAATAAGATCTCGGTGTTTCACATCAACAGACAGTTTGATCTCCTTTCTTCCAGTGTTATAGGTTTAAAATGAAAATGTGTTTAATAGATGGAAACATGCACACTCAATATGCCTAATACCGTCTTTTTATTACAAGGTGTGGAGTAATTGTTGTGTAATTGTAACATCATGCACGCATCCTTGAATTTCTTTGCCCTCTCATATTCTCATGCTTGTCTTTGTAGGAAGCTGAACTTGCTAGGGTCAGGAGAGATGGATACAACTTCAATACACAAGCGCTGTCAGTAACCCTGTATGATGACTTGGACAGGTTCATTGATATCATTGATGTGGGGACAACACCAGAAACTAATCCATCTGCTTGTTTGGTAATTTTCCTAACCTCTCTTTGCCTATCAACTATCGTTTTAATGATTTTATATTGTTCTTATGCTTGTAGTCTTGTCTATCAACTCCACTTTTCTATATTCAAAACCGAAGTCTGCCCACTTCTATGGCACATGGCATGTTGGGATATTGTATACATCATATGAATAAATTGTAAGTAAAGAAGAGACAACCCAGATGCTATGAGTGATTGAGTTGACAATATTCATTTTAAAATTTGTTGCCACGACAGCTAGCCATTCTATATTTACATATAAAAATACGTTTTTTTAACTTCAATAAAGAAGTCAGTCAGCTCCCTTTTCCTTTTCATTAAATTTTTCTTTAATTTTCTTGGTATCTCAGAGCACTTATAGTCATTTAGTTGAGAATAGCATATACAGTGAAGTATAACTGAAGAATTTGAACGCAATATAGGACAGAGCTTATGGATAGAAATGGTAGCGTTTTGGCATAACAAACTGTTTTCTTTGGCTTCTCATTATTAAAGACCACTTACAACTCAGCCATTTCACTAGAGTCTAAGTGTCCTACATCTTGAGCATGCTGCTCACTTGTGCTACACAGAAGTACATCATGGTGCACTTGCAGATTATGCTTGTACTATGGCACAGCTAATGCATCTCACAATTCTGTTATGCCATTGATGAGTGGTGAATGATTAATGGTGATCCTTGAGCTTGCAGGGGCAGCATGAAACTTTAGTAATGATTACTACTTGTAATCTCAACTAGTTTTCATGATTAGTGTCTTGACACGCTGTGGTGTTAAATTGTAATGGAAAAAACATTTCTTAATGGTGGAACTCACTGCTAGGAGTGTCACATTTAGCAATGCAAACTTATTGCGTAGGTTTTTGTTCTTCAGTTTCTTAGAGTCATGACAGTCTCGTACAAGCATTATCATGTTGTGTTTTCAATCTTTAAGGGGTTGGACCATGAAATACTTTATTCGTCTTATTTTCTTCGGCTCTGGCAACCACAAACTGGACAATAACAAGGCTTTTCCAATGTAGTTAATAATGTATGTGTTGCATCATTGGACGCTCATTTTTAGCACGACTTTGGAATGACTGAACCACATTACAGAATCTGATAGAAAATTTAAGTTCACAGTACTATCTTGGTATTCATTTTTCCTTTTTGTTTAAAAAAAAAGGATGATTAAATCTATGATGCAGTCCTCAAGGTATTCAGGGCCACCATCCTTACTCAGTCCCGTGAAAGTGGAAGATGAAGTACCTGGAGAAGAACGTCAAGAAGGCCAAGGCAGAGAACTGGGACAGCCAAAGGAGCAAGATTTAGGGGAAGTCACTGCATCAATGGGAGTGATGGGTTTTGGAGGGGAATGATAGAATGAAGTATGGAAATGCGCATGAAAATTTAAAGGGATGAAGATTCCAATGAAGGGAAGGGAGACGTGCTGAAATCAATTGAATTTTAAGTGCTGTAATTTTGAAGATCAAGTCCGGTCTGGATTTACTTACGAGTGAATATACCAAAAAATTTCATCCCATGTTGCTCAACCAACCTCATACAATTGCTTTCGTCTGCCATTTATTTATCTTTTTATAGCAAAAGATACTGGTTTCGTCTGTCATTTAGTAAAATGTCTTGCATTCGTCGACCAAATAATCCATCGAAATCGTCTGGTTGTCGTTGGTGTCATGATGAGCCTTTAAAAGTAATCCAAGAAAATCACTCCCTAAGCTCTCTTCTTCTCCGGACATTGCCTTCTTTTCTCTTTTCTTAACACTCTCTAAGCTTCTCCATTTCAATCTCATCGCTGGTTTTAACAAACCTACCGCAATATAAATTGAGTGAAAAACTAAACATGAGATCAGAAATTTTATCTTTTCTCGTACACGCTTTCAGAAAATTTTCCTTTTCTAGTACGCGTTTAGGAATTGGGGGGCCTCGGTTCTCCAATTCAAAAAGATTCACAAACGCAGAAGGCCAAGAGGACAAAAGAGTAAAAACAACACATAAAACCATTCGAATAATCCTACTGGGAATAGGAAATAATTCGAGTAATCCTACTTGGAATGGGAAAACCAAATAAATCCCTCCCTCGGTCTGTCCATAAAAGCACATCTCACCTGCACATCGTTTCCTCAAAATCAAATACTCTGAACTCCTCTGAAGATGTCGTGGTGTATGCAACTGGTGAAGCGTGCTAATTACAAGGCTACAGTGAGAGATCCTGGGACTCTTGGGGTTTTAACTATGACGGAGAACAAGTTTGTGTTTAGCCCAAACGTTCACACGTCCACCGGCGCGAGACCGGCGCTCGATGTGGAGTTTAAACAAATTACACGTCTCAAAAACACTAAGGAGGGAGGAGATAGACCACCTTGGCTTCGTCTCAGTGAGAAGGACAAAACTTACATCTTTGAGTTCGCAAGTTTTCGTGATCTTCATGTATGCCGAGAGTTTGCAGCCAATGCGCTTGCTAGGCGTGGAGAAGCCGCAATATCTACTAGTTCTTCTGATGAACAAATCTGTACGGCAGAAATAATGCACCGTATGAAGCTATTAAAAGGAAGCAGTGAATTGCACAAACTTCATATGCAGTATGTAATGAGTGGTGTCTTAACTGAAGCTGAGTTCTGGGCAGCTAGGAACAAGTTTGGTGATGTAGATAGCCGTCCAAAGCCAAAGCAACGGGTTGGTTTCAGAAACTCAATGATAATGGACACCAAACCCATGACGGATGGCCGGATGAACACGGTTAATTTTAGTTTGACTGCAGAGATTAAGTATCAAATTTTTGCCCTGAAACCAGCTGTCCAGCAGGCATTTCTTGCTCTGGTTCCCAATAAGACTACGGAAAAAAACTTTTGGACGAAGTATTTCCGAGCTGAATACCTCCGAATCACAGGGAATGCTGCTGCAGCTGAAGCAGAAGCCTCCGATGATGAGGAACTGGCAATGTTTTTGAAGGAGGATGAGGTATTGGCAAGGGAAGCTCGTCGAAAGCTTCAACGGGTTGATCCAACTTTGGACATGGAAGCTGACCAAGGAGACGATTATACGCACCTTCCAGATCATGGGATATTCTTTCGGGATGAGGTGTACAGCAGGAGAAGTACTTTATCACAAGACCTTAACCAGCAAGGTGCTGTTGTTCTTCAAGGAAGAAGCATCGTCGAATTTGATGAGAGTGGTGTGCAGGAGAGATTTGGTAGGATTGCTTGGACGACTGAGATGGAGGATCTTTAAGAACCTCACCATCTTCATGTTGCTCAATTATTATGCATGAAGGATCCTGGAGACTACTTTGACACGCAACAAGCTAATAATGCAGTTAAAACTGAGGAAGCATACGGCTCCTTAAGGCAGTCTATATCTAAAATCAAGAGCATTGGATTGGGAAATTCCACAGTTGCACCAGAAATTGCTCTTACGATTTTTAATGCAACATCATTTTAGTGTTAATTACCCTGTCCATTCCTTTTCTGTCAATAAGGTGTGTGTTCCAACAAAAAAGAAAGAGAAATCCATCTTTCTCTTACCTAGATTTTAGAGGGTGTACAGGTCCCAAAACCATGAACACCTCTTAGCTGTACAATCAACATACCACAAAGGGATGATTGGTGTATCCAAAATCAATGATATGTACATCACGTACGATATATTTGCCAAACAGAAAGTAAAAGTAGCATTAACTAGAGGCATTCAAAACTTATAGCAGCATGCACTTCCCGTTTAAGCTCGTGCAAAGGTTGCTGTCTTGCATCCTCTTCCTCCACCTCTGCATCACTCTCATCCACTGATTCACCACAAAATAATTGTCAGACAGTATTTATCACAAATTTCTTAAGAGAAACAGCAGTCTTTATCAAGAACATGACGATTTTGACAACACTTTGATGACCACGATACCCTACAATTTCCACAACTTCCAGGTGATGATGGAAACATGTGTTAGCAGCCTCCTTAAGCTTTACTTCTGGAAATATGAATTGCATATCTACACCAACGAAGAAAACTATCAGGGGTAGGACCACTAAACAAGAATCAAGCATCTCTCAATGAAGCAAACCTAATACATCTGCTTCTGTGGTAATTTTTTTAACCACTTTTTGCCTATCAACTATCGTTTTGTTGATTTTATAATTTTCTTATACTTGTAGTATTGCCTATCAACTCCACTTTTCTATATGAATATAGAAAGTAACATGTTTCCTAATTATTTATGTTAATATTATTCAATACCCAAGTCTGCCTACTTCTATGACCCATATTGAGATATTGTATACCATATATGAAGAAATTTGAACTAAAGAAGAGAAGCCAGATGCTATGAGCGATTGAGTTGCCACGATAGCTAACCATTCTATATTTACATTTAAAAATGTGTTTTTTAAACTTCAATAAAGAAGTTGATCAGCTTCCTTTTCCTTTTCATTTCCAAAGTTTTTTCTTTAATTTTCTTGGTATCTGAGAGCATTTACAGTCATATAGTTGATAAGTGTATTATTTCCTATATTTTTATACCTTTTATATGTAGGTTTTGTAGGGAAAGTTAATTAAAAAGAGTATTATTACTTTACTTTCCTTATTTTCAGCTATTCTGCACTCTTGGAAGGATTTCAAGAGAAAATCGACTTTTCGAATGCATTTTAGTGCAAGGCCAATTGCAGAAGAAAGCTAAGACATTGAAGATCATTGTATCAAAGTTTCATAATTTTCTACCAAGCCAAATGCTCCAGACCTGCAAGTCAAGACAGCCTAAGTTGAAATCCCGTCAGAACTGCACTGCTGTGGAAGAGTGAAGATTTGAATATCTTTCCGATTTTTCCTAGTGGCGTGTAATATATGCTTGGAAAGCTTAGATATAAAGCTACGTTTCTCATATTTTTCCAGAATTTTCTAGGAAGTGGAACGACCACAAAACGTGCGTGCAAGTTGGCTGACGTGTTTCCAAGTCAAAGAAGGATTCTTTCCTAGTTTGTTTCCTTAATTATTTGAGATTTTGTTTTGCTTTAGGAGAGTTTTTCTAGACCTTTTTGAAGTAGGGTTTAGTTGTTTTATACTATATAAGGTCACCCTAGGATCTCTTCATAGGGGAATCTTTTTCCACCATCGTTTTCTCTACCATATTTTTCCACCAACTTTCATACAACCAGAGAAATATCAGAGGAAGCCAAGAATTTGCTGCTGCATTATTTGAGGAGCTTTTGAAGGTGTTCCTGTGAAGATTCTGAAGATCAAGTCCATCGGCCAAATTGGTTTTATGACAATAATTCTCTTGTTTATATTTTCTTCTGTCATGAACTAATTTCCCTTGCTAGGGCTACGATGTAGCCTAACCATGAATACTCAATTTTATAGTTATATTAATTCCTTATTATTATCCCATGTTGAGTATTTGTTACTGTTCTTAATGATTTAAATATCTAGCTAATATTTAATTGATGATCCAAGCGGAGACCGAGAGGAGATGTTTGGTGTTTGCTTCTTGTAACAAATACCATGATTTGAATGAGTGCCCGAGAGGGACTAACATGACTCATGCAGTTTTCTTGTAGGTTCTCATAGAACTTAATGGGTTCTTGGTTTTCTAAATCCGTTGCTCGAGAGAGAATGGGTTGTTAATTGAGAATACTTTTGGTTGAGCCCGAGAGGGGATATCGAATGAATTAGGAGAAACCAACTGTCAACAGGGATAGTAATTAGGGTTAATTGGCTATAAGAATTAAGTAGAATTGGTTATGGTGAAATCGGATGCTCTAGTGTCTCATCATCTTAATTTTCGATCGTTAATTAAATTGTTATTTTTCATAATTGTTTTAGTTTTCTTGAATCAATCAATCTTCTTAATTAACTGTTCAAATAAACTTCTAAATTAATCATAATTGGTAGTTAATAGGAAATTACAGTCTTCGTGGGAACGACACTCTACTTATTTCTATATTACTTGTACGAATTGTGCGCTTGCAATAATTTCACAACAAGTTTTTGGCGCCGCTGCCGGGGACTGTTTTATTTTCTATTAATATCAATATATTTTAATTCTGAGTTTAATTTGAATTTCTTCTTTTTGTTTCAGGTACTTTGATCCGTGTATGCACCGTTCTCGTACCCTAGAACTCATACCACTTGACCCAGAAATCGAACGTACGTTTCATAAGCGGAACAAAGGAAACAAAAAGCACACTTTGGTGGAACCACCATCCACACCTATGGCGGAGGAAGCAGAAAGAGCCGTGGGGGAATTTGGCCCCCCAGTGGCAACTCCCTCAGCGATCCGACGTCCTGCTATTGCAGCCAACAATTTTGAGATCAAACCAGCCATGATCACCATGCTGCAGAATTCATCTGTATTTTGTGGTCTACCGAATGAAGATCCCAACATCCATCTTGCGATATTTTTGGAGATTTGTGATACGTCCAAGTTCAATGGAGTAACTGACGATGCGATTCGTTTAAGGCTATTCCCCTTCTCCTTGAAAGATAAAGCCAAGCTTTGGTTACTGTCACAGCCACAAGACTCCATCCGTACTTGGGATGATTTATCTAAGAAATTCCTTGCTAAATTTTTCCCACCAGCCAAAACTGCAAAATTCCGACAAGATATCATGTCATTTGCTCAATATGATAAGGAACCTCTATATGAAGCCTGGGAACGATTCAAAGACTTATTGCGCAAGTGTCCTCACCATGAGCTACCAACCTGGATTCAAGTTCAGACTTTCTACAATGGGTTGAGTCAAACAAGCAGGACACTAGTTGATGCAGCTGCTGGAGGGGCTTTAATGGCAAAAACGGCTACCGAAGCATTTGAATTATTGGAGACCATGGCATCCAACAACTACCAATGGCCAAGTGAGAGAATGAATCTGAAGCCAGCTGGGGTCTTGGAAGTTGATGCTATGGCTTTGCTAACAGCACAAATTTCTAACCTTACTAAAAAAGTTGATTCTTTAAGTGTTAATTCTATAAACACTAGTACTAATTTTGGTTGTGAACTTTGTGCAGGCCCTCATCCAAGTTCAGAGTGCACCACAGGGAACCCATTTGCGTCTGCTGAGCAAGTCAATCAGGTTGGAGAATTCAATCGACAAAGGAATAATCCTTATTCCAATACATACAACCCCGGTTGGCGAAACCATCCAAATTTTTCGTGGAGCAATACTCAGAATTTGCAAAGACCACCACCTGGCTTTCCGGCTCAAGAGAAGAAAATAAATTTGGAAGATGCTCTTACTCAGTTGACTATGTCTACCACCCAATTCATGACTGAAACAAAAACTCAATTTCAGAATCAGCAAGCTTCTATTCAGAATTTGGAGGTGCAAGTTGGCCAATTAGCTAATGTCATAAGTGGAAGAAACCAAGGAGTATTTCCAAGCCAACCTGAAGTTAACCCGAAAAATCAAGAACAAGCAAAGGCAATCACTCTTCGCAAAGGGAAGCAAGTAAATACAGCGATCGGCTTGGAAAAAGAAGCATTAGAGAAAGAAAAAGAAGCTAAGAAGTCTGCGGTAGAAATGGGGCATGCAGTTGCACCACCAATCACCACCACAGAAAAATCCCAAGAAGCAGAAAATTCTATACCAATTCCTTCTCTTCAATTGAAGCCATATGTCCCACAAATCCCTTTTCCACAGAGGTTGAGAAAAAATAAAGTTGATGGGCAGTTTGCAAAATTCTTGGAGATGTTCAGAAAATTACAGATCAACATTCCTTTTGCTGAAGCTTTGGAACAAATGCCAAGTTATGCAAAATTCATGAAAGACATTCTCTCCAAGAAGAGGAAATTTGGAGAGCACGAGAAAATCCAACTAACAGAAGAGTGCAGTGCCATCTTACAACGGAAGCTTCCACCAAAACAAAAAGATAGAGGGAGTTTTAAAATTCCATGCACTATTGGAAATAATTTCTTTGAAAGAGCTTTATGTGATTTGGGTTCTAGCATTAACTTACTACCTTTATCTGTTGCTAAAAAGATTGGTATTGGTGAAATTAAACCCACTACTGTTTCTTTGCAGATGGCGGACAGGTCAATCACATACCCAGATGGAATTATAGAAGATGTTCTAGTAAAGGTTGATACACTCATATTTCCGGCGGATTTTCTAGTTTTGGATATGGAAGAAGATTCTGACACGCAGCTAATTTTGGGCCGCCCATTCCTGATTACTTCACGCACTCTAATTGACGTAGAAGAAGGCTTACTAACTTTGAGAGTTGGGAATGAACAAGCGACATTCAAAGTTTTTGAAGCAATTAAATTTCCAAGAGAAGCGGAGGATTGTTTTCACATGGAATTAATAGATGAAATTGCTTCAGACACATGGAATTAGCAGCAATCTCATGCTTGGATGCCTCTGTGGCTTCAACATGAGTGTCAAACTTGACCAGCGGAACTATCACCAACTTCCGGATGTGCAGTTCGCGCAACTCAAAGACTCTTTGCTTGAGCAGACGACTCTTTAGCTCTCTTGGTCGTAACTTACAACATTGAGTCAGCTCTGCGCTTAACTGTTCATGGCATTGCAGACGAGTCATGATTACTAGACAGATGTACAGTCCTCTCAGTTTGATCCCAGGATCAGCATAAGCAACGCAAACCCAGCTTCTCAACAGCCTCCTTATAGGGTAGATCATGGGTTTTGGGTAGTTCGAACGGAGACTTGAGGAGAATATGCCAGACCTCTTGCATGCCATTGATCTTCTTACTGTTCGTGCTAACGAGGCGCTTGATCCTGGCAGATGAAGAAGAAGCAACTCCCATAAGGACATTCTCAACAGACAAGACCCTCTTACGGAAGACTTACTCGTGGCAGAATGGGGAAGCTTGATTGAGGACTTCTCTCGCTCAGCTGACAGATCATCTAGGTTCGAGCCATGCAGCTCCTATCTTTCAACATCTTCAGTTGGGGGCAGACCACCATCCTCCTTCCGATGTTCACTCAGCAACCAGTGCAATCCATAGAACCTGGCAAGGATGTTCAAAGCTTGATGAACATTGGTCATGTCCGGGCCGAGATCGAACTTTTTGCGGATGCCATTTTCTACAAGCAGGAGACATAAGTCAGTCAGACACACAACACAGAATTCCATGGTAACTGCAGTAGATCAAAGGGATGCAACTTACCATCACAGTAGGTGAGAGGAACAGCGAACCGTCGCCAACCTCCTATTCTCATCTACTGCTGACTTCCAGCACGTTTATAGGCCACACATGATCGCCTTGGCTCATACTGCTCCTAGTTCATGGCACCAAAAGAAAGAAGGAATTGAAGCAGTTTGGAACAACCACAATTAAGCTGGCCCGAACTGCCACCCGCTCCAGCAGTAGGCCTGCTCGCCTCCAGCCCAGTTACAGCTGGACTGCCCAAGTCAAAGACCAATTGGCAAGTCAAAAGTCTCCTCTATTTAGGAGCCCAAGTCACAAAAAGAAGCCAAATTGCAGGTGGACAACCCAACAATTAATCCACACCTCCTCTATGCCACCACGTATCATGCAGAAGCTGGGGGGCATTTGTGGGAACCGAATTAAATCAGAACCCTATGTCAAATAATTCCTTCCATTTGGGGATTATTTGACGTAATTGGGAATTATTCAACCTAATTGGGAGTTACTCAATTTAATCGGGGATTACCCAATTAAATGGAACGTTACCTAATTAGGTTGAGAATTGATTTGATTCCTACCACAATTCCCAATTAAATGAGAAGTTACCTAACGAAATTATGAATTGATTTGATACCTACCACAATTAGGGATTTGATTTACCACAATAAATTAAATCCCTAATTAATCAAATCAATTCCAAATCCAGGAGGAATAATTCTTTCCATTTACGGAATTATTCCTCTGAAACCCTAGCCTCCGAGACTACTATAAAAAAATGGACACACACAAGGGTTAAGGTACGTCTAAATTCCTACTAAAACTCTGCAGAAATCATTTCTCCAAAACTCTAGCCACCATATTCTTTCTCTCTCTCACACAAGGCTCCGGCCACCCGGTTTTCCTTGAAACACCCAACCTAACTTAGGCATCGGAGGGCCTTCGGCCAACACCCCTCGGGTGTGGTCCTTTTACTCCGATCTGTTATGTAGGGAGAAAGAGAAGCGGAGAAGACAAAGGAATCTTGGGCGAATATTCTAGTGGCACGGAAATCGCTCCAACATAAGCTTCTCTCAATTTCTTAATGCTTTAATTTGAGGATGGAGATGGCAAATCTACATCTTTGAGTTTGCAAGTTTTCATGATCTTCATGTATGCTGAGAGTTTGCAGCCAATGCGCTTGCTAGGCGTGGAGAAGCTACAATACCTACTAGTTCTTCTGATGAACAAATCTGTACAGTAGGAATCATGCACCGTATGAAGTTATTACAAGAAAGCCGTGAATTGCAAAAACTTCATATGCAGTATGTAATGAGTGGTGTCCTAATTGAAGCTGAGTTCTGGGCAGCTAGTAACAAGTTTGGTGATGTAGATAGCCGTCCAAAGCCAAAGCAACAGGTTGGTTTCAGAAACACAATGATAATGGACACCAAACCCACGATGGATGGCCGGACGAACACGATTACTTTTAGTTTGACTGCAGAGATTAAGTATTAAATTTTTGCCCTGAAACCAGCTGTTCAGCAGGCATTTCTTGCTCTGATTCCCAATAAGACTACGGAAAAAAAATTTTGGACAAAGTATTTCCGAGCTGAATACCTCCGAATCACAGGGAATGCTGCTGCAGCTGAAGCAGAAACCGCCGATGATGAGGAACTGGCAATGTTTTTGAAGGAGGATGAGGTATTGGCGAGGGAAGCTCGTCGAAAGCTTCGACGGGTTGATCCAACTTTGGGCATGGAAGCTGACCAAGGAGACGATTATACGCACCTTCCAGATCATGGGATATTCTTTCGGGATGAGGTGTACAGCAGGAGAAGTACGTACTTTATCACAAGAACTTAACCGGCAAGGTGCTGTTGTTCTTCAAGCAAGAAGCATCGTCGAAGTTGATGAGAGTGGTGTGCAGGAGAGATTTGGTAGGATTGCTCAGACGACTGAGATAGAGGATCTTCAAGAACCTCACCACCTTCATGCTGCTCAATTATTATGCATGAAGGATCCTGGAGACTACTTTGACACGCAACAAGCTAATAATGCAGTTAAAACTGAGGAAGCATACAGCTCCTTGAGGCAGTCTATAATCTAAAATCAAGACCATTGGATTGGGAAATTCCACAGTTGCACCAGAAATTGCTCTTACGATTTTTAATGCAACATCATTTTAGTGTTAATTACCCTGTCCATTCCTTTTCTGTCAATAAGGTGTGTGTTCCAACAAAAAAGAAAGAAAAATCCATCTTTCTCTTACCTAGATTCTAGAGGGTGTACAGGTCCAAAAACCATGAACACCTCTTAGCTGTACAATCAACATACCACAAAGGGAAGATTGGTGTATCAAAAATCAATGATATGTACATCATGTACGATATATTTGCCAAACAGAACTTATAGCAGCATGCAATTCCCATTTAAGCTCGTGCAAAGGTTGCTGTCCTGCATCCTCTTCCTCCACCTCTTCCTCACTCTCATCCACTGATTCCCCACAAAATAATTGTCGGACAGTATTTATCACAATTTTCTTAAGAGAAACAGCAATCTTTATCAAGAACATGACGATTTTGACAACACTTTGATGACCACGATACCCTACAATTTCCACAACTTCCGGGTGATGATGGAAACATGTGTTAGCAACCTCCTTAAGCTTTACTTCTGGAAATATGAATTGCATATCTACACCAACGAAGAAAACTATCAGGGGTAGGACCACTAAACAAGAATCAAGCATCTCTCAATGAAGCAAACCTAATATATCTGCTTCTGTGGTAATTTTTTTAACCTCTCTTTGCCTATCAACTATCATTTTATTGATTTTATAATTTTCTTATACTTATAGTATTGCCTATCAACTCCACTTTTCTATATGAATATAGAAAGTAACATGTTTTCTAATTATTTATATTAATATTATTCAATACCCAAGTCTGCCTACTTCTATGACATACTGAGATATTGTACACCATATATGAAGAAATTTCAACAAAAGAAGAGAAGCCAGATGCTATGAGCGATTGAGTAGCCACGATAGTAAACCATTCTATATTTACATGTAAAAATGTGTTTTTTAAACTTCAATAAAGAAGTCGATCAGCTTCCTTTTCCTTTTCATTTCCTAAGTTTTTTCTTTAATTTTCTTGGTATCTGAGAGAGTTTACAGTCATTTAGTTGAAAATAGCATACACAGTGAAGTATAACTGAAGAACTTGAACGCAATATAGGATGGAGTTATGGATATAGATGGTTGCTTTTTGGTATAACAAACTGTTTTCTTTGGCTTCTCATTATTAAGGATCTCTTAAAACTTAGCCATTTCACCAGAGTCTGAGTGTCCTGACACTCACTGGAGCTATTGCAATTATAGTTGTGCTATGGCACAAAAAATGCGTTTCATGGTCCTGTTATGCTATTGGCGAGTGGTGAATAATTAATGGTGATCCTTGAGCTTGCAGGGGCAGAATACAACTTTAGTAATGATTCCTACTTGTAATCTCAACTAGTTTTCATGATTATAGTATATTGACACTTTGTGTTGAGCATTTCTCGATGTAAGTTGTGAAGAGTTTGACCATAGATAATCTCTTAACCGTCCCATACTAAGTGGAACTTACTCCCAGCTTTGTCAAATTTAGCAATACGAACTTATTGTGTAGGTTAGTGTTCTTCAGTTTCTTAATGACTCTGAAGGTCTCATCACAGTCTCATACATTGTCAGCATGACCATGGAATAACTGAACAGCATTAGAGAGTCTGTTAGACATTTATGTGTTTGCAGTACTATCATGGAATTCTTTTTGCCTTTCTGTTAAAAAAAGATTACATCTATGCTGTAGTCCTCAAGGTATTCACGGCCACCATCCTTACACAGCCCCTTGAAAGAGGAAAATGAAGTACTTCGCGAAGAATGCCAAAAAGACCGAGGCAGAGAACTGGGACAGCAAAAGGAGCAAGATTTAGGGGAAGTCACTGCATCAATGGGAATGATGGGTTTTGGAGTGGAAGGATAGTATGAAGAATAGAAATGTGCATGAAAATTTAAAGGGATGAAGATGCCAATAAAGGGAAGGGAGACGTGCTGAAATCAATTGAATTTCAAGTGCTGTAATTTTGAAGATTAAGTCCAGTCTGGATTTACTTACGATCGAATATACGGAAATTTTTCATCCCATGTTGCTCACCCAACCTCATAAAATTGCTTTCAAGCCTGGCATTTATTTATCTATTTATGGCTAAAGTTACCAGTCTAAAGGTGCTGCAATGAAAACGCCCATCTGGCAGGCGGAAATGATAGATTTAAATAGAAACCTTTATTTGCATTTTTTCAATGTTACAGCATCCAGTTCTTTTTCAATGTCACCCAACCTCATGAAATGACAAGTTTATTGACTGCAGTTCATTATAGTCTTCATGTCTGCAAGGAAGCAAGAACAAGAAGCAACTCCTAACACAACAGAAAGCTGAGGTTCCATCTTCATAAGCAAGTGCAACATTTGTGGGCAGTTCAGAGTGAGTGTACGATTACTTGAACTCCATGTTGTGGACGAACTGTAAAAAATTGAGATGGTGAGTGAGTATAAGCTGGGGAAAGAGTGAAGGCATGGCGTTGCAAAATCATCGACAGAGCAATCTTTGCTTCTGTAATTGCAAAGTTTAAGCCCACACAAATCCGAGGTCCCATTCCAAAGGGTAAGAATGCTGCTATATTCTCGTCTGTAGCTTTAACAACCCCTTCAGCAAACCGCTCTGGTTTGAAGAGCTGCACATCTTGTCCCCAGAGTTCAGAATCATAATGAAATGCTACAATTGGGATGGCCAATTCAAGGTTAGCCGGAAGAATGAGCCTTCCCAGTTTAACTTCCTTTTCGACTCTTCTTCTAACGATTGAAGCAGCGGGTGGATATAACCTCAGGGACTCGTACATGATCATACTAATCTGCACATGCGTGGAAATCAAAGTTAGAGAGAGCAAACAAATCAGGTGTTCATACTTTAATTCAGTTCTTGACTTCCATACAGTTTTTAGTTTTGCAATGCCTTTCGGGTTTGGAGTTTGCTTGCCAAATACTTGTAGGACCTCTTTTCTTGCTTCCTCTTGCCAATCTGTATGTAATGCCAGAAGAAAGACAGTCCAGGCCAGAAAAGTAGCAGTGGTTTCATGTCCGGCCAAGTAAAATGTCTTGCATTCGTCGACCAAATCATCCAACGAAATCCTCTGGTTGTCATTGGTGTCATGATAAGCCTTTAAAAGTAATCCAAGAAAATCACTCCCTAAGCTCTCTTCTTCTCCAGGCATTACCTTCCTTTCTCTTTTCTTAACAATCTCTATAATGGTTTCGCGTATTCTTTTCTCAAGCTTCTCCATTTCAATCTCATCGTTGGTTTTAACAAACCTACTGAAATATAAATTGAGCGAAAAAATAAACATGAGATCAGAAATTTGAGATTTTGTTAATAGGAAGTTACCTGAGGCCAGGAAACTTGGGTTTCAAAGCAGTTTTAAATGTTAAGGAGGATATCTTCAATAGCATCTCAAAAATGTCTTTCCCTTCTAAGTAGCTGCTTCCAAATGCTGTCCTGGAAATTACTTCTGAAGTCAACAACCTAAATTCTCCAAACACCTCAATCTCCTTGCCTTCATGATTTTCCCACCTTTCTAGCATCGTCTCAACACTAGCTATCATTGCATGAATCTGACTCTAGTAAACCAACACCAACACCACTATCATGCAATTAGCAGATTTATGTTCAATTATTTCCTAATCTTCACTAAATGACCGTGTTATTGATTCATAGATAAATATTGACGCACACGCTGACACATCATTTGATGAATAATTTTTATTACTTTAGCTCTATAAGAATAACGAGTAATTACTATGAACTTACTTTTAAGCTCTCTCCATGGAAAGCATGGTTGGCCAGCTTTCGCAATTTCGCCCATTTTTCACCTTCCTTTCGAGTTACAAGACCATTTCGTGATAGCTTCATCACAAAGGCTACCGGGTTGGATTTTGGATAAGCTCTATGTTTGTTATTTAGTATCTCCTTGCATAACTCAGGATCCGTAATGACCAAAACAGGTTGAGGACCATCCCATTGAAGAAAAGTCTTCCCTAATATTACAAAAATTTATCCAGGGTTAGAGAAATGTAAACTTGTCAGACTATGAATCCAGACCATTGATCAAGTCAGGTTTTAGGAGAATGTAGTTCATGTTCACAGTTTGAGAAAGAGATTGACTTTAGATTTAAAAATCATAGGTTAAAAGCTAAAGATTTCATTACCATATATCTTTGTCCATGAGTGCAAATGAGGTTGAACTAGAGCAAACACGTCATGTGACAAATTTCTAGGCCTTGCCATGGCTTCTTTTTGCATGTTGGAGATTTCTTTGTTGTTTCCATGGATAAGTCTGTAAGCAGGGCCTTTGATCCCTTGCAAAGCCATCAGCTTCTGTATTTGAGTTGGCGTCCACCATAGTTTGTGAAATGTCTTGAAGAAAGCTGCTAAGACGATGAAAAGACACACAAAGGTTGTAACTGTGGCTACTTGGTCTCCAAACAAATTCATGCTTCTTGTTGCTTTTCTCTTAATTTGGCTCTATCTCTGAGTTCTGAATTCTGAATTCTGATTTGCTCTTAGTTGATAAATTATCGAAAATTCTAATATGCTCTAGAGTATCAATACATCAAAGCTTTCAACTGTTGGATTTAAAAGTTTTGATCTAATGGCTCAAAACTCAAAATAATTTGTGAAGAAAAATCACTAAAATCACCTTTAAAAACTGGATAACCTGCTGTAGACAGACCTTTAGTTTGGCAAAGTTTGGCAAACCTACAAAAAACTGGATAACCTGCTGTAGACGGACCTTTAGTTTGGCAGACGGACCTTTAAAATCCTAGCTCATTCAATTTAAATAACCTAACCTCATTTAGTTCTCCTCTTTGTAATTGATTTTATTGTTCTTGCTGTTTTTTTTTTTTTTTTTTTTTTTTTTTTTTTTTTTTTTATGGATCAATCACATGGTATTGTTGAGTTTTCTATCTACTTAGTAGCTAAATTTAGCCCACCCTATTTTAAAATCCAGGTCCGTCTTGCCTCCCACACGTGAAAGCTTGCATACAGAGATGAGCTTTCCTCTTCAACCTGGAGATGGCAAATCTACAGAGATTGGAAAAGATGAATGCGGGATATTGCAAACTCAGTCCCAAAAACCCACACCAAAAACCATGGCTTCTCTTCCTTAGGTACGGGGGAGGACGGATTAAGGGACAAGAGGGGTCACTTGACCCACGAACTGGTCGGAAAAAAGTCTATGGACAGCCTGTGGAGGTCTGAGCAGACCCCATGGCGAGCAGAACGACGACCCCAAGAGATGCACGCAACGTGCTTGACGACCCCTAATGGTAGGAAAAAACGGTTCGTCAATCGGGGCCCCACAACCAAAGTTATGAATTTTAGAAGTTTTTAAGAACTTTTAGAATTGAAGTTGCAGAGCTTCAACGAAGAAGAAAGACTCAGCGTGTTTGGGGTTGTAATCCAGCGCTTCTCATTTTTACGCCTTTTCGAAATTATCCATTAGCAAGGCGCCACATGTCAATTTTTAATTGGACTAACTTCATAAATTCATTAAAAAGTCATATGTACTCTGAAAAATTCATCGAAAATTACCCCAAACTTGTAATCACGTATACTTTTATCTCGTGACCTCCAAATCACATGTACTTTTGGTTAGATTAATTGGTATTAATTTTAGTTAGATTAATTGTGTAATTGACATGGATTTTGTTCATATTTGATCTACAAAAAATTAAACCCAATTCCCTTCTCCCCTTCTCCTACCAAAACCCTTAATTATTCCCCAATTTTTTGTATTGATATTGCTATATTTTTTGTTTTTCTTTATTTTCTTTCTTTCTCTTTTCTTTCTTTTTTATAATTAAGTGAGTCGAGATGGAAAGCCCTAAAACATGGGTGTGTTGTTCGAGGTGAAAAGCCATAAAACATGAGTGTTGGGAACAAGGGAAGAGATCCCAACATGCTTTCGTTATTCAAGGACGATGTCTGATATTTTCCTTACCATTAAATTAGGACGTCCTTCAATATGAAAGCAAAGCAAACTAGAGAGAAAACATAAGCAGAAATCAATCAAAAAGAGAGTTCCCTTCGATTCCTGAAGCCTCAACATATTTGAATCTATCCCTTGCTCCTGCGGGTAGGTTGGGGTTGATGGTAATATAAGGAACATGTATTAAGGTGCACCAAAACTTCTTGGCTCGTGAAGAAGGGAGCCTGGATGCTATCTTCCACATACCTCTTAAGTCAGTATACAAGGGAGCTTGGATGAAGTAAGCAATGTTCATTATACTGTTACTAATGGCAATCAGATCGTGAGTACATTGTTGGAAGCTTCTAAGAGTATTTACCCTTACATCCGATGTCTTGTGTATGATTTCTCCCTCCCCAATATCTCGTGTCAAAAAAGAAAAAGAAAGCATGTGATGTAGTGGGTATGGTATGCCCGCAAGGCTACACCCGCAGGTATGCATAAAGTGTTGCATAACTGTTTGAATCTGCATTTTCATCTGTTAATTTGAATCTGTTTGTCACACAATCTGCATTTTCCTTTAGTTAATAAGCATGAGACATTTCATACTACCCATTTACTCCTGCCTACTCCTTTTCCTACTCTTTGGTACTAAAAATATCTCCTTTCAGTCTATGATACTAAAACCACCAAGCCAGAAGGCTGACAAAGTATAAGAAAAATATCTCAATGAAATATATGTGGTACAGCGTTTGGTACATCAAAAAAATTATACAATGTACTTACATAATTATTATTATTTTTTAAATCAAGTAAAAATTTATATGTAAGCACCCGTTTAGATTGAACCTAATTCACCTCTTAGTTTTAGCTATCTTGGAAGGGAGTGCACAAAAGTACTTGCAAATCTATTATTTGACCATGAAGGAACTTTTACAACTGCACCCACCTACTGCACTTGGATTTGTAGTCACCTGAATGAAAAACCAGGATTGGGTTACTTGTACATAAATCCTTGTATAAAAGATGTGGTATTTAAATGACAATTCTCTTGTGGCCTAGAGGCCATTGGCTTTGATAACACTATTTATAGCATCATAAGATAACTACCCAACGACGAACAAATAATCAATCAGGAAATCGTACAACATGCTACGTTGAGGCATCTGACACACTGTAACCGATAACTGAAAAGAAATGCAAATGACGAATTCCAAATAGCTTCAAACCAAATTATAAGCTCTAGTTCTATTAATTTTCTCCAGGCTGCAAAAGACTGCAGTATTCTAATGTATCAGATTGATTTGTGCCTCAAGTTCTGCAGAAAGTAGACTACTAGAGTGGGACCAGTATTTCTCCCACTTGGTAAAGCCTAGAGAAAACTAATATTTAAAAAATAATAATTGAACTTCATGACACACACTTCTTAGTACCATAGAACGTTCCTGAAGAGCACATCCCATTGAGACATGAACATCTGAAATAAGCAACAGGTCTACTTAGACTACTAAAAGAGTTTTGTCCTAACAACTCAGCAGATTCGAGATCTTAATTTACATCCCCATTTTGTTTACCAAAAGACAGGCACAAACAACAAATCTAAACAACCACAGGACACCAGCATTAACCTATTTGTTGCACTGGCAGATGAGCACCATATTGCATTGCATTGCCTGTTATCTTTCAATTACTGCAACCTATTTAGGATATGATATAGACAGTGATGCCAAATAAAGGCAACATTCAGACAATTTCTATGCCAACTATATGACATATGACACCACAATGATATGTTTCATGCCCACTAAATTGTTTGATAGCCCATCAAAGGTACCATTATCATATGCTTCTTACATGTGAACTACTGTGCAAAGGTGAGCCAAGACCTACACAAAATCTTTAATATATTTGATATATAGGACACCATTATGATAGCTTTTATGTCTAGCAGATGGTTCTTACTTTTCTTAAGCTCCAATACTCACAAATTTTAAAGAAAAACTTTAAAAATAGATCTTTCATTATGAAGAATATCCTTCTTGCTCATTATCCTAGTTCGCATATCCCATACAATGAATTTCCATGTAGGGTTCACAGGTATAAGATTCAATGTGCACACGCAGTTCTGCGAAGCATAATACAAGAATAAAGCATGCAAAGGCAACATAACAAATTGACTTACTTGGAAAGCAGAACGGATCAGCTCCTCAACATAATCAACAGTTGCCCCTTTCACAAAATCATATGAAACATTGTCGACCACCAACTTTACTCCTTCTTTCTCAAATACTCTATTATTGAATGTATGGATCTCCAATTAAACAAGCAACCCAGATAAGCAAAAGTGCATTTAGTCAAGAATTTGAAATATAGAGAATGAAGAGGGGACAAAAACCTGTCATCTGGGTGGGTTTTGTCATCCAGATCAAAAACATATTGGAACCCAGAACATCCACCAGTTTCTACACTCAAGCGAAGCATCTTTCCCTCTGCTTCACTGGCTTGCAGCTGCTTCATTCTCTGTGAGACATTCATTGAGAAGCCAAAGTCAGCACACCAATGTCACTGACTCACGATAGAAATAAGGATTACAAACCCAAAGGTCATAAATTACATGGCACTCTCTTCATCTAAAAACTGCCTTTCATGAGCATGATAACCAACATTATCAAAACAAAAAATAGAAATGCTACTACAAACATCTTCTAAAACAAAGCTGCTTGGCTCATTTGTCTGAAAGAAAAACACAGAACTTGTCTTCGTCCATCCACTACACAGTTCTGTAACAATTAGCATAACCCACTTCATTTTTTTCTGTGTCTCTATAGCTATATACAGAATCTAAGATAACTGATTATATCAAGACAAAGCTTATCATCTTTAGAGTCTCTAATAAAAAGAAAATGGTTCATCACAAGTTAGCTAAACAACTGAATCAAAACCAGTTTGTGACATTGTGTTGAGGCTTATGCTTTTTGTTTCTGAAATACAATATGCAAATAAAATATTCATTCAACTTCAATAAATAAATAAATAAATAAATTCTATCTTCATTTTCTTTGCATACAAATAAAGCAAACTACAAAATTTTTGCATCCCAATGAATTAGAAAAACTTCATAAAGATCCCAAATTGAGAACAAGGAAAAAGAACCCATAAACAGAAATGGAAAATCCAGGCAAGCCATCAAAAACAAAAATCTTCAAGCACAAACAGAGAAGGGAGGGAGAGAGGGTACTTGAACACATGTATCAGTCATCACAACAGCATCGAGGGACGGAGATGAAGATGAGGATGAAGAAGAGGCTTCTTCTACAGCAGAAGACGAATAGAAAGAAGAGCTGAGAAGCCTCTGGTTCTGCCTGATTCGAGCTGCAAAGAAGGGCGTGAGTCGGTGAAGAATCAGAGATCTTGGAGCCATTGTTGTTGTTATTATTATTATGCCTATTATTCTCTCTCTTCTCTCTCAGCACGCCATCGTAAGCAAAACTCGCGCTTCTCTCCTTCTGGGACGCTTGGCTGCTTTTGAAACATCAAGTTTCGCTTCTTGAAAATGGGTTGTTAGTAAAACGACGCCGTTTTGAGCCAGACCTTAAAATTAAAAAAATTAAAAATAAAAAAAACTCCCAAAACTCATTTTCGACTCCCCAGGCCCCAAAACTCCCAATTCTCATTTCTTTTCTCTGATCTTCTCATTCTACTCCAGCACCTCTTGTACCTGCCGCATTTGTGTTGCTGCCTCCGGCGGCCCGCCGACTCACTTGAACAGCCATCGCTGCCATCCATCCATATCCCTAGAAAAACAGACAAACCCAAGCAATGAACTCGGCGACTCGGAGTGTGTGGAACGTTTTCAAACGGTCGAGTCAGGGCGTCGACTCAGTGAGCCACGGGCACCATCATCGTCAAGAACAATGGAGAGGGATTCGGGTGAAGGTCTTCAACGGGAACCTGGAGTCGGCGCTGACGTTTATGCAGAGGAAGATGCAGTCCAGTGGGATCGAACGGATGATAAAGCACGAGCAAACCCACCACATCAAGAACTCTGAGAAACGCGTCTTGGCTCGCAAGAACCTCGAGCGTAGAATCAAATCTCAGGACCTCGCTCGCAAGCTCAAGGCCATCCTCTCCAAGAAAGTCAGGTATACATACATACATACCCATTTCACAAAACCCATATCTTATTCTTGGGTTTTTTTTTGTTTTGTTCATACGGGTTCAGTGAATTGCAATAGCTGGATTGTAGATTATGCATAATGTTTACATTACATGATTAAGAATGTGTATGTTGAAATTGGGTTTTGTGCCAATTGATAGATCCCGGAATGTTTTATTGAATTGAAGGCCTCCCTAGCTTGTAGCTTGTTTGTAGCTGAAGTGTTTGAGGTTATGCCTGTGAAAACCGGTGTTTGCTCGAGTGCGTAGTTGTTCTTGTAGTTTTCCTATTGTAAACTACCCGTAAATGTTGCTCAACCATTTGTTTGGTAAACCCTTGTTTGAGAAAGGGATAAAGATTCTTCAACTTGTAGAACAAAACTTAGCCAAACTGTGTTTAGTTTGCTTTATTTTCCCTTTCTATTCTTCATGTAACCAAGCATAAGAAAATATTTAAGGTTTATAGTCGTTGCTTTTCCCTAAGTTTCTCTAGTTGAAAGTGAACCTCAAGCACAAACCCCTTTCTGTTGAGTTATGAAGTTTATATATACTTGGAGAGCAAGTTATAGTTTTTCACTAGAATTCTAGATTTTGGAGTGTTGACAAGGATGCAAAGCCCAAACCAAACAAGTGCCATTTCTTCCCAAGATTATATTGGGAGTTGGAACTATTCATATTTCATTGTCAATGGACTTTACTTATTGTTGTTTTAATTCCCACACTTCTTTTTTCCTTTTTTTTGTTGTTGCAATCTTCCTTTTTCAATGTGAACATCTTTATGGATGCCTTTCTTGTTTTTGCTTATAAAATATTTTCGTTGTTTACCTTCTTATGTGTATACTGATTTTCTGAATTCATATTTTGCAGAGGCCTGTGAGAATATATGGCTCAAGCAGATGCTTGACGGACATATAAACCATGTCTTCTTTCCTTCTGGAGTATCATGGCCAATACAGCACTCTCTTTTTGCACTGCCATTGTAGTTTTTATAGACAAGTTTATTGACTCAGCTTTTTCTCAAGGAAAAAAACTCATGTTTCATTTGAAGAATGTTACTTCAAAAGCTTCCAGTTTGTCATTAAGTGGTGTATGAGTGGCTCTTAGCAAGCTCAAGTCTAAATTATCCATATCATGCCACTTAAAATGATTTAGAGTTACTCGGTATATTGGAATCGATCCATATGGTTCTGCAAGAAGTCTTTACTCTATGAGGAATTCAACAACTTCAGTAAATTGGAAATTTAAGAGCAAGCTCAATTCTCTCTCTGTTGTTTTGTGGAATACGGTTAGCATTAATCAACGGAGGTCTCAAACCAAAAAATACTCAACAAAGGTTCTTGAAGTTGCTGAAGCACATTAGTGCAAGTTTACTTGATGCTCAATTTGTTTTTTTCTGCTGGTTAATCTGGTTTTTGTCATATGCTTGTGTGTTGGAGCGTTTTAATTTGCACCTATTTTATCTGGTTCACAAAAACTGAACGGCATGTAAAGCTGAATCGCAATTCAAAACGTTTTGGATGGCATACTTGACGATGCTTAGAATGTGATGATGCCACACCACGGTACAGGATGGTGACCAAAAACTAGTGTCTTTTTAGATAATCCATTATCAAAACCAATGTATAATAGAGTGTAAGGTTACAAGACAAATTCAATGTTTTCACGCTTCCTGCTTTGTCCCCGCCAACCTCCCTCCCCCTAATATTATTCATTCGGCATTAAGCCTAATCTGATGTCTAAGAAGCGCTCCGCGAAAGTTGGAGATATCATTAGGAGCTGCCAAACCCAAGGAACTGGTCTACTAGTTTTGCCACAGACTGGGCTAGGTTATCTGCTGCATCCTGTGAGGATGCCTCCGCATATACACGTATAACATCTTCTGTTCCCGATGGTCGTATAAAACATCGGCCTCTAGGGTGTTTAGCTGCAATATAAATAGGAACAAAAGAAATCATCTTCAAAAATTTGTTTATAAATTGAATATACCGGTAGGAATCTAGTTCTACAATGTGAAACATAGCGGTCATCACTTTGAAAAGTTTCTGCATAATGATGAATACAGAATGCCAATGCATAAGTTTGTTTTTAAAAGCTGGCCAAGCAATTTAATGGCCAGACCAATAATCAATACAGATATCATGCAGAGAAAATATTGAACAGCATGTAAGATAAAAGGATAAGATTTCATTTGCCGCTTACCAGCTTCAGCGTTGATGGCTTCTTGAATGCCAGGGGGTGTCACAGCCACGGTTTCTGCATTTGCTGTAACAACAGCACTTCGGTCCACAACTTTGACCTGATAATTAAAAAGTAAAAGAATTAGTTTCTGAATAATATTGTACTTAACAAAGCTGAAGCATAAGCATTTACACAACTATTCTTCCGGGCAAGTTGCCTCCAACAACAAAAATGACAGAAAATCAATTATTTTGTAAAACGAATGACATATGCAAGCCCAAAAAGAAACAACTATAAAGAGAAGAAACAGCATGGAACATAGAAAGATGATCAATGACACTTGCCTTGAGCTGCCTACTGGGTAGATCCTGATAAAGCTCATTCCATCTCTGTATTGACCATCCCATATATTTCAGAATTGCCTCCACCAAGAGCACCCCACTCAATGCATCCCCAATAGCCTGGTTAATCAATTCACTAACCGCCAATAGTCTCAAGGCAGCCTTATGCTGTTCTGAACCTGAAAGAAACAACCATATACTTCATTAAAATAGGTAATGGACAATCGTGTCAGCACTTATAAAACACATAAAGTCTGTCTGGTTTAACCTTTAGCTACATCAGAAAGCTCAGTAGTTCTGGCCTTTAACCAGCATAAAAACTGTTCTGAGAACAAGATGGTGCCATGGCCATTTGCCTCAAAGTAAATCCCGATATCATACTCCGCAGCTTTCTCGTGCAGGTATTTTACCCCTGTAGGAGTAAATGTGACTTCTAACCCTAACTGTTTGAGATAATCGGTGGATGCTCCATTTGCATAAGCTGTTTGCACAATACCAAGGCGACATTGATAACCATTTTCTGCCTTAACATCTATTTCCTTATTCAAAATGCTTAGTTGCTCCTTGATGAATATAGCAAACAAAGACAAAATCTTGTCCCCATCAACAAGTTCAATCTTGTTACTACTTGTAGATGGCACAACAAAATATACAAGCCGATCAGCATCACCATCCAAACTAGCACACCTGAAAAGCTAGAACCATGCAAGCAGTTAGTCCTCGCCCTTCTTATCATTGAATGTAACACTTTGCATCAACAATACAACATTAATAAATTGACAACATAAAAAATTGACCAGTTTGAAACCTCAAAACAATGCTTGGATTATTGTACACTGGCATCCTTTGTAAACAAACCAAACTACTTTTAGGGGAAAACATCATGAAAAATAAAAGTCAAGATTGTTTCTGAGACCATGATCATTTATATCAATAATAGGTGTATATATCCGTTGTAAGCACTCCAACTAGTTGTTAAATAAGATCAAAATTCAAGTTTTTTAGAAGCAGTAAACTTGCCACTAGTTATGCTATTATGAAAAACATCATAAGTGTTGCCCAATGAAATGTAATATAGACCACGAAGGAATAAGAACAAGTCAAATAAGCCACCAAATTTCACAAAGTTTCTCCCATCTATCTCATTGATTTAGTACATGTATTTTGCATCCATATATTGATATCAAAAGAAATTTTCAAGATAATGTGTTTCTAAAGCATTTGCCAGCAGTATCTATTGATACAGGCATTTCAAGCAAGCTATAAGTAAATGATAATTAAAATTCATTGTATAATCAAAAGATGGCTGACCTTATCCCAACATCCTGTGAACCAAAACTAAAGGGAACAACCTTTTCCTTCTGCACATAATCAGCACCAACTCCTTCATTGAGTACACCTCCTTCTTTTCCAGAGTTCCGAACCTCAATAGCCAAACCATTCAACATTGTCTTCAATATTTCGAGTTTTTCTCCACCAACACCATTTGCCCCATCCACAACCAACTTGTCATCCACATTGTTGGCGTGAGTTCCACTAGGACTCAAATCTACCAAGCACCTAACCAACCACAGAAAAGACCTTAAGTGAAGTCATTCAATCAAGATATGATTTTTTAAAGAACAAACTAACTCATAAGCCATGACACAACCTCCATCTTCAACTACCTGAATGAGCTTGAAAGCTGCTTGAAGTAATCAGTTTCCGATGCTTTCACACCACCATTTCTAGCACGAACCATCCAATGTAGCTGTGGAGTAGTTAAAATTCCCATGTCAAGGGCAACTGCTCCAATAATCGAACCGATTCCCTTAAATGGAGAAAATCCTAACTAGATCAAGAACCTAAAGAGATTATAAAAGCTTCATCCTAAACAATGGTAAAAGAGCAGATACCTGTTTAGCAGCTTCAAGCAAAAATTCTCCGCTGGGCCTTGTATCTCTTGCCAGCAAAATCTCCACTGGTTTTGCGCCATCAAGTGTGATGTTTTCTTTTTTAACAAATTCAGCTATCAACTGTTGAAGATTTCAGTCAACCTTCAATACAAACTGACGAAAAGAAAAGGGAAAAAAAACACACACACACATCCAAGGATTATATAGAGAAAGAAAACAGGACCTCAACAAGATGTTGGGGATCACGAGCATTGGCGAGGGTATCAGCGAAGGGTTCCCAATCTTGAGAAAGCATTCCACCACTCGGGTCAGCAACTTTGACTCCATTATCAGAGACCTCGTTGTGAGAGGCTGTGATCATCAGCCCGATCACAGATTGGGTCTTGAGGGCCCTTAGAGCCGCTAGAATTCCCACCCTGTAAACCGTTGATTGGAGGATGGACGCATCCGCTCTGAACCCAGACGTTCCATACGATAGCTTCACTCCTGATGCCAGCATTTCAAAATTAAATCAACAGAAAACATAATTTTGTTGAGAGGAAAAATGTGAGATAGAAAATGTGGACCTTGTGGAGGTGGGAAGTGAGAAGAGGAGCTGAGGAAGAGTAAGCGTTGGTCTTCATTCATGGCTGTCAATAAAAAATTTCAACAAAGAACCCTGATTGAAAAAAAAAATTACATTAACAAAGATACAGGCATATGGTATTCAATGCATTTATGAACTCATAAAAGCAGCCGCTATTCTTGTTATTCTATCTTTCCAGAATCGGATTCTACATTCTTTCTGGTCAACATGTCTGCTATTCAAAATGTGAATCATAATCTTATAAACCAAAGCTACCCAAATCAAAGTTTATGAAACATACCCACATCTCAAAAACACACAAAAATTCAGCCAAACCCAATTGATTATAAACTCAATCTCACAACTTACAATCCCAGATTTCATACAATAGTAAAGTCTACAGAAAATGCATACAAAATGAGAATATGATCAAACACTAACCGGCAGTATAAACTCTGAAAGTGTGAAGACCTGACCTCCAAAAACTTTACGAAATCAAAGATTGAAAATTCCACTATTTTATTCTGTTCAGATTGCTATGGAGTGGAGTGGCATGAGCAGTTTTGGGAGGGTCTTGACGGATGTATCTTTGCTGTAGTGTTTTTCTTAAGCCTGGCCCAATGGCACTCCCGTAAATAGTACAAACTCCAGCCCCAAATAATAATCGTTTGTTCTTAGAAAAACGTATGCCCTTATGCGGCTAATGCAAAGCTACCATCACCCAATCCATTTACCGTCAAAACAACCAGGTCAAGAATACAGTCATGGGTCTGCTCTCATGGTGGAAAGGCAAAGACCCCAAACCCGAAACCAAGCCCAACCCGGCTCCGAAACCCGTCGAGGTTCCGGGCATGAACGGCGCCGTTGAGGTGCCTCGACCCGCCAACATCACAGTCTTTGAATTCGGGTCGGTCGCCGCTTCCGCCGACAATGTCACTCTCGCCGGATACTGCCCCGTTTCCGAAGACCTCGAGCCCTGCCGCTGGGAGATCCTCCCCGCCAGTGGCTCCGACGCGCCCCAGTTTCGCGTGGTGTTCTGAGCAACTGCACAAGGCAAAGGACCTTCCTTTTGTGAGCTTTTGTAGTTTATTCGCTGTAATTTACATTTCTGAGAGAAGCTCTGTTGAGGGTTTTGCTGGTATGTTTTTAGATTCATGGGTTTGTTTCAACTTCTGTGAATTTGAAGCTTTTAGCTTAAAGATGGGCAATTTAGTATGATACATTGTGTTTTAGAAGAACCGAAATTTTTATTTTGTGATTTTAAGAGCTGATTAGATGTTCTTGTAGGTAACTTTTATAGTCTTCAAATACTCTTTCATAATGGATAGTGTTTGTGTTTCTAAGCTACATGGGTTTTTAATGTGAAATAGAGCTTCTTGTTGGACTCTATATTCAAAATGTTGTGCTTTAGAAATTCAAATTCCCTTTTGCAGTCTCTTGAAATCTTGGGTTGCAAACTTGTAACTTGTCATTCAGTGGAAGAAGTAGAAACTGTATGAGAGGTTCAGTAACAATTGGTCTCTCCACTCTGCATGAAGCTCCTTTGTAGTGAAAATTAGTGATGGAATGGAAAGACCAAAGTGTAGTGGGATAATTTCCAATCATACTAGAATGGATTAGGATTTAAAGTTGGAAAATGGAAAGGGAATTCCAAAGGGTCGGCGAATCAAGAGACCTAATTTTTCAGGTTTGAAGATTGTGATTCCTTTCAAATGCCTTGATCTTTCATTTGAATATCACTACCTGTTAATCAAATAGTTTTGAGAATAAGCATTGCACAATCACAGCATTTGTTTTAGGAAAAGTTAAGATGGGTATGGAGATGCATGTAATCCAATGTTTCCATTTGCACTTGGCATTTTCCCAGACAGAGCCATTTTCTGGGAAAGTTTGGAGGAACTGTTTGTGCCAGAGGATTTGTGCTTGTGGTCAGTTATGTTGGCCATTTAGCAGTGGTTCTTCAAAACTTCTATGCCAGTGTGTTCTGTCAAGCCTGCATATAGGAAGGATCATTACTTGCTGATGGAAACAGAGCAGACATGCGAGAGATGGGCACTAATTGCGTTTTGCATATTGTTGAAGGAGCCCCAATTTGTTTTTTTTTCTTTCAATTTTTGTTTTTGTTCAAACCCTAATATTTTTCTGAGGCTGCTAAACACCTCCACTAAATCAGAGGTTGGGTTTTCGTTCAAATAAAACCTCTGTTTCCCCAACCAACACAACTGGAAAACTGGATACTTGGTTTTCCTTTAGTCAGCCAATGATGCAAGTTTCGTTCACAGCATAAGTTTCAGAAAATAAGAAAGAAAATGGCAAGGCAAATGCTCCAAATCGTTGGAATGGCAGTAGTAAGTTAACAACATTACATTCATTTGATTCACTAAAACATTAAGGTGAATTGCAGTCGAAGCCCACCATGACAAGTTAGGCCAGTTGGTCAAGTAAGTGTGTGTAGGGTTGGGCATCAAAACTGGAATACCGAAATCGTGCCAATCTCGTGCTGTCCCATTTGGTGTTGAAGTGTAAATGAGATGATACCGTGTCATCCCGTTATTGTTTGGCACGACACCAGTTCCAAAATTGTGATCCCGTTTGGTGCCATACCGTACCTGAACAGTACAAGTTAAAAGTAAAAGTACCTGCATAAGCCGCTTCAACTATGGACTCTAACAACCTGATTTGCTCATCGCTAAACCTCCTCTGGTTTTTGCTCTTGTTTTTCTTCCTCTTGGCAGTAGCCTGTGGCTCTAGGCTGGTGGTCGCAAAACCAAAGTTTTCTGCTTCAGAGCACTCTGTCTTCTCCATATATTATCTTGGTTCTGTGTTTGCTGTAATAGATAATAATGGAGGGAAGAATAAGATATTGCTAATTGTAGGTGAAGGTGCTTTCAGAATCTTGGAAATAATGGTTGCTTGTAGAATATATAGTTAAGAAGATTGATGCATCAAATTGCTGGTTGGTCTTGAATCAAGACTCTTGATTGTTTGTTTTGTTGTATTAGGCTTTGTGAAAGCCAATGTGAATTTATTCAACGTATCTCATATAATTTGGAAGTCTTGAACAAGACTCTTGAATCTTGATTTTTGGTAAACTTTGTATCAAGCTTGATTTATAAAAATTGCAAGATTTCTGAAATTTTGCAGGATTTTTTACGGTATCAACATTGATACCAAATCATACCGGTTCTGTTTGAGTCCGATATGGTTTGAACGTGTTCCCAAAAACTCACATTCTGTGTCATCCCATTCTGATTCCCCTATTTGGGATTAGCACCGGGATGACCTTCATCTCATGCCATCCTGTATCATGCCCAGCCCTAAGTGTGCCCATTGTCTGCCCTCTTGAACTCGATTTTGAGAAGGGCGATAATGCACTAAACTCACCCACAAAATACATATGCTAAGACTCGAACTCAAGACCTTGTCTGGAAAGCAAGTACTCCAAACCAGCCATAATAGTGGGTCATTTTGCTTCTCCTCATATATTAAAGTAGTTTAAAAAATCGTTTTGTCAAAAAAGATAAAAATAAATCAGCCCAACCCATTTTGGAATCTTAAATGGGTCAAGCTCATACTGTACCCGACCGATTAATAGCTTCAGAAGGACAAAACCAGGGGACAGCCGCCTACCTTTCATTTTCATTTCTCCTCGCCTCCCTTCTCCTTCCTCTCTCCCATTTTTTTGCCTCGCAGTAACCGACACAACAGTATTAATTTATCAATGTCTTCAACTTCGAAGAAGCGCCCGAAACCCAAACCAAAACCGAGCCCAGAGTCTTCTCTTTCTTCCATTGCATCAACATTGGAACCATCCCAGAATTTCTTTCCCTCAAAAGAAGAGTTCTCGAGGCTCACAGTAGTGCTGGCCATCGCAGCCTCGGTCGCTTTGACTCTCAATTTCTTGTCCTCCACTCTTATCAACCGCCACTCCAAGCCCTTCTGTGATAGCTCCCTGGACTCTCTGGACTTCCTCCCTGGTAGGTCTCTCAACTTTATGTTTGTTTTCGAGAAACCCCAACAAGATTTTGGATGTTTTGTGACTTGCTTTGTTGTTTTGAGCTGAATTTCCATTGTGGATTGATCGGTGTTCATTTTTTTACGGGGAAAATGGGTTCTTTGCGTTTGCGTTTGTTTTATATTGGTTGTGTTCAGTTTAAAAGGTGTGCCTTTGTGGCTACAAACTCATTTTGTGATCAATATGCTTATATTTGGATTTAGAAGTGTTTCGGACCTCTGAATAGCAGTTATTCTTAGAATTTATAACTCTGGGATGTGCCAAGTCATTGGAGATTTGTTGTAGGGGTTAATTGGTTAGCTGGGGCTAACTATGCATGTCTGTGGGTATCCCCGAATGGCAGCAGAGCATGGTCACCTTCTGACTTCAGGTTTCAGTCTGTCTCAGGCTTAAAGTTGGCCCTTGTTGGGCTCAAGTCCTGTCTGTTTTGTGTACGCAGACCAGAGTGAGGGTAGGCTCCCAGTAACGCAGGCTTGCAGAGCTGATTATGCACCCGGGTACCCTATGCTGCTGGCTTGCCACACATCTTCAAACGAACTCAAGCATTTTCTCTTACCTATTGTCGTGACTTTGAGGGACCTGTGTTCAAGTTGTATTTATGTTGTGAAGTAGACTAGAATTTTGTTGTGTTTTATAACTGAATCATGTTTGTAAAGGCAATATCTCCGTGTAAAGATTCTTTACATCATAAATTACCACAACAGATGGTTCTATGGTGGTACAAAGGTGATATAAGGGCAGTACATCTATTATCTATATCCAGATGATTGGAAAATTAAATGGAGAATAAAATAGAAATAATAGTTTTACTAATTTTTAATAAATGTTTTGCTACAAGCTTTGCGGGTTATCCATTTATAGCGTTTACTGGATTGTTTAGCATTTCTTGTGGGCATTTCTCTGCTCCCTATAGTGTATCTTCTAGTTCCTTTAATTCATTCAGCTGCATACTTTTCAACCCTAGCCCATTTGGGCGAGAGGGAGGCTGTGAGTCACCTGGGCTACGGATTTGTGGGTTGATTGATTCTCAAAATCACCTCTTGATGACTCATGAGCAATAGTTTTCAGCAAGATGCATATTTCTATTGTGATTTTACATTAATCAATATGGATTATTACAGATTCTTGTGAGCCTTGCCCAAGTAATGGACGATGTTATCAAGGCAAGATGGAGTGTCTTCAAGGATTTAAGAAGCGTGTGAAGTTATGTATAGAAGATGGAGATATCAATGAAACAGCTAAGAAACTTGTACGTCCTGAAAGTCTCCTCCTTTTGCTGCACTAATATTCCAGGGATGAAAAATTGCATAAGTTACGTTGGAGTATTATGCACACTGATAGATTTACATACATGATACATTTATGTTTTATTTGGACTTGTACAATACAGGCAGAAAGGGTAGAAATTCGTCTTTGTGAGGCACTTGCTGAATTTTTGTGCTATGGAACTGGAACAATTTGGGTTAGTGACTTTTAAAATCCTATGAAATTGATCAAATTTATTTCTGTATGGATATTTTTGGTTGCTGTTAAATACACTTTGACAATGCTTTAGCTTGTCTGGTTCTGACAGGTTGAAGAAAATGATATATGGAATGATTTAGATAAGCGCGAGCTGCTGGAACATGTTGGCCCAGATAATGCCATTTATATGTATACAAAAGAAAGGACAATGGAGACTGTCAATAGAATGTTGGATACAAGGACAAGTTCTCGTGGGTATGTCATTATGGAGGGAAGCTTTTCCTCTTTCTTAATGTACCCTAACCATTGTATTTTGTGTTTCCTTTTCTTTGTGTATAGGGTCAAAGAGTTGAAGTGTCCTGACATGCTAGCTGAACATTACAAACCTTTTTCATGTCGCATTCGTCAATGGATCTCTGAGCATGCGTTACTTATTTTGCCAGTTTGTGCATTGGTATTCCATTCTTAAAGGCAGCCTTTAATGATTATGTTTTAGTATCAACATGTTGAAGCTTGTTGACAGTATTGAGATCTCCAGCTTGTGGGATCAACGTTCATACTTTGGAAACTCCGCCGAAGACGGTGTCTATCAACTAGAGTTGATGAGCTTTACCAACAGGTATGTATGATACCATTTGTTTTGTACTTGGAAAGGGGTATTTACATTTTAGGCTTTTATGTTATTATTTCTGTAAGTCAGACATTATAAGGATTTCACCATCTTCCAGACTAAAATTTGAGGACTTGACCTCATTAAATCCCTGAGTTTTGAAAAATTATCTGAAGGTACCTGTGTTTTCTGAATGTAGCTGTATTTTCTGAATGGACCTGCATGAGAAATGTCCAGTCTTTTCCGTGTGACATCTGAAATAATAAGTGGACATTCCATCTCAATGAGTGGACATTATGTTAATGTTGATGTCAAGCCGTGTCATGTCAGATTGGGAAAAGCTTAGATCCATGCACATAATTCGGGAAAACTTTGCATTTAGAATGTAAAATGCTCGTAAAAAGATTTGATAGTGTTGCTAGTAAAAGTATTCTTTTTTTCCAAATGCTCTTTAAAAATTTTGATAGTGTTACTTTGAACAATATATTTCAGATAGATATCTTGGGCTGTAAATTAGGCACAAATCGCTGTGAGAAACTGGACACAAGCTAGTGGCATGGCAGACAGCCATCAATAGAAGTATTTCTTTATGATTGAATTGGGCTGAACCTTTTCTAAGTATTGGAATATTTAATGAGTAAAACCTGAAAAATAGATGAAGAAGAAATAAGAGAAGGGGACAGGAATAACTCCTCATATCACATTAGAAAATATCTAATATGAGACTCAAAAGTCAAAGAAAATGATGACATAAATTTCCTCAGTGAAACATGCTAGGTCTAATGTTATATTACCTTAAATTCATGTAAATTGTTACCTTAATTTATAAGAGCATACTAGATGTGATTTGTCAATGATGCACAACTTCAACAAGACTCAATTTTTTAATCCCTTGGTTTATTTGAATTGTTCAGTTCCTTCTGTTAAAACGATTTCAATTGCCAACTTTGTAGGTTTGTGAAGTGCTCGAGGAGAAGGCCTTCATGTCAAAGAGTGTGAATAGTGAATGTGAGCCATGGGTTGTTGCCTCTCGGTTGCGAGATCGTCTTCTTTTGCCAAAGGAGAGGAAGGACCCTGTATTGTGGAAGAAGGTATCTCCATCTTTCTTTGGATTTGATTATCACTTCAACCTTTAATTTCTTGTTCAATTGATAATTTATTAATCCATAAGTCTTCAGTGAATGTACTTTTGGTATCCATTGTAGTATTCCTTTGTTAAAGTGGTATGTATTTAACTATGTCATTCGAGTTCAAACTACATTCAAATTAATCTATGATTGTAAATTCTCCTTACTTTTTGGGGACGAGAAGTTGGATCTGTTTATATGTTATTATTGAACTGAACATTTTCAATGGAATTGCCATTTTAACGTAAGAACCTTTTGAAATGTTTTGATTGATATGGTTTGTTTTGTTTCTATTTATGAATCAAGTAATTTCTTCCTTGTTCTTATATGCTATAAAACCTTTAGTTACATGTAACATACATCTACTTTAAGAAATTCTAAACTTATAAAAAACAAACAAAAAGTTAACCTGACTTGACTATCACTGAGCCTGAGCTGATGCCCACTACTTTTGCAGCTGACTCATGTCGAACTAACCTCGGGTTTGGCTTGGTGGGGGGTTGGGTCAGGTCACAATCAACCTTTGATTTACTAGAGCCAATGACGATAATTAGATGTATAGATCTTTGTGCTTTATGATCTCACAGTTGTGGCTCATATTTAATTCATGTTATTTTTATTTTATTTACACTGGGCAGGATTCAAATCATGACCTATTCTAATCCTACGCGCTTTCCCCACTTCATTCTTACCACCTAAGGGATTAGTTCTAACTTGTTTTGCACCAGCATGATGACGGCTCCTACATGCCTCCTTTTAGAGATATATTGTTTTCCAATAGTCTCTATTAAACATAACAATGCCTTGCTGTATACTTGTATGTACAAGGCTTTTTTATTCCATTCATCCAAATTAAGATATAAAAGAATACTTATTTTTAACTCCATTATAATGTTACCATGAAGCTATGAAATATATCATTATATCCGTAGTGAGAAACATGAAATCGAAAAGTTCAAGTACATCCACTTTGTATAACTTTAATTAGTTATTTTGTTATATTATTTGTATTGTTACCTAATCTTAGTTGCTTTCAATCCCAAAGGAAAATTTTAGTTTGATTTTATGGGTTCTATTATTCTATATAGTTTGAAAATAGTGGTCATAATATTGTTTATCTTTCTAATAGTAATATCTGTAATATGTGTAGGTAGAAGAGTTGGTTCAGGAGGATTCTCATGTAGATTGTTATCCAAAGCTGGTGAAGGGTGAATCAAAAGTAGTATGGGAATGGCAAGGTATGCAGGCAGACTGTGTTTTATTTATGTCAATAGTGCATCCTAACATGGCCCGATATCTGGCTTATCATCAATTATTCATTTATTTTAATAGCAAAAAATTATTTCCAAACTTGTAAAATTTGTGAAATTGGGAGCTCTATTGAAACAAGGGTAGTTATGAATATTTTTTATGCCGTCAATTCTGTGCAATCAACTTTGGCATGTCGATTCTCATTTTGTGTAGTTGAAGGCTCTTTGAGCTCTTCAAGAAGAATGAGAAGGGGTGAGGATAGCAAGTTGAAGTCCAGCAGAGCCACAGAAAGTTCTGAACACCATCTTCAAGCACTACATGCTGGTGAGTCTCACAAGATTATATTTTTTATTCAAAATTGTGTATCTGTTTTCTTGAACATTAATTTCCCACTTCAGAGCGACAGGGCTCTTCTCATAACCCCATTTTGTTTAGAGACTGTTCAGCAACAATTTAGTGAAATTAATGTTTGTTGGACCACTCCTTTCATACAGAGCGTAAGGTGCTGAATTTTGATACAACGATGTTGGAGCAGTGACCATTATCACGTGGGCCAAGAAGACTCAGAATGTTTTGTCCTTGAGAGGTGATTCACAGGGAGATTTCTGAGAGGTTGTACAGGAGATTGATCAAGATGTCTGATAAGGTCTAGTTAACTGCTTCTTGTAAGAATACAGAATTTGTATTGCTTTGGTCGGAAAGAAAAGCTTCTCCTTTATTCTCTATTTAGCTCCATATAGTTATGAAGGGAATGAGAAGAAACTGGCTGTAACAGGTTAGGAACATTTGTAATTGGTTACTTACACTAGACTAAGGTCATGCAATTGGTCATCTGGTAAATTATTAGTTTTTGAAGCTAATGTCAAACCTTGGTGTGGTGTTGTAAACACCCATAATAGGAACATCTAAATGTGAGGAATGACTTTCTATATAAGGGTGTGCATTGAAATGGTTCTCTGATATCATTTGTTTGGCTTTTTTTTGGCATTTGATTGTATTGAATGGGTGCAATCGTCTTTTGATGAATGTTGGTATTTTGGTAGGACTACTAGTGAGTTCTTACATTTTGCAGGACATGACTACGAAGAATTCCATTGGACTCGAGGAGGAGGAAAGCCAAAACAAATTTAAAAGAAACCAAAGAGAAAGTGGGTTGTGGTTCAGTGATTGTGAAAATTGGATCAAGTATGAGAAGCTGAGCTGCATTCCTCATGCTCTATATTTGAAGTGAAGGGGTTCACAACAAATTATGTGCAAATTATCCAAATTTTCAACGAAGTACATATAAAATTGACGATTTGAAATACAATGCAATGTCAATTGGACCACGTAATTGTTAAATAACTCGCCTTCTAGATCTTGTTCTTTGATGTAACCAACGACAATAGACTAAACTAGCAAATATTAAAACACTTAGAAACACACAAGAATTATACTGGTTCGGCAGAACTTTTGCCTACGTCCAGTTGTGATTTCTCAAGGTAGAGAAATCACCGCTCCTTTGATTAATAATAGAGATTATAGAACTTTTGCAACCCTAGAACTAATCTCAAAACTCTTAGCTGTCTCTGGCTGTTTTTCCTCTCTTAAAAATAAGCCTTGCCACACCCTATTTATAGATATAGAGTTGGCTTACATGTCCCAAGGCTGATTGGATTCCTATTCCTAAGTGGATTAGGAAATTACATTTATTCAAATCCTAATAGACTTCTAGAAATCCAAACCTGAATTGAATAAGGAAAACTGAAATTCTTTCCTAATCCCTCTAGGACAAGAATTGGTATACCTCTAATTTTCCTAAAACAATCCTAAACCAACTAGGACATATTTGACGAGCCAAAATTCTAACAATCTCCACCTTGGTGAGTCAAAACCAAGTCTTGATCGTTGCACCCCAGAGTATCTTTGAACCTCCTTGAAGCAGTTCTGGAAATCTTCAAGAGTCTTCACCTTGGCAATCTTCTTCTTGCCTCATTGCACCTCAAGTGAGGAGGTGCTCCACTTTAATCAATCAACGAGATTGATCAAGTTCAAGCAATGCTTGAACTTCTTGGCCGACACTATCTTTGTAAGGAAATCTGCAGCATTGTCATCCGTATGAATCTTTTCAATCCAAATCTCCTTAGACTCCACCCAATTTCTGATTCTTTGATATCTTGCTTCAATGTGCTTTGATCTTCCAGAAAAAACTTGATTCTTTGCCAAGTGAATGGCACTTTGACTATCACACTTCAGCTTCACACAATCTTGGGTGATTCCCATTTGACTTACCAAGCCATTAAGCCAAATTGCTTCCTTTCCAGCTTCGGCCAATGCAATATACTCTGCCTCTGTGGTCGACAAAGCTGTAATTGGTTGCAGTAGTGCCCTCCAACTGATCGGTCCTCCTGCGCATGTAAACACATAACCAGAAGTTGACCTTCTCTTGTCCAAGTCCCCTGCATAATCAGCATCCACATATCCCAACACCCTTGCATTTTTTTTTGCTTCTCAAACATAATCCTTTGTCACCAAGAACCCTTCAAATAACATAAAATCCACTTGACTGCATCCCAATGTTGCTTTCCTGAATTTGACATGTATCTGGAAACGACACTGATTGCTTGAGCTATGTCTGGACGTGTGCATACCATTGCATACATAAGGCAGCCCACGACATTAGCATAAGGAACCTTTTCCATTACTTGCTGCTCTTCCTCGGACTTAAGACACTGTTGCCCACTTAACTTGAAGTGAGCTGCCAAAGGAGTCAAAACTGCCTTTGCTTCTTGCATGTTGAACTTCTCAAGAACCTTCTCAAGAACCCCTCAGACAATTTGCCCTCATATTTAACAGAAATATTGACAGAATGGAGTGAATAATATAGAGTTGATGGACCATTTGAATGAATAATTTAATTGATGGACCGAAATGTAAATCGAGTATAAATTTGAGGACCATTTGAGTAATTTACCCTTAGTTGTTTCTGCTTATAGAATCCATGTTAATAGCGATTCTGTATGCCACCTGCTGGCAGGTATTGACCACATGTTATATGCATTTGTCTGGTGGCTGATGCTTTGGTGTGGTTATTATCATTTTTGGGTTGAGAAATTGACTCTTGTGCATTAAAAATAAAATACCGTGAATATAAATTAGATGTTTTAAATCATGTGATGTTCTGTGAAGATTAGTTTTTGAATTGATTGCTGCTATTTTTACTTCCTGTCATATTTTTCTACTCAGCTTATCTTTTAAAGACAAATTTATCCCTTTGTAAAATGACTTCTAAGGTCTTAGGGTATTTTAGGAATAATGGTGTTTACTTATATGAGCGTGTGTAAATAAGAAATTTTTTTCTACATTTAAAATGAAATAAAAATTATGCTTAATTCAATGGGTATTTTTTAAGTTTTCGATAAGGACTGTTGATATTATACTCGAATCAAATTTAATAGACGCAGGAGAATATATGAGGGAATAGATTCAAATTTAATCCTCTCAATGTATGTCTATGTTGCATGGATACGTCCAAAAAGTAGGGTATGAGAGTATCCGGTGAGTATCAAATACGATACATGTACAATACGTTGAGTTACATATCAGATATGCGTATTGAAGTATTCGACCAGCTCACACGACAACGATATAACAATACACGAGTATACGGTTCATGACACGGTGGGTCATTTAAAAATATCTAGGAATTTTTATGGTTGTTTGAAAATTTTGTAAAACGTGGGGTAAAAATATAAATTTAAAACTTCAACCTGTAAACCCATTCGTCTTCTTCTCTAGAGAGCTAGAGTTTTTTCATTTTGGTTTCAGCGGTAGATGAAAGAACAAGAACTCAACCTAACCTTTTTCTCAACAACATATGCTCCAAGGAACATCGTGTGCATCACCAGGTCCAGCTCCATCGTCGCTTCTTCTTCTATATTGCTCAACGAGGTTTTTTTATTTTTTATTTTAAATAAAATTTATATGACTTTAATATTGTGTGGGTCGTTTATGTTGCATGGACACTCCAAAATAGTTGAAGTGGTGAAGTGTCAAACAATTTGATAAGTGGACACTCTTTGGACACACCTCAGACATGATCAACGACTTTGACACGGTCAAGTCAAGACACTTCCCAGACACGGTTAACTCCGAGTTAAGACACGGCAGGGATGATTTTACAATTTTAAAAATAAAAAAGGGGTCAAAACATAATTGCTGAAAACTTTTGTGGACATATTTGGAAATGAATTAACAATTGGCGTTAAAATTGTAAACAATAACCCTAAACCCTAAACCCTAAACCCTTATCACTTACCTTCAGCCGCAGCAGCATCGCATTTGTAAATCCACAGCCGCTGGTTCGTGGTTTTCTTCTTCTCTCCCTTCACATTCTTTTATTCTCATCTTAATTTTTATTATATTTGCCTCTTGTTGTGTTGCGATTGACAACAATTCTTGCGAACTGTTATCCAGGTGAGGCTTTGCACATTTTGATTTTTTTTTCTCTGTTTTCTTATCATATGTATTTGTTGAACTCCACATCTCGGTTTTACAAGAGTCGGTTGAAGAGAGAAGCATTGAATTTTGTTTTGCTTAATTTTTTAAAGTTTTTTTTTTCTTAGCTGATCACTTGACATAGGGCGATTAATAGCAATCTTGGTCGTGAGAAGCATCTTGTTGAGTGGTTAATTCATTTTCTTTCATTTTATTATGCCTACTGCTTTTGATATATGTGAATTTGGTTGATTAATAATAATATTAATATGAGATTGCGGGTGGGATGAATTTTTCTGAATTTGGTTTATTTATTTAATTGGGTAGGTGTATTAATCTAAAATTTGGTTCATGATAAATATGCGAGAAGTTCTTAGATTCTCACTATGGTAATCAACCTTGTTATTAACTTGATTTTGTTTTATTTTTGTAAACAGGCGAATAAGTAAAGATGGTGCAATATAACTTCAAGAAGATGACTGTTGTACCAAATGGGAAGGACTTCATTGACATCATCCTATCTCGCACCCAGAGGCAGACCCCAACTGTAGTCCACAAGGGTTATGCAATTTCCCGCCTCCGTTCTTTCTATATGCGTAAAGTAAAATATACCCAACAGAATTTTCATGAGAAGCTCTCCACAATCATTGATGAGTTTCCTAGGCTGGATGACATCCACCCTTTCTATGGCGACCTCCTTCATGTTCTCTACAACAAAGACCATTACAAGCTTGCTCTTGGCCAAATCAATACTGCAAGGAACCTTATTGGAAAGATTTCTAAAGATTATGTGAAATTGTTAAAGTATGGTGATTCACTTTACCGATGCAAATGTCTCAAGGTCGCTGCTCTTGGCCGCATGTGCACAGTTATAAAGAGGATTGGTCCTAGTTTAGCTTACCTAGAACAAATTAGGCAACACATGGCAAGGCTACCGTCAATTGACCCTAATACCAGGACAGTATTGATTTGTGGCTATCCGAATGTTGGAAAGAGCTCATTCATTAACAAGATCACTAGGGCTGATGTGGATGTCCAGCCCTATGCTTTTACCACGAAGTCACTCTTTGTGGGACATACAGATTATAAATACTTGAGGTACCAGGTAATTGATACACCAGGGATTTTGGACCGCCCATTTGAAGACCGTAACATTATTGAGATGTGCAGCATCACAGCTTTGGCTCACTTGAGAGCTGCGGTGTTGTTTTTCTTGGACATCTCGGGGTCTTGTGGGTACAGCATTGCCCAACAGGCAGCTCTTTTTCACAGTATTAAGTCTCTGTTTATGAACAAACCATTGATTATTGTCTGCAACAAGACTGATTTGCAGCCATTGGAGGGTATATCTGAGGAAGACAAGAAGTTGGTCACGGAGATGAAAGCTGAAGCTATGAAGACAGTGATTGGTCAAGGTGGTGAGGCTACCAATGATGAGGGGGTACTCTTGACCATGAGCACTCTGACCGAGGAGGGGGTTATTGCTGTAAAGAATGCAGCTTGTGAGAGATTGTTGAATCAGAGAGTGGAATTGAAGATGAAATCCAAAAAGATAAATGACTGCTTAAATCGTTTTCATGTTGCAATGCCAAAGCCACGTGACAATAAGGAAAGACCCCCATGTATACCTCAGGTAGTTTTAGAAGCAAAGGCTAAGCAAGCAGCAGAGAAGGAAAAAAGAAATACAGAAAAGGATTTGGAGAATGACAATGGCGGTGCAGGTGTATACTCTGCCAGTTTGAAGAAAAACTATATCTTAGCTAATGATGAATGGAAAGAAGATGTCATGCCAGAAATTCTTGATGGGCACAACGTATACGACTTTGTTGATCCTGATATTTTGCATAGGCTTGCGGAGTTGGAACGAGAAGAAGGATACCGGCAGGCAGATGAGGGTGATGATAATTTTGAGATGGAGGGATTGGAATTGACTCCAGAAGAGCAAAAGACATTGGCTGAGATAAGGAAAAAGAAAAGCTTGCTCATTCAACAACATAGAATCAAGAAAAGTACAGCAGAGAGTCGACCAACTGTACCAAGGAAATTTGACAAGGACAGGGAGTTCACAACAAAGAGAATGGGGAGGCAGCTATCAAAGTTGGGACTTGATCCTACTAAGGCAATTAACAGAGCTCGAAGCAGATCTGTCTCAACTAGGGGCCGGAAGAGGGAGAGATCACTTGACAGGGATGATACTGATGGTGGTGATGCTATGGATGTGGATACACCCAACAAGAAGCAACGCATGTTATCTAGATCCCATTCGAGGTCAAGATCAAGGCCTCCAACTGAAGTTGTCCCTGGAGAGGGATTCAAGGACTCTGCTCAAAAGGCTAAGGCACTACAAAAGGCCAATAAATCTAATAAGATGAGAAACAAGAATGCTCGTCGTGGAGAGGCAGATAGGGTCATTCCCACTTTAAAACCAAAGCACTTGTTCTCTGGAAAACGATCAATTGGAAAAACTCAAAGGCGTTAAAATATTTGAGGTACTCAGACACATTGCATCACTTTTCAATTCAGCTTGTCTTTGTTTTTAGCACTCGTGGGAAACAGTTATATATGCTGATTTTCCTTTTTCTCTGACCAGCTTTAGGGATGTGTATGCTTTATGCAAATTACATGATTTATGGGACCAGTTGCATTCTATTTTTTGTGTCTATTACATGCATACCTCATCAACCTACGCGGAAGTATCAGATGCGTATGTGTGAGAATAACATTCTCGTGGCTACCAGATGGAAGTTTTTGGTCTGTTAGGAAATGCTAGTCTCATATTGATCATTAAAATTAATCTCCTGTTCTGTGGTGTTGATTTGATTTCATACTATTGAAGGTATTAAGACTGAAGTAGTATATTTGTCATGTGCTCAATGTTTTTTATGTTTATGCAAGCAATCAGTATACTTTTTCTTCTTGCAGGGAGGTAGATTTGTGCTTTGTTGTATGCACCATGGAGTGTACTTGCTGCTGAAAAAGAACTTAGTTCTTTCATCTCTGGTTTGGCAGGATATTGCAGCACGCGGGATCATGCAACCAGAGTCTTCACAGTTTCCTTATTTTTCAGTTATGTTTTTATTTAGGAAATTTTGGATCCGAGGCATGCCTCAGTTACAATATTTTGAGTGGAGTTTAATTTACAGACAAATTTTTGTCTTTACCCTTTGCTTTTGTAATGTTGTCGTTTGACAATTTGTGAAACTTGGCCAAGTTAAATTATTATTTTTGTTTGTTTTATTGAAGTTCAAGTATAGTTTAAGATACTGTAACTTCAATATTCATTCTCTTTGCCTAAAGCATCTTATTTTTCAGATTGTGAATCAGTACTGTTACAAACTTGTAGAGGATGGGTCAGAATAGGACCTCGTCACATGATAGATAGATGATCTAAAAACATGCGAATGCTCCAAGCAGAAAAAGAAAAAGAAAAGAATGCCAATGTGTTATGATATTTTCTATTTCCTATTAGAGCTGAAAATAGGAGAAGCAGCTACTTTACAGGTATGGCAATAATGTATTGAGATCATCCTATGGAGAGATGATGGATCAACCTCTATCAGACTACATCCGTCTCATTTCATCACGAACCTCATTAGCATCATCCCATCTATCGTGATTAGCGTACATATTCGACAATAGAGCATAAGTTCCAGTGCTTAATCCTCTACTCTTGAGGAGACCATCCCTGATCCTCTCAAACATCTTATCATTCCCATGAATCCAGCAAGCATTAAGCAGCGCTCCCCAAACAGAGCCATCTGCTTTTGTTGGCATTTCTTTAATGAAACCCTCTGCTTCTTCCAAGAACCCTGCTCGGCCATACATATCAACCATACAAGCATAATGCTGCGTTTTAGGAACAATCCCGTAAACATCTTTCATAGCATTAAGGAATATCAACCCTTGATCAACTAGGCCTGTGTGACTGCATGCTGATAACAAGCCAAGGAAGGTTACATCATCAGGAGGAACCCCGTGGACTAGCATAAGCGAAAAGAGCTGTTGCTCCACGAAATGATATCCTTACAATCCAGGACTTTAAACACCGAAATTGCCACACTTGTCATACATGTTGAGTAAGGCATTTCCCACATTGCCATTCACCATGAGATCCGCCACGTACTTACATAGGGATGAATCCACTGGTCTAAACTCAGTGCCCCAATCGAAGAACACGCTGACGATATGTTGACAATGGTAGCCTCATTAGGCTCAGCTTCCCCTCCTTGTACCATTTGTTGGAAAAGCCTCGCTGCCTCTTCACAAAAGCCTCTTTGTGCATAACCACCCACCATGCCAGTCCAAGAATACACAATCCCTCTTAGGCATATTTACAAACAGGTACCTGGCACTCACCAAAGACCCACATCTCAAATAGAAATCCGACCCTGCATTGTCCAAAATAATATTCCTTCCACGTAAATTCCTCAGGCAATAGCCATGAACAACTTTACCAAACTTGGAAGCTCCTAAACTAAAACAAGCAGACATAGCAATGACAAGAGTAGCATAATTAGGCTCTACATCCATGGACATAAACTTAAGAATTGCTTCCTCTACAAAGCCACACTTAGCAGGACCCGAAATCATCCAAGTCCAGGAAACAACATCTTGACCATTCTTACGTTCCATGTAAGTTAAGAAAAGAGTTGGAATAACTTTATATTTTACTATATATTATACAAGTTAGAATAAAAAGTTGAGATACGTAAGCATACAAAACACACGCGCAACGCGCAACCCATAAGGATTAACCACTGAAAAGTTACTGGATATTTAAGTAAATAAGGTGCTAATCCACTGAAAAGATAAAACAAAAGTTGATAGTGGCTTCCTGTCTAAATTTATGGCCACATAAAAGAGCCCAGTCGAGGAAAGGAATAACCACCGTGGTCTAGTCTAAAGAAAAAAGACCTTAACTTATAGGTGAGTAGTATTAAATTCGAATCTTTTTGATACCTTAACAGTGTGTGTGAGAAAATTCTCCTTCTCGTTCTTAACTTTAGACAAAATAAAAAGAGAAAAGGACAATAATAATAATAAATAATGGCAAAAATGAGCAGATGACAAAGACCAGTAGCCTAGCCACCTAATCCTCCTCCCTCCTTTAGACATCACAGATTGACAGGCGCTCCTCCCACCTAACCTCGTCTCCAACAATGCTATGTGTGGACTAAACTACCTTTCCATCTATCCGTCCCTGAACCAGAACAGATGAACAAAGGATGACATGCCACCACCAACCAAACACCAAAGACCAAAGACCAAACTGTAGAACAAAGGAAACCACCGAAGGCCAGAGAAGGAAACTAAGAGCATAGATATATACCACAATTGTAACAACATATACACTGATATATATATATATTTATATATAATATATTGATACAGATATGGCTTCCCGGTCCCAATCCAAGCCATCATCAGCACCACCGCCACCATCACCGCGGTCAAAGACGGAGGCTTTGGATGTTCCCCTTCATGAAATTGGGTTCGAGATTGAAGAGGTAACCCCAAAAAAGGTCTCCGGTCACCTCCATGTCACCCAAAAGTGCTGTCAGGTCATCATCTTCTTTCTTTCTTTCTATCTTTCTTTGTTTGTTCATATGATGAATCTTTTTCCTGCTGAAAGTCTAAAAGAAGATGTTAATGAAATAAGTAATATGACTAACTCTTCTTTGCTGCTGAGACCAGCCTTTCAAGGTGTTGCATGGAGGGGTATCAGCTCTCATAGCTGAGGCTCTAGCTAGCATAGGAGCCCACCTGGCCTCTGGTTTACAAAGAGTGGCTGGGATTCACCTCAGCATCAACCATTTGAAGCGTGCGGAGCTTGGTGACCATATCTTTGCTGAAGCCACGCCTGTCAATCTTGGCAAAACCATTCAGGTTCCTCTGCTCTTCACCGTCGCATTCCTATCCTCCTTGGTTTTTTATATTTTAATCTTTCATCAATTTATCATTTCATTTACTTAATATATTCAATAAACAGATTATATCATTCAAAATTGTTTTCATTTGGCAATTTTGGGCAGGTTTGGGAGGTGAGACTGTGGAAGATTAATCCTTCAAACTCAGACATCAAATCCTTAGTATCATCATCAAGAGTTACTCTTTTATGCAACATGTCTGTACCAGAGCATGCAAAAGATGCCGGTGATGCTCTAAAGAAGTATGCCAAATTATAAGTTTTGTTGTACTCTATTCATGTTCAACTCTTTTTGTTATTGAGCCAATGGAGAAATTAAAGACACTTTGATTTTAGCATTATAACTAGCAATGGTGCCCGCGCGATGCTGCGGGTTTTGAAATTGTACGGAAATGTGTATAAAGTCGTGAAAATATGCAAGGAAAATAATACCATTTGTATAACCATGGATATCTAAATAGTAGGATCATGCTTAGTTTAGCAAGCTTAAATTACAAAAAATAAACTAACATGTTTTAAGTGCTGCTTGTTATTTGAAAATATTGGGCATATTTTAATAAATTAAGCAGCTATAAAACATCAAAATATGAGCAGTTTTTAACTGTTCATTGTTCAAAAGAGTTTGAACAAGTGTTTATATATATGGTATTGGGTGGTGGAAAGGGATTCCTCTACTTTGATGTCTGTTGGAAGGGGATTTAGGTCTTGTTAGCTCTGCTATGCAGGTGACTTAAATTCTTTCTCCTTCTTTGCAGAGGTTTTGACTCTGTTGACATAAATTTGGAATCCGAAATCTAATTCTCCTTAATCCAACACCCCCTCAATTTAATTCATCCTCAATTCAATTTCTCCTAATCCAGTAACGGATTAGTAAACATTAGTGTTACTTTTAGAAAATTTAGTATATTTAGTGAAAATTAGCTCACCTCATTCCAACCCCTGCATCTACTTAAACCGAAAAAGAAACATTTATAGCTCACCCGTATGAAAGTTTTTGGTTCCACCCTGACTACAAGTCGCATGGTAATTTATATAGATACCTCTTTTATGTAGTTTTATTTTGGGATTAGAATTGTCCTCGGAAGGGCTACAGCTCATTGCATGCTCCGGAGAGTAGCGCATAATTGCTCTGTCGGCGGATAACTCAAGTTCAACCAAGTGAGTTTCCAAAGCAGAGTTGAAGACCAAAGACATCAAATTTCTACATTGCCTCCACCACCTCTCACTCTCTTCCTATATACTCTCTCTCTCTGCTCTACATAAATTCTCTCCCACTCACTCACTCACTGTGATTTCACACACACTCTCTCTCTCTCTCTCTGCTTCGCAGATTCTCTCACTAGTCACTAGCACTGTGGGGGGAGTGGAGGGAGAGAGAACTTCAAATACCATATACCCACTGGAGGGCTCATCTCTCTAAAGCTTTCACACCATTCTGTCCCATTTTCAGGTTAGCTATTTGATACCGGATTTCACCTCTTACTATTTTCTCTTTATGCATTGTTCTTCTTGGCTTCATTTTAATGTCATTTTTTGGTTTTTTGTTTTCTTCCCACTGTATAATAGCACAAGATCTGTGCTTGCACTTGTTTTTTCCTTTTATGGGCTGTGTGGAAAAAGAGTGTGATCTTGTTTCTGTTTTTGGCTTAAAAGGTTTAAGATTTAGTTATAAATTTCATTGTTTGTACATCTTGGCTTCAGATCAAGGGATTGACCATTTTAGGATCCAAGAGGGCAGCTTGATTTAAGGCAATGGATGATTGATAACTTTCTATTTTGGACTGGAGGTGGTAATTCTTGATCCCAACTGAGAAAGAAAATGAAAAGAGCTACAGATTAGTAAAAATGTAACGTTTGCCTACGGGTGATGTTAATCCTTAATTTAATCCAATCCCGTATTTTGGAATAGCAATGACAATGGATATACCAGAAAGTCGCTAAGTTTAATTTAATCCACTCCTTCCTTAGTTCATTTAATCCTGCTGTGATTGGAAACTCACTCTCTCTTCAACAAATCTAGTTGCTGCTTATTTCTTAAAGTCCTTAACCATAAATGTATGCATAGTTCATAGCCTCTAGAAACTTACCGTATCCAGAATCCGTCCCATGTCTCAATCTTGAAACGGTGATGCCATCTGGATTTATTTTATTATCTTCCTGGAAATTTTGTGTCAATTAGTTACTTCTCGGTACTGATCTGATGATATTTTCCCTCTGTTTGGATGAAGGAATTGAAAATGACATAGAATTATAAAATGACGGAATTTACATTTCTGTAATTTTAATTTCTGGCAATTGAAGATTTCAGTGTTTGGATTTATGTATGTCAAATTTTGTAAATGACAGAATTTTGTAAATGACACTACGGAAATTGTGAAATGACACCTATTTTGGTGGAAATTAAACCTGGGAATTTGATGCCCCAATTTCCATGATTTTTTCCGTACAACATTTAATAAATTCTGCATTTAAGTTACCAAACAAGGGAATTGTCAAATTCTCCTCTTAAATTCCCGACTTTTAGCTAAATTCCAAGTTATTTTCCCTCGTCCAAACAGAGTGCGAATTTGTATTTTCAACATTTGTTGAAAGTAGAATGAGTGCAAAATCCTCTGTAGGTAGGTTATTTACCAAAAGTCGAGCTGATTAAAAGTCTGATGTATATCAGACTGCAAATTTGGCTGGGAGAAATTAACCACACTTCGGAACAATTAATCAAGTTATTGAGATATGTTATTTATTTATAACAGACTGCAACGTGCTAATGATTTTTTTTTCTTTAAGCATACTTATTCTGTCAGTTCTCAACCATTGACCATTTACTTCAAATAATCGACTCTAAGTTTTCTATTATTAGTGCAGGGTTGAGGGAGTTAATTGCAACAATATCATGAAATCTAAGCATAATTCTTCAGGAAACAGAACAAGAAGCATGATATCTATATTCGTTCTTATTGCTCTGTGTTGTTTCTTCTACCTTCTTGGAACATGGCAAAAGCGTGGTTTTGGAAAAGGAGATAGCATAGCATTTCCAGTAACCAAGCAGACAGATTGCAGCAATGTCTTTACTAATTTGAACTTTGAAACACATCACAATATTGAGGAGATAGTTGAACCCTCTGAACCTAAAGCCAAAGAGTTCAAGCCTTGTGATGTTAAGTATGCTGATTATACTCCTTGTCAAGAGCAAGACCGAGCAATGAAATTCCCGAGGGAAAATATGATATACAGGGAAAGGCATTGTCCACCAGAAGAGGAAAAATTGCATATTCTTATTCCAGCACGGAAAGGATATGACTCCTTTTCCCTGGCCTAAAGGCCGTGACTATGTCCACTATGCCAACATCCCTTATAAAAGTCTGACAGTTGAGAAAGCTGTTCAGAACTGGGTGCAGTTTCAGGGAAATATTTTCAAATTTCCAGGTGGAGGAACAATGTTCCCCCATGGCGCTGGTGCATATATTGACGAACTTGCATCAGTTATTCCGATTTCAGATGGCTCTGTCAGGACAGCATTGGATACTGGTTGTGGTTTATGTTGGTTTTCTTAACTATGCTTGTGCTTTTGTTTTAGCATTTGCATGTGTACATTCATTGCTTCACATTGCCATTCTGTCATTTGCATTTAATTTGAGTGACTTAACTTCCTTTAGTCAATCCAAGACTATGAGTACAACAATGGCTTTTCAGTCTCCAGAGAATGTTAGGTAGATTTGCTTGTGCGTATAGTGAATGCAAATGCACATTCAATGATACTGTGTTATATATATGTAGCTAAATCATGTATGTATGTAAGCAGTGAGCTATCCTAGTATACATGTTCACACACAGTTCTTTTGTTCGTATGTGGTTCTTTACTAATGAGACCAACCATGATACAGGTTGCAAGTTGGGGTGCATACTTGCTAAAGAGAAATGTATTAGCCATGTCCTTTGCACCACGGGATAATCATGAAGCACAAGTGCAGTTTGCATTGGAGCGAGGTGTACCTGCTGTTATCGGTGTGCTTTGGATCAATTCGTCTTCCATACCCATCTAGGGCCTTTGATATGGCTCAGTGCTCTCGGTGTTTAATTCAATGGACTGCAAATGGTAAGATCTCGATGTAACGAGCATTAAGCTGAGTAATCACATTTGATTTCCTTAGTTTCTGTATTATATATATATATATATATATATTAAAATAGAGTTGAATTAGTGAACTCTTAAGTTGAATACACATAGTAGAAAAACATATCCATATCTATTTCCATACTCAGATCATATGGTCAAATTAATTGTCACAATCTTGCCTCGACTCGCAAGGTTGACCACTGAAATAAGCTTAGAGTTGTTTGGTAAACATTTATACTTGATTTCCATTGGTATAAATGATTACTGATTTGCACACTTTCATTTTCAAGACTATTTTTCTATGTAACTTCATGTTTTCTATGAGATTTTATGCCAAAAAGTGTAAATAAGTCTTACAAGGGTGATAAATTGTCTGCAAGTCTTACATATCTGGCAATTAATTTAGTTACCAACCCTGCTAAAATTTTATTTTCCCAAGTTTTCTTTTGGTTGATATTGACTTCCTCAATCCATCCTCATCTGTTGACTTCCATATAAAATAAGGCTTCTGATTGTAGTCCCATCTTTTAACTTTGTTTTCCATGTTTCGACATTCAAGAATAGTTTATTTACTGAATATCTCTGTAAGTGCTGGAAGTTAAATGATTCACATATGAACGGCTGTGTGTAGATGGGATGTACCAAAAAGAAGTTGATCGGGTCCTTAGACCTGGTGGATATTGGATCTTGTCTGGACCTCCAATTAATTGGAAGACATACTACAAAACGTGGAAGCGGTCTAAGGAGGATGTCCAGACAGAGCAAAGACAGATTGAAGCACTAGATGAAAGTCTTTGCTGGGAGAAAAAGTATGAGAAGAGAGATATGGCTATTTGGAAGAAAAAAGTTAATACAAAATCCTGCAAAAGCAAGTCTGTCAATGTATGCCAGACAGAGGATGCTGATGATGTCTGGTGAGTTCCAGGAACTGTGCTGAGGAGCCTTGTTTATTGTTCTTAAATATTCACTAATCATGTTTAAAGATAATCTCATGGTTCTGGATAAAGTCTCCCTGCCTCTAACTTGAGGTTTGGTACATTTTTCCGGAAGTGAGACATACTCAGTTAGGGGAAAGAGGCGCAGGACTTTGCAGCAGGTGACAGGTCACAGGATAATGCAAGGAAACCCTTTTTGAAAACCTCAAATTATATAATATGAAGTAGCTGTTGCTGGATTTCCCTGTCAATATTTCTCAAAACAAGAAGTAATCAAAGAGAAAAAAATGTAGTGAATTGGTTACTGACTATGGTTTTGACCAACAAGTCAGTCCACTTATCTAGGAAACTGTTAAACATAACATACGTTTTACAGACAGACATGTTAGTCGAATTGGCATGTTGCACATATTCCACATTCCCACCCCTCTGTAAACGTGATGTGCTGGTTGCATGCCTCCAGTTTGTGAAAAGTTTTTCAGTTAATGTCTTTGTACCTCTTCCATCACTCGTTACTTTATATTTGTAGGCTGGAATTTTCTTGTGCCCTGTCCTTCTGTAGTTATTATGTTGTTCTAGACAATAATTCTGTTTTATTTGGGAACACAAGGTAATTAAGCCCCTACCTCCCATTGTGTACTTGCACACACGTTGGTTAGAAGAAAATGTTGTGCTTTTGAATTTTTGTTAGTCAATGCTATGGAGTCGACAGTAGAAGTTGGACGGGTTTTTATTGTTTGAGTTGGTCCCCTAGTTCAGAATTACCTAAAATGCATTGATATAAGCAGAATGATTGTATAACTTTAGATTCCATTTATTAGAGTGAACACTTTCTCTTTTCTACTTCGCTTTTATGTTATTTTCCCCCCTTTGTCATTCTATGATTCTAGTAATTGCAAAGATTAGCTTCATTTCCTACAAGTGTTGCAATTATACAAGGCGGGTTCCCTTAGATCAGTGATGAAGTTTCAGTCTATTTCTATCTCGCTTGCTCAAGTTCATTTGGCCGTCCTTTTTTCGTCTTGTTTTCTCCATATATGCATGTCCTATTCAATTCTGATAAGGGCATTTTTGAAAGGATGTATTCCAGTTCTAGAGTTACTAGCATGTTATTTACATCAAGCATTGAACGATGATCCTGCAATCTTCCGACAAGTATATAGAATGTATCCAGATGTATTCCTGAAGTTATGCACAATTCTTAGAGAAAAAACACTTTTGGAGGATACAAGATTTATTTGCGTTGAAGAAATGCTTGCATCATTCCTACAAATCGTCGGCCAAAATACTCGATATTGTGTCATTCGTAATACATTTGGTCGATCACAATTCACTGCAAGTGAAAATTTTCACAAGATTTTGAAGGCCTTGAACACAATAGCATCTGATTGGATGACTAAACCAGGACCGGCTGTGCCATCTAAAATAAGGGAAAGCACAAGGTTTTACCCTTATTTCAAGGTATGTGATAATTATCTAATTATAATAATATTGTTATTATAATATATATTTGTCATAATATGGTTATTGTGATGTATGAATAATTTTAGGATTGCATTGGAGCTATTGATGGTACACATATTCCGGCAATGGTGAGGGGACGAGATGTAAGCAGTTATCGTAATCGTCATGGAAAGATATCACAAAATGTATTAGCTGCTTGTAACTTTGATTTGGAATTCATATACGTTCTTAGCGGGTGGGAGGGTTCAGCTCATGATTCAAAGCTACTAAATGATGCTTTATCAAGGAGGAATGGACTTAAAGTGCCCCAAGGTAAGTACTTATTTTAAATGATAAATATATATATTTTTTAACTTTGCATACTAATTTTATATGTATTGTATATATAATTAGGTAAATATTTCCTAGTGGATTGTGGATTTCCTAATCGGCGCCAATTTTTAGCTCCATTTCGAGGTGTGCGATATCATCTCCAAGATTTTGCAGGTCATGGTAATGACCCTCAAAATGAAAATGAATTGTTCAATCTTCGCCATGCGTCATTGAGGAATGTGATCAAGAGGATATTTGGCATTTTTAAATCATGGTTCACAATTTTTAAGTCAACGTCTCCATTTCCATTTAAGACACAAGCAGAGCTTGTGTTAGCATGTGTAGCACTACATAACTTTCTTCGCAAAGAGTGTCGTTCTGATGAATTTCCAATTGAACCAGTGGACGAATCTTCTTCATCTTTAGTATTACCAGTTAATGAAGAAGAGAATTTGGAACCTATTGTTCAAACCCAAGAGCAGCAACGAGAAAATGCTAATGCATGGAGAGCTACCATAGCTTTAGATATGTGGAGAAATGCTACTTAGGACGACATGAAACTACATCAAATTGGCTATTAAAAGATTGGGAGAACTTTATTGAATTTTACTTTTCTTTGTTAAAATTGTGTTTCTTTGTTATCTTTTTCATTGACTCTTGTAACTTTGAATGTTTGCTTTTATTTATTGTTCCATTTCATTTGATCTCGTTTATGTTATTGCTGATGCAAGTGCCCACAACTAAGTTGATTGGTTATCGTACAAATAAAAAATCCATGTGGTCCTTTCAAATCTTATAAATTCTTATGATATAAATCTTTAAAATCCAAACATAAAAAATCCTTAGTATAAAAAATCTTTCAAAAAAATCTTATAAGTCATTACATTCTTAAATAGTCTTTTAAAATCCACTGGACTTATTTATCCATAAATAGTCTTTTAAAATCTCAATTGAATACACCCCCTTTAGATTGTTACAGCAATCATAATTCTTAGTTTTATGTGGTATGTTTGAGGTACAAGAAAATGGACACATGCGTAACCCCCTCTCCTGAGGTAACCAATGCAAATGAAGTAGCAGTGGGGGCGTTGAAGTTTCCTGCGAGGCTTTATGCAGTCCCTCCTCGAATAGCTAATGGTTTAGTTGACAGAGTTACTACTGAATCTTACCAAGAGGATAATAAACTTTGGAAAAAGCATGTAAATACTTACAAAAGAATCAACAACTTGATTGTCACTACCAGATATCGGAATGTCATGGATATGAATGCGGGCCTTGGAGGATTTGCAGCAGCCCTTGAATCACGAAAATCTTGGGTTATGAATGTGGTGCCTACAATTGCAAAGAACACTTTAGGTGTTATTTATGAGAGAGGTCTCGTTGGCATTTATCATGACTGGTATGCCCCTCTAACTCTCTCTCACACACACACAAATTTGCCTTGTTGGAAGTGTATCAGTTTCCTCCGGGGCTTGTTAACCTTTACGTTTTTGAGATGAGATGAAGACCAAACGAACGGCAAGATTCCCACGGCGCCAGCCCAAATGGATATCGACGGCCCCAAGCTGGTTCGAAGCGGACGATCGTTCTGTGGAAACGAAACAGTGGGGAGAGTTAGCATCCAAAGAGAGGGGTAAAAAGGGAACATAAGGAAAATTTTAGTAAAGGGCAAAATCGACAATTTACTATTCCTAAGGAACAGATGACAAAGACCAGGAGCCTATCCACCTAATCCTCCCTCTTCAGACATTACAGATTGACAGGCGGTCCTCCGACCTAACCTCGTATCCAACAATGCTATGTGTGGACTAAACTACCCTTCCATCTATCCAACAATGCCATGACAGTGGACCCTCCTGATAAACAAAGGATGACATGCCACCACCAACCAAAGACCAAACTGTATGTCATATGATATTCGCCATCTCCAATGCAAAAGTCTTCCCACCCACTCTCATCCAGGAAAAGCCAAACAAACAACAGCCAACAATGAATGGGAATTGAATTGCTTTGGTTCTATCATCTATACAACAAAGGAAACCACCAAAGGCCAGAGAAGGAAACTAAGAGCATAGATATATACCACAATTGTAACAACATATACACACATGGCTTCCCGGTCCCAATCCAAGCCATCATCAGCATCAGCACCACCACCACCATCACCGCGGTCAAAGACGGAGGCTTTGGATGTTTCCCTTCATGAAATTGGGTTCGAGATTGAAGAGGTAACCCCAAAAAAGGTCTCCGGTCACCTCCATGTCACCCAAAGGTGCTGTCAGGTCATCATCTTCTTTCTTTCTATCTATCTTTCTTTGTTTGTTCATATAATGTATCTTTTTCCTGCTGAAAGTCTAAAAGAAGATGTTAATGAAATAAATAAGTAACATGACTAACTCTTCTTTGCTGCTGAGACCAGCCTTTCAAGGTGTTGCATGGAGGGGTATCAGCTCTCATAGCTGAGTCTCTGGCTAGCATAGGAGCCCACCTGGCCTCTGGTTTTCAAAGGGTGGCTGGGATTCACCTCAGCATCAACCATTTGAAGCGTGCTGAGCTTGGTGACCATATCTTTGCTGAAGCCACGCCTGTCAATCTTGGCAAAACCATTCAGGTTCCTCTGCTCTTAACCGTTGCATTCCTATCCACCTTGTCTTCTTAATTATAATCCATATCCCAGGCTCCTAGTCCTCTCCAGTCTTCATCATGATGAGGACATCTTTGTCAACCATTAGGGTTTACAAACGAAAGAGATGGAAGAGGGAATTTATAATTAGTTTCCTAATTTATTTGTTAGTTCCTAGTTCTCTAAGTTTTCCAGATTCATTAGGATTTTTAGTTTTTCCAGATTTCGGTAGGATTTCTAAGTTTGCTATTTTATTTGGATTAGGATTTCTTTCCTAAAATAAGTTTACTATGATAAATACCCCTTCTATGTAATTCATTATGGGAGTTGAGATTATTGAGTAAAGTTTATTTTCCAGAGATTGAAGATTACTTGGTGTGAAACCAAACCCCTGGAGAGATTCCAGATCTATCCCTTTTGTTCTATTTTTTGTTTTCCATTGTTTTCGCTTCCGCTAAACTATCACTTCATCATCAAGTATCACTTCCAATTAACTGTAATTACAACTGCTAATACAACAATAGTTGTAGTGTAGGTGTCCAAGAAACAAATGACATTTAGAAATTTTATACGGTTTTATCTTCTCTACAACATTATCCACATCATAAATTTTCCATCTCATTCTTTCCATCACTCCATTTACAGACAATTTCCCACTGGAAATATAATAATCATGTTGGCACCATCCAGACTATCCTACCACCATTTCATACTAGGGAAATATGAATGCCAATACCTAATTATCCAAAGCAGGAGGCAACTAGGGTGCCATCCTGCCCCCCTTCTCATTTCTTTTTTTTTGGTTTTTTTTTATTAATCTTTCATCAATTTATCATTTCATTTACTTAATATATTCAATAAACAGATTATATCATTCAAAGTTGTTTTCATTTGGCAATTTTGGGCAGGTTTGGGAGGTGAGACTGTGGAAGATTAATCCTTCAAACTCAGACATCAAATCCTTAGTATCATCATCAAGAGTTACTCTTTTATGCAACATGCCTGTGCCAGAGCATGCAAAAGATGCCGGTGATGCTATAAAGAAGTATGCCAAATTATAAATTCTGTTGTACCCTATTCATGTTCAACTCTTTGTTATTGAACCAATGGAGAAATTAAAGACACTTTGATTTTAGCATTATAATTAGCAATGGTGCCCGCACGATGCTGTGGGTTTTGAAATTGTAAGGAAATGTGTATAAAGTAGTGAAAATGTGCAAGGAAGATGATACCATTTATATAAGGCTTAAATGCTACAGTGCCTCCTGGAACATTGGTCAATTCTCACTTTACCCCCTCAAAGTTAAAGTGACCTACTTTGCCCCCTTAACCAATGTTTCGTGTTTCACTTAACCACTTTCCGTCTACGCCATTCCAAATTCTGTTAAACCAATGACGTGGCAGGGGTAGTTTGGTCCATTCAACTGAGCTGGGATTTTTCCCACCAATCTGAGGGTGTAACGTGTACATGTGGAGCCCACCTCTAACATCTGATATAGCTCCAACTTTCTAATTGATCTCAGTTGGCTACGGACCAAAAAACCCCAAATTGGCTTCCTCTAAAACCTTAGAAATCAGAGGTTGGGTTCCACGAAAATTGAAGATGAAGACTGAAATAGTTGACAGAGGGGAAGAGTTGGATGTGGCAGCACCACGTTTCTTTTGTGGGAAGATAGCTCGCTTACAAACTTCATGGACTGAGGCAAACCCACTTCGAAGATTCCATGTTTGTCCAAACTCATTAGGGGTAAGTTATGTTGTTGAAAGTTTGTGAATCCGGTTAAATTTTTTTATTAATTGGTATTAATGGTTGATGCAGAGGAGGAAAAAAGGATGTGGGTTTTTGTTTGGGTGGATGTTGAATTTCCACCTAGAGAGAAGGCTTTGGTGAGTTGGGTACTTAGAAGATTGAAGGAACTTGAAAAGGACGTTGGGCATCGTCAAGCAAGAGAAAGAAAGTTAATGGGTTGGCTTATTCTTTCATGGGGTTTAGTAATGGTGGTTTTGTTTTGGCAATGTCTGTAACAACTTGGCACAAAATGTGGCCATTGCAATGGAGGAATTAGGCAGATTGTACAAGTCTATATTTTGCAACTGTATGTAAAATATCATGTCTTGGTAGCTATGTAATGATGGAGGAACATGGTTTCCATTTGCAACTGGATGTAACAATGTATTGGTACTTATGTAATGAATGTGGTTGTTGAACACAATGTGGGAGTTACTTATTGGATTTTGACCTCATAAGTAATAGTATGAAAAGCATTACCAAATTAACAGTACCACGAACACTTGCAACAGTTTATAACAGACAATCATGGGTTTTATAACACTGATCAAATCCTCACAGTTTATAACCAGTTTATAACATTACTAATAAAGTTCTTAATAGTTGGACTTGCAAAATAATAGTTTAATCAAAAGCCCATTTCAAAGGGTTGTCCTTAACAGTTGTACATGCAAAACAAAAGTGGAATGAAAAGGTCTTCATAAGAGACATTTTAACAAAACACAAAACACTTCCACATGATCAGAATCTCCAAGGCTGATAACCATCCAACAAATCCTTCCGATTGGTAAATTTCTTCCTCTTGGCAAGAGATTTGAACATCTTTTTGCTTGGACCATTGACAAAAGGGTGTGATAAGCTTGCACTTGGTTGAGATCCTTGCACAGATTGAGAAGTTTGGGTAGGTTGAGAACTTTGGCTATGTTGAGAACTTTGGCGAGTTTGAGAAACTGGACAAGCTTGCACAGATTCAGTTCCTTGCACAGATTGAGAGCCTTGTAGAGTTTGAGAACCATCCTTCTTTTTGGGGAATTTAATCCTCTTTGCAGAAGATTTAAACCTTTTTTTTTTTGGAGTGTCTGAAGCTTGGCCAGTTTGAGATGCTTGGGCAGGTACTGAAGGTGGGGCAATTTGAGATGCTAGGGCTGGGGCTGGGGCAGTTTGGGAAGCTTGGCCTGTTTTAGAACCATGTGGAGTTTGAGAACACTGGCCAGTTTCCAACCTTCTTCTCACCTACAAATTGAAAAGGATTCCAATTTACATCAACTACATCTCATACTTCATCCTCTTAATATCAATAAAAATAAAGGAGGCTTATAGGTTACTTGGCTGTTGATTGTCTTGTAACCCTTTTGGTTGATGTCGTATCTTGGGCAGATTTCTGAACCTTTCGTTTACATGGGACCTAACATAAGAAGAGAATCACTTAAAAATAAATAAATAATAAACATCCAAAACAAAAATGCATTGCCAATGTCTTTTTGGAAGAGACAAACCTGACTGCTACTGCCTTCTTTTGCCTTAGGGCAGCTCCTCCTATTATGGCCTCATTGTCTACAAAGTGAACACTTGGTTTCTAAGTTATACCTCTGCAACTTGGTGGCTGTAGGATTATATTTTCTTGGTTGTTCACCTGCCGACCTCATCCTCTTCTTTCTTGGTCTCCCAGGTTGTTTGTGATAAAGTGGTGGCATCAAAGGAGGCCTATGACACTTAGGCCACAAGTCTTCACTTGTTATTGGATGAACCATTGGACTATAAGCTCTCATAAAGGCCTCTTTCTTGTAACAAGCATCAACATAAGCAATATGATCCCCATTTAATTGGCCAATTGCAGCACAAGCATGCTTGCATGGGATCCCAGTAATATCCCATCTCTTACATGAACAACAATGCCTTGCCAAATCAACCAGCACCTGACTTCCATCATGGTTTTTGACCTCATATAAACTCTCCCCAGCAAGCTTTGGAATGCACCAAGCTGATTCTTTCTTTGTTTTCTCCAAAATCCCAAAAATCCTTGGACCAATGGCATGTTTCCATTTCTCACAAGATGCTCTTCTAGTTGCCATCAACAACATAATATAGTATCTAATTCTCTCTAGCATAGTTAAAATAGGTTTGTCTCGTACTTCTACAATGGCACCGTTAAAAGCCTCACACATATTATTCAAAAGGATGTCACACTTGGAATGAGTTTTAAAGTGAGCTCTACACAATTGTGATGGATCTAAGGCCGCCACCCAATCAAATGCAGCTTGGCTCAGCTGTCTCATATTTTTCATCTCAGCATCCCACCATGGGATGGTTGTGCTCCTTGCGATTTTCTCCATTTGCAATTTCAACACCAATCCTCTGTGACCAGCAAACAAAAAATTTGCTTCTAAGTGTTTGAGGCAGTGTCTGTGCTCGGCGTTTGAAAAATGATCATGTACTGCATCAATCAAGCCTTTTTGCTTGTCTGTGATAAAGACATATCCGCTACTGTTTTCGATTCCAAGGTCCTCTGCCAATATTTGACAAAACCATGACCATGTTTCATAATTCTCCACCTCAGCCACTGCATACGCAATAGGATACATGCCATTGTTAGGATTCACACCAACATCAGATAACAATTGTCCAGGGTGATGACCCTTTATATGACAAGCATCAAATCATATAACTGGCCTACATTCCTGCAAAAACCCTTGTTTAACTGCAGCCAAGCAAATGTAAATCCTCTGAAACCTTGGCCTTTCACCCTCCAACTCACATTTCATAATGACTGTGCTACCCACATTTGTCCTTTTTAGTTCAGCAGCATAATCCCATAATAATTCATATTGTTTTTCATAAGTCCCCTCAGATATGGATGTTGCCTTCTACCTTGCCCTATATATTTTGGATTTAGAAGCTATCACAGAAAAATCTTCTCGTACCTATTGCTTAAAGGTTCCCATATCCCAATTATGCTTTCTAGACAGTTAAGTAGCATATCTATGAGCTAACCATGTTGAGTTAGCATGAAAGTTGTGATCAACTGTCCCACAATCATGCTCATCAACCAATTTCTTCACTTGAACCCATTCACTACCATTAACTTATGAAGCAAAACAAACCCATTTACAATTTCCTGCACACACTGCCCTCACCCTATCACGATCATTGCATTTGAATTTAATCATCCTCATGTTCACAATTGAATAGTTCCTAATTGCTTTCCTAAATAAGTTAATGGTTGCAAACCTTAAACCCAGCTTAAACACAGGGTTGTGCATGTCTGTTTCAGGCCCAAATTCTTGAAATTTAGGCAATTACTTCTTCCTTTTCTTCTGGTTCCCATCATCCTCATCATCTGAGCTATTATCCAAGCTCTCAACATCACTTTTAGCTACATCAGTTGACTCCCGATCTTCATATACAGGGGCATTTGGGTCTTCAACTACTTCTGGCTGGTCTACATAATTTTCAAATGCTTTATCGTCCTTTCTCAACAACTCACATTCATTTTCACTCTGCTCATAAGCACTATTAACAAAATCAGGGTCCTCTTCCTTGTCTTCTTCTTCACTGTCTTCCACATCAGTGTCACCTATATGAGCCTTACTACCCTTATTGTTCAGAGGCCCATCATCATAACTTGAAACCCAGTCTTCAACTCTGCAAGCAGACCCATGATGCTCAGTAAAAGGCCGGCCCTCTTTTTCATTATTCAGTGGCCCACTGCCTTCAGTAGAAGCCCTATTTTCATCACTAACAGGCCCAATATTCTCACTATCCTTATTCAATGCCATAGCTACCTCTTCACAATCCTCATTCACTGCAACACCTTTCTCTTCAATGTGTTGTACATAAATCAGCACTACTCTCTTATAAGAAAGTGGTGCCTTATCACACAAACTTAACAGATCAGCATCCCTGTCTATATCCAGTAACTCCTCATTTACTACTCTTTTAAGAGATACTTTCCCCATGTGCCCAAGCAGTTTCACTTGCTCCCACATCTCTAACATATTTATATATACAGTACACCAATCCAAATATCCTACAGACCCACTAGTATAACACCACTTATTCTGTTTGTTTTTCACAATTTTGCCACCATGATGCACTTCAAAAGTGACCAATTCTTTGTCCTCTACACAGAAACAAAAAGGGTTTGTTTTTAACAAAAGCTAAATAGTATTCTAAGACACTTATTAAAAGCAAGACAACAACCATGGTTCGATTAACATATTCAAACCCAACTAGAAGAAAACAAAAACGAGACCACATCAGGAAAGGTATACTGCTTTACAACCCCCTCTGCCGACAACACATAACACAAAAAGACCTAAACCCTATCAATTTCTACACAATGCGCATCATTATCATGTCAAGATTCTTTTCCGCGTCAAAGGACAAGATTCCTTTTCAGAAAACAGGTCCCTTTTCAGAAGAATCACTTACCGTACACAGGTTGCCCTGCTCTTGCTTCTCGCCAAACGGGCATCGTCGTCGAGTCGAGTCGCGTCGCTTCTTCTTGCCTTCAAGTTGTCAAAACCAACTGAGAGCGCTCTCCCTCACTCGATCCTTATTCTCAAACCCTAGCTCTATAATCCCCAAATCTCAATTTTCCCTCCCAATCTGATTTTCTGTTTTCATTTTTGAGTTCTTTTTTTTTATTGTCGTGGCTGTTTTGTTAAATGGGTCCCCAAATTCCACATCAGCAGGCAATCAATCCGTTGGAGCTATATCAGATGTTAGAGGTGGGCTCCACATGTACACGTCACACCCTCAGATTGGTGGGAAAAATCCCAGCTCAGTTGAATGGACCAAACTACCCCTGCCACGTCATTGGTTTAACGGAATTTGGAATGGCGTAGACGGAAAGTGGTTAAGTGAAACACGAAACATTGGTCAAGAGGGCAAAGTGGGTCACTTTAACTTTGAAGGGGTAAAGTGAGAATTGACCAATGTTCCAGGGGGCACTGTAGCACTTAAGCCTTTATATAACCATGGAGATCTAAATAGTAGGATCATGCTTAGTTTAGCAAGCTTAAATTACAAAAAATAAACTAACATGTTTTATGTGCTGCTTGTTGTTTGAAAATATTGGGCATATTTTAATAAATTAAGCAGCTATAAAAACATCAAAATATGAGTAGTTTTCAGCTGTTCATTGTTCAAAAGAGTTTGAACATGTGTTTATATATATGGTATTGGGTGGTGGAAAGGGATTCCTCGACTTTGATGTCTGTTGGAAAGGGATCTAGGAGTTATCGGCTCTGCTGTACAAGTGACTTAAATTCTTTCTCCTTCTCTGTAGAGGTTTTGACTCTGTTGGCATAAATTTGGAAAATGACAGGTGTTAGTGTATATAAATGGAAAAATTTGGGGGAGGGCAATAACTATCATGACATAATTAAGTTAAAAAATTGAACATGCCAAACAACACTCTAGATACATCAAACATACTATTAATCCGATGGACAAAAGTATGAACTCAATCTATTGAACCAATCGAAAACAAATGCAGAACAATTGCGACAATTATTAAATAGGTATAAGAGAATTAAGCCAAAAGCCAAAACACTTGAGCTCTGATGTTCATTTTGTTGCCATAAATTTGGTAAATGATAGGTGTTTGTGTAAACAAATGAGAAAATTTTAGTAAAGACACTGTCTATTGTCACAGAATTAAGGCTAATATAAACTGCACAAATCAAAATTTAAATAACCTATTGTTGAACCAAAAAAATTCACCCAAAAAAAAAATCGAACATGGGTTTGATCAAGTGGGAGGAAGAGTCCAATTTGAACAAGGATTGTTCCATCTCAAAACTCTTTCTGGCAATCACTTTATAAAAGGCAGGAGGGTTGCAGAGAAAAAGAGGAGGGCAACCGGCAGGCTGTGGAGAGATACCAAAAAAAAGAAAGGCCACAAGGCTTGGGGAGCCGCAGGAACAAAGAGGAAGAGCAAGCACATAAGAGGATTCCTGGCTATGGTGACTTCTATCATCATAAAAAAGAGAGTTAGGAATCTCTCTATGGCAAGGCTCTGTTCAAAGACTTCCAAGGAAGCACTCAACATCCAGTACAATCAACCCATGGGAATTCTTGGCTATGATGATTGAAATCATCACAAATTAAGTCAAGAATCTACTCTAAGGCGTATCTCCTCTCAAATACCTTCATGACATCCAGCTATGGATTGACAGCCAAGATGATTTCAATCATTTATGAGATCAAGTCCTGATCTACTCCGAGGTGCAGCTCCTCTCAGACGCTTTCAGGATGTGCTCAACATCCAATTCACAAGCACTCTGTAAGGATTGCTTATCATGATGGGCTAACCATCACAAAACCAGAGGTGGTTTGTGGTGCCATTAACAGACGTGGAGAGACTCCCGGAATTTTCTGGGCTTCTCTTACTACAGCCAAATCAATGAAACTGGCAGTTTCAATTCAAGAAAGTGAGCCACTTCGGTTCAACACCTTTATTTTTTGTGCATCGTCAACAAAGTTCCTCCCTGGAAGTCTCTTAGCTTGGATCCAGTTTGGGTACAAACTTGGGTACAAAACCCACAAACAAAACCATGGAGGGGTTTAATCTCACAGCAAATAAAAATCAGCCCACGTCTTGCTTGAAGTCCTCATCTCGTGCTTGTCTGTATGCCAACAAAACGGAAAAATGGGCAGCAGAGAAGAGAAGGAAAGGAGGCCGCAAAAAGGAAAAAAAGTCAAGAACAGCAAAAAAATAAAAATAAAGGAAAGAAAAAGTGGCTGTACGCCACTTTTTTTGTTTGGGTTGCTGGTTTGAAAGAAGAGATACACCAGTCAAAAGCAAATATGAGTTAAAAGTGGTTTGCTTCAGCCATAAAAAAAGGGGAAAAGCAGCCATGTTTCTTTTTTAAACTGAAGGAAAGCTTCAGCAACAGACAAAAAAAAATATAGCCATTACGAAGAAAAAAGAAAAGTCAGCAAAAGATAAAAGAAGAGGAGGCACATCTCTTTGGGGTCTAATCCTATTCAGAAAAGGGCCTGTTCTTCTTGTGCCTCTTGTCTTCAAGCCCGACAAAGAACAATATGGCCTATCCGTACTTCATTGGGAGAAGGATTTTTGTCCTTGGGTGTCTTGATGAATTTGAAAGACATCTATTTCTAGCACCAAGCCGTGAAGGAACCAGCTGGAGAAGGGAAAGGCATTAATCGAAAATTAACTGGCGCAGTGTACACCTCTTTCAAGGCCCGGCGGTCTCAAGCCAATATTCCAGGACTCGACAGTCTCAAATACAACGGGCTCGTCTCAGGCCCAACGATTTTGTCCATTAAAAATCCAATTGGTAAATAATTTGTGCAAAGTCCTGAATTCTCAAATTATGGATCAATGGGCTAAAATAAGAAAAGTCTCATTAATTCCCACTGAAGACCCAAGTGGTACAAAACCACATCAAAGGACCAAGTGGTACAAAACCACGCAAATTAAATCAAATGTCTAGAACTACGTCGGTTTGATCCTGTCAAGGGTACGTAGGCAATCTAACATCCCAATAGACGCAACCGCAACCAAATTTAAATCTCTGGTTTATCTTAACCAAATTTTGCCAAAACACTTTCCCAAGTGCAATTGTCAATTTTTAGGGAAAATTAATGGGATAATTAAAATTACTTATTATTTTTCTTAGACATTGACAACAAGAAAAGTAGTACAATACCATCCAATTTTTCACAGGTCATCTACCCATGCAAATTTCATTGAGATTAAATTCAAATATCTCAAATAGAAATTCTCAATTAGTGGGTTACATTTACCCATTAATTTCCAATCTCTCCCATAGGTCATCTATCTATGGAAATATCCAAATTGTCCCAAAGACACAAATTCTCAATTAGTGGGCCACACTTAACTATTAATTTTTAAAATTTGGAACTATGCCGGTTTGATCCCATCAAGGGTATGTAGGCAGTCTAGCATCCTAATAAACACAACCGCAACCAAATTCTCATCAATCAAATCTCCACACAAATCATTTGTGAACTACGTTGGTTTGATCCCTTTGAAAGGGTACGTAGGCAATCTAGAGATTCAATCTAGGTTCAACCATCCTAAATACAATTCCATATCGAATCTCTGGTTTATTTAGCTAAATTCACTCAAACACTCATCAATCAAACTCATTCACATTCCTCTCTTTGCAATGAGTCATCTATTCATTGCAAATCTTTGAATTACGAGTGGCTTGATTCCTGCAAGGGATACGTAGACACCCTAAGGTTGGACTTGGGAGCAACCGCAAAACCAAACACACACGCTCTGTTTCTTTATGATGGAATCAAAGGGTTTTCCCTTGTAGTAAGGGATTGTAATTAAGAGACTTGCGTCTCGAATAGGTCGAACCTAAAATAATAATATCTCATTAATTAATTAGTGGTGATGAAATTATGTTGAGAGGTTCACATTTTCCTTCAACACCTATGAACACCTAATGACCTATAAATAGAAATAAGATAACCTAATGACCTAATGAGCAAGTTTGTTATAGAATCAAGATAATCAAACAGAGAAGTAAGCTATAGAAGCAGTAATAATCTATAAATAGCTATGGGTTATAGAAGTAGAATAAAGCAGAAATAACATGTTATAGGTTATAGTTTTGTTCATTACATCTAAAACATCTAATAAGGATTGTGAATCTTACAATGCACCTAGTTATCAGCTTCACTCAAGCAACTTTGAGTGCCAATTCAAATCCACCATGAACCAATCCATAAGCTCAAACATAGAACTCAATCATATGATAAACCATCACACAAAAGGCTTAATTTTGGTCTAAAAGAGCAATTCAAGGATATGGTTCTTACTTGAAATGCTTTGGTGAGGTTGTAAATCACCTTTGTCCTCATGGTTAAACCTTTCCACAGCCAAAAAAAGAAGAAGAGAGAATGAAAGGAAGTTTTCATTGTAATTCCAAGCACATGCAGGGAAGAACAAAGGCACCAAATTTTCAATCCAGGATAATTATAGAACAAAGACTCAAACTGTTGCCTTTATGTCCTTGAATTTGCATAGAATTGCAAGTGCTTTCAATACAAAGTACTAATCTTATTAATTGGTTGACTTCAAACGGTTTTATAAGCATAAATAGTGAACTCTTACTCACAAAACAACCATCAAATGTTTAAAAAGATGAAATGTTCTGTTTTTTTGGGCATTTTCTTAGCAAACAAATAGAGGGTAAGTAGATTTTTACATCTTTTATGCAGTGTTAAATTAGTTTTTTTTTTGGTTTGAATGATCTTATATTGAAACAACCATCTTTACCTTCTAGCTGAGAGACTGATCAATTAGTTCAGAATATCAGCTCTAAATCATATTTTGTTTAGATGCAAACAGATATTAAGCTCCTAGGGTTCATTATTCACATGCTCAAATGGAGAGAGACAGAGAGATCTTGCCTGCTTAATAAGAATAGGTAATAGAAAGAAGGAAAACTAAATTGTATATCTTGAAATTCTTAACTTTGAGGCTGGTAAAAACCACAAATGTAGGTGGCACAACTGCTGTAAATTGTAACAACTTTGAGGCTTAGTATATATAATATAATTTGGGGGGTCTTTTTCGTTTCTGTTTCGGTGAGTATCTGTGGTTGAGCCATGCTGCTTCTCATGTCTTTGTTTGTCACTTTCATCCTTTATTTTTCATTAATTAATTCACTTGACGTTTATAGGCACCCACCTTGAACAACAGAAGCCCTTTTTTTCTAATAATTATGGAGGGCAGATGATTGTGTTGGCGGAACAATATGAAATATGAATTTAAAGATAATAATAATTCTCAACAAAATTGTAATAATCAAATGCAATAACAAATTTACGTGAAATTAATGTAAATCAACAAACACAAGTAGAAATACTGACAACTTTAGCGATTGAGGCTTGCAAGAATTGCAATGTCCTAAAGACAGATTTTGCCATTGCCCTTGTGCTCGTAGTTCTATAGGCGTCCATCTCCCAGGATTCAACAATCGATAATCCTAAATTGAAGCACTTCAATTTAAGACTCTGGCGAACTAATTATATATTTGTACTCTCAAGACAGACGTAAGAAGTTTTTAATAAAGAGATAAAATAAAGTATTGGGAAATACTCTATTTTTCACGAAAGAACTCTATCCATCTTGTTGGAGATTTTTAGTTTGATGAAGAGTGCTTGATTTATATAAGACTCAATCCACCCTTTGATAAAACAACGTATCTATGAATTAGTGTAAGTTCAAGAGATACAACCTTTGCATCATTATGCTTTGAAAAGCAATAAGCACAAATCTAAGGAAGCCGACCAGTTAGAGAAACTGGTCTAAGACAAACTTATTTTTCATTCACCATAGAAATTAAATATTATAAATAATATAAAATTTCCAACAGATCCAAAAGCCAACGTTCTAATAATTATTATTCAGCAGAAAAAAGAAAAAAAAATGTAGTATGGGACTCAATGCCTATCACCATGACTCAAACGGCTTGATCTTGGATTCTTGGTCCTACCTTATTATGGCATGTGAGATTTTACTTTGCTTGAGGTGAAGTCTCCCTTTTTGTTTTCTTTTATCTGAAATTTATTGTAATGGGAAGCTGATTTTATGGTAACAAAAGTGCTTGTATATTTTTTATCCATATTTTGTTAGGATTACGAAGAAATGTTACAGTCTAATCTAATGACTAGTTTTTATATGGTGATATTTCTCTTTCTAATTTAAAACTATATTCTAAATTCAAATCTTCCGTATCAACAAAAATGATTTTACAGCCCTAGAAGCCCGAATTATAAACATCAAACTGAAGGTTAGCAATGAGTAATTGCCAACTAGTCTTTGATTTAGTGATAGTTGTTCCCACTTAATTGGAAAGTAAGTCGCAGGTTCTATTCGCAATAATACAATAACAATATATATATTTGCGGTGAGTTCAATACTTAGCTAGTCACTTTGTGGTAGTGTAGCACAATCTCTTTTTGTTGTTGGGTGCGTTATTCGTCAAGCAGAAAATGTTCATTGGAAGACTATAACTAACCCTTCATCGAACCTAACGATTTGATTAGAATTTTTTATTCGGTTCCCAATTCAATACGGTCTATCTACACTATTTTCTTTCATTAATTTTGATCTTAAGTTTATTAATGTTTGACTCACTAGCTTGATTAAGTCCTTAAAGTCTTCAAGACATTGGCAAGATTCCTTTAAAAAGTTGTACTTTATATATAAAATATATATTATAAACAATTGCTAGGCTTTCTTGCATATCTGTATGACAATCCCACATGCATGCCGAACACTCTGAGTAGAATAATATATGCACTTTATTCACTTTTGTTCTGAAAAACATATTTGATATGTTCACCCAAATTTAAATGAGCTTAGAAAACTAAGGAATTTGTAATCACTTTGTGATTAAGTATTTACATGTTGGATTCCCCACCCTCGGTATAAATTTAAGGACCATTGCGGTTAAAAACTCATTTTAATATTTTTATATTGAATTCTATGGTATGTATGTTAGGAAAAAGAATAAACAAACAATGGTAACGCTTCTTCTTTCTGGTGGATAGGACAAATTAAAATTAGGATTTCAACACAAAAAATGCAGTTCAATTATCTGTTGCTTGTTAATTAATTCCATTAAAAAAAAAAAAGAGGTTGAAAATTGAAGGACATTTTAGAATAACAAGTAATAATCTGTTGAATTAAATTAGTCTGAATAGTAAGGGCTATCAAATAAATAGATGATCACATTATTTTCGTATAAAAACATTGAAATAATAATAATGATAATTAGTTGATTAATCGAGTTTCAATTTAACTTATTGTTTGCATTTTCGATTTAACTAATTGTTTCCACCGATTGTCTGCAGTAGTGCTAAGTTAGGTAGTGATGTCAAAACATATATTCAATGATTTTATATTTTTAAAGAAACAAAATATGATTTTAATGTATATTTTTAGAGAATGTGGAGAGGTCACATCATAAAATTGGGAATACATCTGATTGATTTTTCTTCGACTTATTTTTCACATGTAATATGTAAGAGAAAAACATTTAAGTAGTAACGGTGTTCATGTTATTTTTCAATGTTTCAGTCAAAATACTATGAGCTTGAATGTAGATGTAAATATTTTTAGCCACTTAGTGAGAGCAGAAACCACCCTTGGACTAGAGTGGGCTTCAGCCCAATCCATATAATTAGATAAATAAGAATTTATGGTGTGTTTACTAATTAGGAATTAGAAATCTCATTAGTAATTAAATTCCACCTATAGAGGATTCTTGCGTTTACTTTACATCAAGGAATTGAAAAGTAAGTGGGGCCCACACAAATTAGGAATTGAATTCCTGATTTTGGAAGAATTCAATTCTTTGGTGGGATGCGGTATTCTAATTCATAAAGAATTAACCCATTAAGAATTCATCTTTTTTACTCATTATATCCTCACACAATTTTCAAAATTCCAAATATGCCAACTACTTTAACCCAACAACGAGGACATTTTAGTAATTAGCACAAGTCCTACCCCAATTCCATATGGTTTAGTAAACAACTTCAATAGGAATTCAAAATCTAATTCTCCTCAATTCAACACCTCCTCAATTCAATTCATCCTTAATTCAATTCCTCCTAATCCAATTATGGATTAGTAAACATTAGTGTTACTTTTAAAAAATTTAGTAAAATTAGCTCACCTCATTCCAACCCTTGCATCTACTTAAACCGAAAAAAAACACATTTATAGCTCATCCGTATGAGAGTTTTTCGTTCCACCCTGACTACAAGTAGCATGGTAATATATATAGATACCTCGGAAGGGCTACAACTCATTGCATCCTCAAGAGGGTAGCGCATAATTGATCTGTCGGCGGATAACTCAAGTTCAACCAAGTGAGTTTCCAAAGCAGAGTTGAAGACCAAAGTCATCAAATTTCTACATTGCCTCCACCACCTCTTACTCTCTTCCTATATACTCTCTCTCTCTGCTCTACATAAATTCTCACTCACTCACTCACTCACTCACTGTGATTTCCCACACTCTCTCTCTCTCTCTCTCTCTCTCTCTCTCTCTGCTTCGCAGATTCTCTCACTAGTCACTAGCACTGTGGGGGGAGTGGAGGGAAAGAGAACTTCAAATACCATATACCCACTGGAGGGCTCATCTCTCTAAAAGCTTTCACACCATTCTGTCCCATTTTCAGGTTAGCTATTTGATCCCGGTTTTCACCTCTTACTATTTTCTCTTTATGCGCTTCTTGGCTTCATTTTAATGTCATTTTTTGGTTTTTTGTTTTCTTCCCACTGTATGATAGCACAAGATCTGTGCTTGCACTTGTTTTTTCCTTTTATGGGCTGTGTGGAAAAAGAGTGTGATCTTGTTTCTGTTTTTGGCTTAAAAGGTTTAAGATTTAGTTATAAATTTCATTGTTTGTACATCTTGGCTTCAGATCAAGGGATTGACCATTTTAGGATCCAAGAGGGCAGCTTGATTTAAGGCAATGGATGATTGATAACTTTCTATTTTGGACTGGAGGTGGTAATTCTTGATCCCCAACTGAGAAAGAAAATGAAAAGAGCTACAGATTAGTAAAATTGTAACGTTTGCCTACTGGTGATGTTAATCCTTAATTTAATCCAATCCCATATTTTGGAATAGCAATGACAATGGATATACCAGAAAGTCGCTAAGTTTAATTTAATCCACTCCTTCCTTAGTTCATTTAATCCTGCTGTGATTGCAAACTCACTCTCTCTTCAACAAATCTAGTTGCTGCTTACTTCTTAAAGTCCTTAACCATAAATGTATGCGTAGTTCATAGCCTCTAGAAACTTACCGTATCCAGAATCCGTCATGTTTCTCATGTCTCAATCTTGAAACGGTGATGCCATCTGGATTTATTTTATTATCTTCCTGGAAATTTTGTGTCAATTAGTTACTTCTCGGTACTGATCTGATGATATTTTCCCTCTGTTTGGATGAAGGAATTGAAAATGATGGAATTTAGATTTCTATAATTTTAATTTCTGGCAATTGAAGATTTCAATGTTTGGATTTATGTATTTCAAATTTTGTAAATGACACTATGGAAATTGTGAAATGACACCTATTTTGGTGGAAATTAAACCTGGGAATTTGATGCCTCAATTTCCATGATTTTTTCCGCACATCATTTAATAAATTCTGCATTTAAGTTACCAAACAAGGGAATTGCCAATTTCTCCTTTTAAATTCCCGACTTTTAGCTAAATTCCAAGTTATTTTTCCTCATCCAAACGAAGGGCGAATTTGTATTTTCAACATTGGTTGAAAGTAGAATGAGTGCAAAATCCTTTGTAGGTAGGTTATTTACCAAAAGTCGAGCTGATTAAAAGTCTGATGTATATCAGACTGCAAATTTGGCTAGGAGAAATTAACCACACTTTGGAACAATTAATCAAGTTATTGAGATATGTTATTTATTTATAACAGACTGCAACGTGCTAATGATTTTTTTTTCTTTAAGCATACTTATTCTGTTAGTTCTCAACTATTGACCATTTACTTCAAATAATCGACTCTAAGTTTTCTATTATTAGTGCAGGGTTGAGGAAGTTAATTGCAACAATATCATGAAATCTAAGCATAATTCTTCAGGAAACAGAACAAGAAGCACGATATCTATATTCGTTGTTATTGCTCTGTGTTGTCTCTTCTACCTTCTTGGAGCGTGGCAAAAGAGTGGTTTTGGAAAAGGAGATAGCATAGCATTTCCAGTCACCAAGCAGACAGATTGCAGCAATGTCTTTACTGATTTGAACTTTGAAACACATCACAACATTGAGGAGATAGTTGAACCCTCTGAACCTAAAGCCAAAGAGTTCAAGCCTTGTGATGTTAAGTATGCTGATTATACTCCTTGTCAAGAGCAAGACCGAGCAATGAAATTCCCGAGGGAAAATATGATATACAGGGAAAGGCATTGTCCACCAGAAGAGGAAAAATTGCATTGTCTTATTCCAGCACGGAAAGGATATATGACTCCTTTCCCCTGGCCTAAAGGCCGTGACTATGTCCACTATGCCAATGTCCCTTATAAAAGCCTGACAGTTGAGAAAGCTGTTCAGAACTGGGTGCAGTTTCAGGGAAATGTTTTCAAATTTCCAGGTGGAGGAACAATGTTCCCCCAAGGCGCTGGTGCATATATTGACGAACTTGCATCTGTTATTCCGATTTCAGATGGCTCTGTCAGGACAGCGTTGGATACTGGTTGTGGTGTATGTTGGTTTTCTTAACTACGCTTGTGCTTTTATTTGTGCATTTGCATGTGTACATTCATTGCTTCACATTGCCATTCTGTCATCTACATTTAATTTGAGCGACTTAACTTCCTTTAGTCAATCCAAGACTATGAGTACAACAATGGCTTTTCAGTCTCCAGAGAATGTTATGTAGATTTTCTTGTGCGTATAGTGAATGCAAATGCACTTTCAATGATACTGTGTTATATATATGTAGCTAAATCATGTATGTATGTGAGCAGTGAGCTATCCTAGTATACATGTTCACACACAGTTCTTTTGTTCATATGTGGTTCTTTACTAATGAGACCAACCATGATACAGGTTGCAAGTTGGGGTGCATACTTGCTAAAGAGAAATGTATTAGCCATGTCCTTTGCACCACGGGATAATCATGAAGCACAAGTGCAGTTTGCATTGGAGCGAGGTGTACCTGCTGTTATCGGTGTGCTTGGATCAATTCGTCTTCCATACCCATCTAGGGCCTTTGATATGGCTCAGTGCTCTCGGTGTTTAATTCCATGGACTGCAAATGGTAAGATCTCGATGTAATGAGCATTAAGCTTGAGTAATCACATTTGATTTCCTTAGTTTCTTTATTTTATATATATATATATATATTTATTTATTAAAATAGAGTTGAATTAGTGAACTCTTAAGTTGAATACAGATAGTAGAAAAACATATCTATATCTATTTCCATACTCAGATCATGTGGTCAAATTAATTGTCACAATCTTGCCTTGACTCTCAAGGTTGACCACTGAAATAAGCTTAGAGTCGTTTACAACATTTGTACTTGATTTCCATTGGTATAAATGATTACTGATTTGCACACTTTTATTTTCAAGACTATTTTTCTATGTAACTTCATGTTTTCTATGAGATTTTATGCCAAAAAGTGTAAATAAGTCTTACAAGGGTGATAAATTGTCTGCAAGTCTTACATATCTGGCAATTAATTTAGTTACCAACCCTGCTAAAATTTTATTTTCCCAAGTTTTCTTTTGGTTGATATTGACTCCCTCAATCCATCCTCATCTGTTGACTTCTATATAAAAGAGGGCTTCTGATTGTAGTCCCATCTTTTAACTTTGTTTTCCATGTTTCAACATTCAAGAATAGTTTATTTACTGAATATCTCTGTAAGTGCTGGAAGTTAAATGATTCACATATGAACGGCTGTGTGTAGATGGGATGTATCTAAAAGAAGTTGATCGGGTCCTCAGACCTGGTGGATATTGGATCTTGTCTGGACCTCCAATTAATTGGAAGACATACTACAAAACGTGGAAGCGGTCTAAGGAGGATGTCCAGACAGAGCAAAGACAGATTGAAGCACTAGCTGAAAGTCTTTGCTGGGAGAAAAAGTATGAGAAAGGAGATATGGCTATTTGGAAGAAAAAAGTTAATACAAAATCCTGCAAAAGCAAGTCTGTCAATGTATGCCAGACAGAGGATGCTGATGATGTCTGGTGAGTTCCAGGAACTGTGCTGAGGAGCCTTGTTTATTGTTCTTAAATATTCACTAATCATGTTTAAAGATAATCTCATGGTTCTGGATAAAGTCTCCCTTGCCTCTAACTTGAGGTTTGGTAGATTTTTCCGGAAATGAGACATACTCTGTCGGGGGAAAGGGGCGCAGGACTTTGCAGCAGGTGACAGGTCACAGGATAATGCAAGGAAACCCTTTTTGAAAACCTCAAATTATATGATATGAAGTAGCTGTTGCTGGATTTCCCTGTCAATATTTCTCAAAACAAGAAGTAATCAAAGAGAAAAAATGTAGTGAATTGGTTACTGACTATGGTTTCAACCAGCAGTCTACTTATCTAGGAAATTGTTAAACATAACATAGGTTTTACAGACAGACATGGTAGTCAAATTGGCATGTTGCACATATTCCACATTTCCACCCCTCTGTAAACGTGATGTGCTGGTTGCATGCCTTCAGTTTGTGAAAAGTTTTTCAGTTAATGTCTTTGTACCTCTTGCATCACTCATTACTTTATATTTGTAGACTGGAATTTTCTTGTGCCCTGTCCTTCTGTAGTTATTATGTTGTTCTAGACAATAATTTTGTTTTATTTGGGAACACAAGGTAATTAAGCCCCTACCTCCCATTGTGTTCTTGCACACACTTTGGTTAGAAGAAAATCTTGTGCTTATGAATCTTATGTTAGTCAATGCTATGGAGTCTTAGAAGATATAAATCTCTCGACAGTAGAAGTTGGATGGGTTTTTATTGTTTGAGTTGGTCCCCTAGTTCAGAATTACCTAAAATGCATTGATATAAGCAGAATGATTGTATAACTTTAGATTCCATTTATTAGAGTGAACACTCTCTTTTCAACTTCGCTTTTATGTTATTTTCCCCCCTTTGTCATTCTATGATTCTAGTAATTGCAAAGATTAGCTTCATTTCCTACAAGTGTTGCAATTATACAAGGCGGGTTCCCTTAGATCAGTGATGAAGTTTCAGTCTATTTCTATCTTGCTTGCTCAAGTTTATTTGGCTGTCCTTATTTTTTCTTGTTTTCTCCATACATGCATGTCCTATTCAATTCTGATAAGGGCATTTTTGAAAGGATGTATTCCAGTTCTAGAGTTAGATCGTTACAGCAATCATAATTCTTAGTTTTATGTGGTATGTTTCAGGTACAAGAAAATGGACACATGCGTAACCCCCTCTCCTGAGGTAACCAATGCAAATGATGTAGCAGTGGGGGCATTGAAGTTTCCTGCGAGGCTTTATGCAGTCCCTCCTCGAATAGCTAATGGTTTAGTTGACGGAGTTACTACTGAATCTTACCAAGAGGATAATAAACTTTGGAAAAAGCATGTAAATACTTACAAAAGAATCAACAACTTGATTGGCACTACCAGATATCGGAATGTCATGGATATGAATGCAGGCCTTGGAGGATTTGCAGCAGCCCTTGAATCACGAAAATCTTGGGTTATGAATGTGGTGCCTACAATTGCAAAGAACACTTTGGGTGTTATTTATGAGAGAGGTCTCATTGGCATTTATCATGACTGGTATGCCCCTCTCTCTCTCTCTCACGCACACAAATTTGCCTTGTTGGAAGTGTATCAGTTTCCTCCAGGGCTTGTTAACCTTTATGTTTTTTGATGAATTATTATTATTTTTTATTTTTAACTTGGCTTTTCCGTCTTCAACATCTGGAACAAGATTGGAATTTAAATGTTTACAAAAGGAAAAATAGATTAAAAGGGGTTTGTTTTCCTGCAAAGCAAAGACTGTCAGTTTCTTCTCAATTAAGATTTACAATAGTATGATCTAAGTAGGATGCTTGGTAGTTACTAATTCCATGTCATAACCAAGAAGGTAAATCTTCTTTCAGGTGTGAAGGCTTCTCCACGTACCCAAGGTCGTATGACCTTATTCATGCTAGTGGGGTGTTCAGCTTGTACAAGAACGAGTAAGCCTCATCATCTTCTTCCTGTGTACCATAAATCATGCTTAGTGTTTGGATCTATGATATAGCAATCAAATCACGTGATACAATATTTTGCCATGAACCTTCATATTTGAGACTTAATTCATATAAATGTATGCAATTTTCCTTTTAGCAGGCTAACAGCATGTAAGAATATTTGATTCACTAAACCCAAAAACTCTTATGTAACAATTGTTTTCTCTAGGGCCGATTAAATAGTGGTGGATTTTTAGGGATAAAGTGGAAATTAACATAATAATTTATACGAGAAGACTGAGCTTCCTGTATGACTAAAGGTTTTGTTCATGCATAATTCTATCTCTATTGTTAGCATAACAAAGTCACTATTATTTTTCCACTAAAAAATTTCAAGTCACGATATTCTGCATGATTCTAATGGAACAACTAATTTTGATTAGCTGCAGTTTCCGTATAAGGTTCAACATTGTTACATGAAACGTTTAACAACCCCCGGAGTGCTGATTGATTATTTGAATGGATTAAGCAGGTGCAATCTGGAAGACATCCTTCTGGAGATGGACCGCATCTTGCGGCCTGAAGGTACCGTCATCTTCAGGGATGAAGTTGATGTCCTGAACAAGGTTAGGAAGATCGTCGGGGGCATGAGATGGGATGCCAAAATTGTGGATCATGAGGATGGCCCCCTTGTGCCAGAGAAGATATTGGTTGTCGTTAAACAGTACTGGGTTGCCGGCAGTGGAAACAGCACATCCAATGATCAGTAAACCAGGAGTGATCATTCGGCTGTGAATAAAACCAAATATTGCGCCACAGTTATGAAATTGCTCTATAGTTGGGGAACCAAAGTGTTCTGATCCTTCGGGATGATGAGTTGTGTGTAATTTTGATTTATAGAACATTTATTTACTTTCTAATTCGCTTGATTTCACAGGGGATTAGGATTATAGGGATGTGGAATAATTAGTTCAAGAATGTCACAATGCAACAGAATTAATTTATAAAGATATTTCTCAGTTCTCTTCCTGACCAAAGTAAACTATGCAGTTTTCTATCTAAAGATCAAAGTTGATGTACTTTGTCTAGCGTAGACGAATTTGCTTTGTCATGACACGAGATTCAACCCAACTCAGTCTGAGTTTGACCCGGCTCAACCCATCATCACTTTAATCATGGCGGCACCTTGCAGTTGTACTCATTATGTTTGTCCATGCACTCAATTTTAACAATTAAGTATTTCGTGGTTCCGGCATTAGGGTTTTCGTAAAATTCTCGTTAATTGCCTATGTGACATCTTTGGATCCCATTCTTTTGCATTTCAATTTGAGCATATTTTCAAATCCGATAATCCATATATTTGACTTTGGATTGAGGCCAACCTAATTCGAATTCGTTCCTCGAAAGAGATGAAAAAGGCTACAATTGAAGGATCAAACGCACTATGCTCTAGCTTCGAAATAGACTCTCAACTTAAATGTATCCAAATTTCAGACTCACGAGTCACAACAATGCAGTCAAGATTTCAAGCTAACCTCTAGAGATCTATTCATAGGCTCTCGAGATCTGTAGGTAGCAGTAGCAGCAGGATCAGCCCAAAATGTGATAAATTGAAACGGAAATTTATCTTGGTAGTCTAGAAACTAGTTGTCCCAGTCCAAGGGCGCATAATTGACATTATAATTGTTACATAACATAACATTCTAGGGGCTAATCTACAAGAAACAAACTACAACGATCATTCACGTGATATAACTTTGACTACACAAAAGATGGAAAGAAACTTTGATAGTCGGTTTATGACTCTATTTCTCACTTCCCTTGATCAACTCATTCCCATTTAGCCATCTAGGGTTAGGTAGGCCATAATATTACGTCTTTTTTTGGCTTTTTCAATAAAGCTATATTCTAGAAGGAGAGGAATTCGAGTTCGATGCAAGGGACAGACATACTACCCCCACACACATGTGCATATGATACCTTACTTATCAAAATGTAATAGGAACCCTCCTAAACGTGGCACTGAACGTTTTAGCAATGGCCAAAATCCAACCATTCCTACCTAGGCAAACTTCTTCTCTGTTCAATTTTGTTAAACAAAATGTTAACATGGTTGCTTTGCTATTAAGTGTTAACTAGTATGTTAGATGTCGAAATGGTATTGGTTAGATCTATGAGGCACCAGTAATGCATGCAGTATATCCATACCATCTAATGATTTCCCGTCGCGCACCATATATATGTTTGCCCGAACTTTTATTTTGTTTAATGCCTCCTAGTATTTTATAATTCCGAGTGCAGTTTCTATTTTCTCATGCAGTAACTTCATTCTCCACATGATATCATGTATGAAAGTTTCTGGTAAAGTTTCATTTTTATTTTTTGAAAAAAAAGCTTTTAAAATTGACAGTTCAAATCATGAACCAATACTGTGGACGACTTGCTATAGTACTACCAAAACCATTCTGATTGATTCCAAGCTCACATCATTCACACACAGGGGACCCCAAGTTAGTGTCAGTCGGATTCGAATCATATCCGGTGCCTGAAAGTCCAGACAGAGCAAAACCGTGGGCTGGAGACAAACGTACATAAACTTGCCAAAAATAAAAAGGTTGCATAGCATTATTGAGTTCGAAGAATTATAGCCCCATTAAATTGAACACATTGTGATAAACTTGACTGCCTCTCTGGGACCCACCTCCATGGCCGACCTGAGGTCACAACTGGACAATCATGTGCCTTGATGACTAGACACCACATTGGAATAGGCTTCGACATTGAGGTCACTTCAAGCTAGGGTTTTATCCCATCATGCCACATATATATATTGTTGCTCTCATTAATTAATCCCATCTTAGAACCGACAGTACTATGCTAAAGAAAGCATGCATGCATACTCCATCTTTCACCCAACCTAACACTAGATTTATAAATATTTTCCGTGAATGAATTGTCATGTAAAAGTCTTTTCGCACACTTACGTACATGCGTGTTATATAACTTTATTAGCATGTTAACACACGCTCGCTCACGTGTGTACCAATTAGATTTTTGTTACTTGCATAAAAATATTAACAAATCCTAACGTGTCATTTAAAAGAACTATCTCCACCAACTTCCTCTATTTTTGAAATTTTGAATCAAAATAACTTGTCATTTACTATTTTACTATTTAGATTAGATTATTTTTCCTTTTAACTTTTAAGTTTACTAAGGATACTTCTTGAGTTTTTGAATGTATCGCCATTTTGAACTTCTCCCTTAGTATATAAAATTACTTTATTTTCATTTTAATTTTAATAATTACATATAGACAATATAGTTGTATAACCTTAATCCCTTACCATTTTATTTATTTATTGAAATTAATGTTTAGTTGAATTTTATCCTGCAATAATGCATAATTACAGCAAAGGACCTCATTTTCTCCTGCAACAATAATGCCTATCAAAAAAAGTCTAATACAAGACTAATACGAAACATTCTTTTCAATCCCTCGGCATTTTGAAAGAAATGTTTTGAATGATGGAGATATGTACCTAATTCTAAAATTAATCAAAGATTTTTCATTGGATGTGGGGAGAAAATTATAGGATAAATCTTATTAATATTACGACCAAATAAAGGGTGTCAACAACTGTTGGAGACAGTATTAGAAAAGAGTATGCTAACCACTACATTTCAACTAGAAAATACACCAGAAATGAAAGAAAATTCAAATTTGGATTAAATACCGACGTAAAGTGGAATAAGATTTTGAACAGTTTGAATAGAGAAAGACGGAGGGGGACAAAGATCTACAGAACGATCATGTGGGGCTTCCACTACCTCAAGAGAAAAATGGGGATAAAGGTCCCCTCTATCATCAATATATGACTATTCTTTCTTTCACTATACAATGTGGGCTACTAAAATTGCATTATTAGGGTCTCTCTTTCTGTACTTAAGATAAAAATGAGTCTAAGTTTCATGTCACTTTCATTGTGCACAGTGTAAGATCCGGTTTGCATTATAGTTCGATGATCCGAATCAATAAATTTTTCAGCCGTCACGTGGTGTTACCAATCTACTTATGTTATAACACGTGTATGTTTAGTTTTTTGATAGATTATTACCACTAACCCTAAAGATAAATTTATTGTTCACCCATGTTATAACACTTGGATTAATAACATCATGTAGCAATGTTATGGTCACACAATTTTATCAGCCAGATCATCAATTTTCTATGTCTCAGTTCAAGGATTAGTAATATCATGTACCCTACAATATTTAATCATTTGAAAGACAAACTCAATGTTGCCCTATCGCAGGGAGTGAAAGCTCCCTTACAGCTACAACTGTGGAATATTAATTGTCTTAACTGGATGCCCGACCCAAAAAAAAAGTGATAAAATTGAAGAGTTCAATTTTGAAATTCTCTATAAAAGAAAGGGTTAAATTCCTTTTTGGTCATTGAGTGTTATACAAAATTTCAATTTAGTCATATAGAAAAAAAATTGGCCAAATTGATCACTATATTACCCATAATTTACAATTTATAAACATGCCATTAGTTTATTCAAGTGATTGCATTAAATACCCTTCTGATTATTAGGTTTTACATGAAATTTTAATTTGATCAATGAGAAAAAAAAATGTAGCCAAAAACCATGCAAATGACTGTAGGCTAAAAATTTATCGTGGGTGTAGCATTAATTAAGGCTAAAAATATGATTTAACTAATTCATGTTAATGAAAGTTTAACAATCCCCCTCAAACAGAACAATAGCAACAAAGAGATTATCAAAAAAGAAATCATATTGTCTCAAAATAAGTTCATATCTCAACAATAGTTCATATCTCAAAACAAAGTTGCACTAGCATATTTGTTTTTATTTTTATCAATGACCAAATTGTAATTTCGTGCAAAATCCAATGACCAAAATGGTATTTAAACACAATTACTTAACATAAACTAATAGCAAGTCTAGAAAGTATAAACTTTGGATAATACATTGACAAATTTGACAAAAAATAATAATTTTAGTGAGCAAAATGAAATTTGCGTAAAATCAAATACTAAAAAAGGTATTTAACCCTAAAAGAAAACGTGCATGCATGAGAAATAAATTATGTTATTTCTTGAAGGGTGTGGTTGAATTAGCTTTTGCAACCAATTTGAAGCGAGTTGTCTTGTTGCTATAAATTAGAATAAAAACGTAAAATTCTTTGCAAAACAATGAAAATAATAATAATAACAATAAAAATAGTAATAATAAATAAGCACTTAAATCACTGATTTTTTTAGAATTCGCTGATAATAATAATAATAAAACATTTTCCTCATTTGGCAAGTCATAACAAAATGACAACTCTTCAATCATTTTCTAAAAGGAGGAAAGGGGAGACATTAGCTCGCAGATAAACAAAAAGAAGAGACATTATCTAATCCTTTGCAGATGGTAGTGTTTTGTCTGATTTTATAGGTGGCATGTTACCATATGATTGCAAAGCCAATTTTATTTTTTGAGAAATGACTTTTTAGCGAAAGTTGATTCCAAATTAAAATTTAGGTGGGAACTATGCAACCATCGGAATTTCACAGAGTTTTTTAGTCAACCTCATATTAGTTGCCAAATATCACCAAATAATGGTGACTGTTGTTACTTTTTTTTGTAGTGAGTCTTGTAGAATTTAAGAGACTCCATCTGAGACTTCAAATTTGCTCTATCCTTTTATTTAACTTCCAAATTTGTCCAAGTTTGAGATAGAAGATAGATTAGTC